GTGTCCCAAAGTCAATCTCAGTCCCTCTCGATCGATGTGGTTTTGGTGGGTAGAATCTAATGCCGACCTGCAACTCCAGAGATGCTTCACGGGATATAAACTAGGTTCCAGGCATTCAAAAATCCTCGATTAGCCTACCAGGCTTGGCTTTAAAACAAAATTGTCACGAAAATGTCACGAAAGGTACAGCCGCGTACTGTTTTGTTGCTATCAGCCGCTCGGCCGAGTATAAACCTAACATTTTCTTGCAAGAAGTTTCATTCCAGCTTTTTTCTTCGTAAAACAGATCCACAGAGCTCAAATTATTTAAAAAATCGCAGGGCATACGCTTTCCCTGACTACGATCGTTTTTGTCCGCCATTTTGGAAATGAGATTCCGCTGGCAATTAATCACGGGCGCGAAATGTCCACTATTTCTGGCAATGGGTTGACTCAAACTCAGAATACAAATGATCGCAGTAATCAAGTCGCGTTCATGTGTTTATGTATGGCGTGACGCGGACAAAACACCGACCCCCGATCTACTAACCCCCTACCAACCTCTCCTCCCCATATGGTTCACTGGTGTGCACAATCTCTTAATCTTTTCCCTTAGCCTGCAAAGCAGGTGTTATTTGTAATGCGATCGATTTGGACGTTTAAAGTAAATGAGAGTTGTAGCGAGACAAAAAGTGATTCCAAGGGAGAACCTCTGGATCGCGCTTTTAAGAACAAAAAAAACGCCTGCTCTGCAGGCTACTTTTCTCTCAACTCTGACAACTCTCCCAGAATTTATTATTTCAAAATTGTTTGTATATGTTTATCCTTCTTGTATGTAGGGACAACTTGGGTACAAGAAATTGTTTGGCAAATCTACAACGAGGGAGCAATCAGCAGCGAAAAGCTACTGTTTCGATTCCCATTCCTTGAAGCAAGGGCCTGCAATGCTAACGAAGAGCTGTTAATTGACTTTAAGTCTTTACCAAGTCCTCGTCTGATAAAGTCCCACCTTACCTACAGCACTATCCCGAAAAGTGCCGACGAAGCTGCTCGATGTAAATATATTTACGTTGCTCGCAACCCAAAGGATGTGGCAGTGTCATATTTTCATTTCATGGAACATTGGAAAAAGATTGGCGTAAATGATTTCAGTGGACCATGGGAATTTTGTTGCAAGTTGTTCATAGAGGGAAATGGTAAGTTAGTCAAATTTATCAGATATGATAAATTATTTTATCGCAGTCAAACAGAGCCTGAGCACTTTTTCTTATACGGGAAGGAAGGGGGGGTCTTCTCAGGGTTTGAAACGCTGATCCTGTTTAGGACAAAACAATCCCTAAGTGCATACCCTGTTTAGCTCCTGCTAAACTCTTTTCAACACCTTGGCTTGCTTAATCCAAAATAATCTCGCAAACATTCTCAAAATCGTGCGCCGTGCATGTTGAACGAAATAAAGAAAAACAGGTCTTGGAGGAGGCCATCCATAGTCGTTACGTCAAGTTGCCATGGTAGCAAAATTTCTGGATCTCAACAAATTGTGGTCCTTTCTGTGCATCGCTGCACTCAGGAACAAAAAGGGTTCCCCATACTTTTCTTCTATCGTTGGACAATTGAAATTATGGCCGCCTCAGTCAAAAAAGACTGTTGAGATCCAGAAAAATTGCTACCATTGGTAAGGTGACGTCACTCTTCTCCTGTCTATAGTTCATGGGCAAAGAACAATCACAGCACGCGTAATATTCACCACATTGTATAATCTATACATATATGGATATGACGCACGTCCTAACGTGGCTTTGTATGTGTGAATAATAGTTGGCTATAACGTTTGGAATGACCATGTTCTTGACTGGTGGAAACACAAAGATGATCCTAATGTCTTGTTCCTCAAATATGAGGATTTGCACAAGGTATTGTTTGCAGTCACACTTCCCTTATATTACTAGATAAATGTAAAGGCATGATATATGGCTAGTTTGATAATTGGGAAGTCACTACTGTCTTTTGGAGGAGTTTTCGCAGTAATTTCACCTATCCACCTGGACTCCGATTGCTTTTCCTTTATCCCCTGCTTGTTACATCATGATTTTGAGACTGGTCACTCTCAGATTAATGCTAAAATCAATTACACAACTTTAAAAATAATAATAATAATAATAATAATAATAATGATAATAATGGAAACTCAATTTGTGTTTTGAATGTACAATTGAAAATCTCGCCACGTATAGGCAATTTACAAATGTTGCTTGAGATTGGATTATTCAAAAAAACAAAACAGAACAAAACAAAACAAAAAAAAAAAAAGAAAGGAAAACAAAAGAAATCAAAATTGCATTAAGACTGGGCTATCCCAATTCCTATTTCTACAGCAAAAGATGTAACATGTTTCTCTTATGACTATATTTATCATTTTCTTGATTATATAAAGTTGCTTCTTTTTGTCAACGCCAATGTCATTCATCATGTCTAAGAACGTGGAGCATTCATCGCAGAAAACGCCAATGGAGCTCATGGAGAGATTTACAAATTTCACACATCTGTAATTTGTACTCATTTCGTTGATCAAGTTCAGATAATAATAATAATAATGATAATAATAATGATAATAATAATAATAATAATAATAATAATAATAATAATAATAATAATAACTAACTTCTTTCTGTATAAGAATGCTGGGCCTCCTCACACGTAATGAACACCATTACGACTTCTCTCCTGCTAGGATTTATCGTCCCATGTACGAATGATTGCAAATTTCCTGAACAAGCCGCTGTCAGATGAACTCATCACTCGTATTGCAGAGCAATGTACATTCAAGGGAATGAAAGACAATGAAGTCAGTTACAGAAGGGAAGAGAATCAGAGTTCGCCTTTGTTACGAAAGGGCGAAGTCGGAGGTTGGAAAAGTTATTTCACTCCAGAAATGAATGAGAGATTTGATAAGGAAATGTTGGCAAAACTGAAAGGAACTGGACTGGAGTTTGATTTTGAGAAGTAGAACCGTTTTAAAAGGAGTAACACGTACTATAAACTTCCTTCTATAATATCCAAGCAGTTAATAGTTTGATTTGATGTCTCTATAATATTATTTTAATGTTCGTTTGTTCGTTTACAGAAATTGGGGCAAAATGGGAAATCCCACTCTAACATACAAAGTCACGAAATAAATGCAATTGTCACACAGGAATGCTCGGGGCACTAAAATTTCTGGCTGTCGGTCCCCGAGCTTTGGTTAAGAGACATTGTTCCGAACTGTGATCCAGTTTATTAATTCATATTAGAAGAAAGAAGGTGAAGGGTGCAAGGTGAGAGAAGGGTGGGGTTAAGGTTCTGTGTTTCATTTATCCGTTTTCCGTTTTGAGTTTTCGGTTTTCTGTGGTCTGTTTTCTTTTGATATTTGCTGATTTTGTTTCTGTTGTCTTCCTGTTGGCCGTTTCCTGCTTTCCCCAGTTTTCACTTTGCTGATTTTTATTTTCTGTTTCCGTTCCTGTTTGCCGTTTTCTTTTCTGTTTTCCGTTTTGCGCTTTCTGATTCGTATTTTCGGTGTTCTGTTAACCCGCACACGACAACAACAACAACAACAACAATTGAGCAAATCTATAGAGTGAGTATTCCAGCGTTCCGGAGTTGCAGCGTTAATCAGCATGTCACATCTTGATCACGCCATCGGCAACAATAGCGCAGCGTAAGAATGACGCCAGAGTGTTATGCAAATGTTGGGAGTTGTTGCGTCCGTTTGCACGTAGCTAAAGGCCCCGTTTGTTTGGAGACAATTCGTCCCGGGCAAGACCGGATCACCCTCCCAGTAGAGTCAACTTCAGCGAGAGTTATTATGAGAAAAAAGTTGTCCCCTTTGCCCGAGCCAGCAACGCTTGCGCATGCTCTGATTGTCTCGCCTTGAACGAGTTGACCCGGCTGGGCGGGACAAAGTGTTAATATGGAAAAAGGTTGACCCCGCTAGGGAAGTCACCCTTCTAGCCCAGACAATTTTTTTTGCTGGTATAAATAGTCCGCCATGTAAAGAAATGTAAGAAACGTTAGCTTGCCTAGGGTAGCTCGGGTAGGCGAGTGACCCTTCTACCCGGGATAGCTTTTCTCCGTATATACGGGCCCTAAACTGGCAGTAATCGGTAATTAATAATTAGTTCCTTTGGATCGAATTGCCGTTGCAGATGAATGTCACCAAAGTGGGGAAGATTGTACGATTCAGTGAAATTTGGGGACTAGTTCAATCAGAAAAATGGGTTTGACAGATTCACGTTCATTTTTTATTAACCCTCGGACGTACACGCAAAGTCATACCCCATCGTGGTACAAGGGGGGGAGGGGGTTGATGGAACCTCCCCCGTTGAATTTTTGATATGTTGCGGTTTTTCGAAACGACTTTGCCTTCAGTGGAAAGCCTTTGATCTTCTCTACAAGATGAGGTATATTTTATTGGTAGTGGCCCTGCTGGTGGTCTTTGACGTAACCACTGAAACATGGTCGCCATCTTGGATTTTATCAAGAATTAAACATCAGGTAAAAACGGTGAAAATTAATAATTTTTTGCACTTATCATGTAAACATATTACTCAATGGGTTCAAGGCCTGGGTGAAAGATGTGTTCTGAGCATATGAATAATTGACATTAGTATATACACACTCAGTGATCTTGGTGATTTAAGCAATCTGATTGGTTCGCTATCTCGGACTATTCAACAATATTCACCTCCTAGCGAGTGGATAATGTGTGAGCTCGGTGTTTTTCCCGTTTTTTTTAGAGAACGATCTTTTAAAAGTCGACAAAATCCTAGGGCTGACTTTTTTAAAGGCAAGAAAAGACTTGGAAGGATTGAATACGGCGTTTTTCAATTTACTGTAGCAGGAGTTTTGTGCTCGATGGATTGTTTACAACTCCCGTGTATTCGCGTAGAAGAAGCCGTTTCGTGAACTCAGCGTTTTCTAAGAAGAAAATTTTGGCTCAAAAATCGAAGTTTATTTATGACAAACAAATTTAAAAGGAAATGTTTGCAGAAATTCTACATTTCAAGTAAACAGGAAAAAGAATGATACAGGAAGACGACCTCTTACCTCGAGCAACCGAGCCGCTATTTTTGTCAGCACTTCATGCGAAGAACGACACAACATGCCCTTTTGGCTATAAACTTGGCGAGTCAACAGAAAACAACACAGCTCTACTTTTTTTCTCAGGTAAGGAAACAGTTCAAACTTTTAGCGATTCCATTGAAGCCATTACGCTGTTGTTTGCGAAATGAGTAAACTTGTGAATTGCCATGTTTGAAAATTCTGCAAAGATCTATTTTTAAACTTACGCGTGATTTGATCTGTCAATCAAATCCTACTTTTGAATGGTTTCCTTTCTGATTTTGTTGAGATCACTTCGTGTGTATATACTAAAACAATTATTCTTCTCAATCTCGGTGAATAGTGGCTTTGGGAATATTTACCTCGCCGCTTTCGCGGCTCGGTAAATATTTTGCCACTATTCACCTCGATTTCAAAGAATAATTGTTAATTAGTAAAATCCAACTATTATAACTATTATATAACTATTATCAATGCTGCGTTCTGATTGGTTGAGCTACTACTAGGCTATATGTTATAGCCCACTAGTAGCGAAAAGCGCGGGCTTTTTGGCGGCAAAAAGGATTAAAGTCTATCTTTAACTAGCTAAATTTTTTTTTTATTCTCGATATTTTTGACCAAATAGTTGGATTTTACTAAAACAATTATTCCTCTCGCCCTTATGGCCTCTGAGTCAGTAGCCCATTCGGCCCGTTCGGCTTCATGGGCTATTGCCTCAGAGCATTTGCATTTCTTTTGAGCTGTAAAAGAGCTGGATTTTGCTGATTGTTAATCACCTTAAGACAGCAGTGTGGTGATTAACTTAACCCTGGCCTCAATTTTCAGACCAATTTAGGTCCCCAGGAAACTGCCCAAGTACTCCTTCCGTAAGCCATCATTTTGCCCCGATTAAGTGAGAGTAGAATTAGTAATTGTTATCATTATTCATTCAAAATATTTCTCAGTTTCTGATTGGCTAAAATACAAGGCATAATTCACCATAACCAGCTATTGTATGCCATATTGAACCGATGACGTCAAAAGTGCAGCAAAGTTGCAGATTATTGAACCGTTAACCGAGAAGTCCGGGGAACGAGGTTGAGTTGTTTTAGCAGTGACAACAAAAATGGCGGACATTTCGCTCGTTTCACTGAGAAGAAATAAGCGAACTATTGGCTTAAAACATAGCAAGAACAGTAAGAAGACAACTAACCTGCGATCCGGGTGTCATTCTTCTTAGAAGACAACTCGAAGGGTGACATCAGCTGCTATTTGGAGAATATTTACGTAGGTGAACAACTCTTTAGTTCCTAAACTTGCCGATTAACGTGCACTATCGAAGAAGCCGAAGATAAACTGGAAATCGATGGGAGGTAAGCACCTTTAAGCTTGTTTTCAAACTAGGAATTGTTTTGAATGAATTATTATAATAAAACAATTATTGAATTCGGCTTTCGTATCATCTGAACTTCATGGAGATCTCAGAGGGTGCCGTTATCCGGCCTCGGCGGATAACACCCTCCTCGATCTCCATAATTCTTCAGATGATACAAAAGCCGAATTGAGTGACTGTTAAATATTGGCTTAGGTTAGGGGTAGGTGACCAGTTTCCGAGAAACCTAAAATTGGTCACCGATTTTTTTTTTTCAAATCAGGTCTGTCAGTGCGACTGTTCTAATTGCAATATAATTCTCAGAAGAATATGAATTTAAGCTTAGGTATCCACGATTTTCTCAGTCAGTTTGCCTGTAAAATAGAGGGTCAAAATGGCATTAACCGTCAAAAAGGAAAATTTTTTACGTCAACTGCCAAAGACAATAGAGAGATTAAGATTCACATTTACGCCAAACGACAAACGTCATATTCATGTTAAGAATTCCTCCGAATAGAAAATAAGCAGATAAAAAAATAAGTATAAAACTGGCGTGAAACTACTTATTTTTTAGTTGAAGTAATAAACACTTGTCGACAATTAAGGGAAACACTTGGTCACGTGGTACAGATTCACGTTTGCCGTTTGTCGTAAACGTGAATCTTAATCTCTCTAATGTTGACATAATTTTTTAAAGGCCGGCCAGGTCTGAAAACGGGTATGGATTTTAAAGGCTAGGTCTGAAAAAAGATGTGGAAACGGGTGTTTGGTCTGAAAGCGGGTCAGGCGTGACTTGGAAAACCGGCCGGAACCCCCGCACCAGGAATTCCCAGGAGTAACCCCCCTCGGGTTAAGACCTAAGATGTAAACCACTATAAAATTCCTTATAGAGCAGTCCCTAATAGATTGATTAGATGTTGCGATAATATTAAATTAAAGTTCCTCGGTTCGTTTACAGAAGAAAGTTTTAAACTTTTGCATGTCATAAAAAAACAATTTTTTTAAGAGGTAGAATATGGGTTAATTTAGCAAAGTGCGTCTTTGTGCTTAAATTTGACCAGGGTTGTAGTCTAGTTGTTCCGAACTTTTGGAATGACCATGTTCTAGGCTGGTGGAAACATAAAGATGATCGCAATATCTTGTTTCTAAAATATGAGGATTTGCACACGGTAATGTTGCGTTATCTCGATCTCGCAGCGGTGGAGTTTTTTCAACTGATCTGAGGCCTATTATATATTTATATCTGTCTAAATACGGTAAAAATTGGCCACTAGGTTTTCGCCTGGTGTCGAGGGATGGATCAGGCCTGGGGGCAGAACTAGGGGGGTAAGGAGGGGGCTATTTTGACACAACCCCTTCAGTAAGCAGCACTGTTCACTAGAGGCTTTGACTGGCATCTACCTTGTTCTTACTTTACCCTAGCCAGCTGAATCAGGCCTCTACTGACAATAATTATCATCTGATGATCATTGCGGATCTCAGTGGGAGGCGCAGACAGTTAGTCAGTGTCCTGGGTGGGGAGGGTGAAAGTCATGGTATCAAGGGCATACTTAGCTAAGGACCTGTAGACACTCACTGAAGCCATGTTGACATAAATTCAGTCAGATATATATTCTCTCTGTCAAGACTGTGACCTATTCAACACATTAAACTGTCCCAACTTTCTTCAGGATCATAAGAGGACTCGCCAGTCTTTTTCCGTGAACAGTCAATATAGTAACATACCGTAAAATTCCGAAAATAAGCCCCTCCATGTATAAGCCCCTCCAAATATAAGCCCCTCAATGCGGTAACACAAAAAACCCTCCGTTAAATTGCCCCTCCAAATATAAGCCCCCCGGGGGCTTGTACTTGGAAAATTGCCCTCAAATACAAAGTAAAACAAAGCAAAAACGGTAAATTTACTTCCAACTATATGGCTAGACCAATCGATTTTGAAACGCAAATTTCCCTCCGTAGATAAGCCCCTCCGAATATAAGCCCCTCCAAAAATAAGCCCCTCAAATAGGGCCTTTGAAAAATATAAGCCCCGGGGCTTATTTTCGGAATTTTACGGTATAGCAGTACTTGCGTCGCAGACAATTCAACTCAGCGGTCTGGTTTCGTCTGTGGCGCATTCTAGAGTCAGTCCTTTGAATTCTAAAGTAACCCAGCTCAGTTTGTCCTAGGATCTTCCTTCACATGTACCAATGATTGCAAATCTCCTGTCCTGAACAAGCCGCTGTCAGATGAGCTAATCAATCGTATTGCAGAACAGTGTGCGCTTGAGGAGTTGAGGCGAAATGAAATATGTTACGTTTCGAGCTTCACAACACCGAAGGGCAGCGTTCGTCTCTTCTACGGAAGGGCGAGGTCGGTGGTTGGAGGAGTACTTCTTAAGAGCAGTTGTCTGTAAGATTCGAGCTATATTAAAAAGGCGCTGCCACCCTATCTCACCGAATTGGCTAAAAATTGGCATGTAGACTTGATTTGAGGTCTTTAATAAGGAATAGGTAACTTTAGGTTCTAATTCCTCCTACTTCGGAAATTATCGACACGGCCGGTTTTTGGGTGCCTTGGACCGGCGCCATATTGGTTAATAGAAGCTGCTTTTGAGCCTTCGACTACAACCCTGTCTTCAAAGCTAATCTTCCTTTGCCAATACAGATTGAAAGAACGATCCCTCTTTATTGTATTTTTAGAAACTACTTCGAAATTGATAACGTTTTCGCAACGATCGATTAAACTTTTGGTGGGTATACTTTTTGAATTTTTTACACCCGCAAAATTAACAGAATTTTAAAGGCGTATATCTCTTTTGCCACATCGCATTGAAGCTTGCCAATCTGCCTGAATACTCACTGTTTGTAGTTAAATCGAGTTCATTAATTAAAAAATTGGGCAAATTTAACGGAGCAGAAACAAAAGTAATGAATGGAAGACTGTTCTAGCGACTTTGCCAATAATCTGTACACCGAATACTCGCCAGGTGTTGCCAAAATTACAATCGATAATAGAGTTTCTGTCATTAAATCTGAGTGATCTGTGTAATACAATTAGCCTCTGTAATATAATCGATAACTCTGCTGCGAAAAACAGTATAAAAAAGGCAGATTGTATAAGGAAAAGAAAAATGAATTTGTCATGTTTATGCTATGACGCGTAAACAAAATTCAACCATCACAGTCGAACTGGAATTTTCCTGATTTTCCTCCAGTTCCTTTACCGAAACCAGAGCTTTTAAAATTAACCATAGTAATGAAAATTGAGATGTATTACCTTACTCGACGACAAAGTTGCCAGTTTCAACCTTGATCGAAAAAAAGTAATATTTTCCCACGCATATCGCGGGTCGTCACGTTCCTTGCCTGGCGTTACAACTCACGTGAAACCGCCTGGTTTCAAACAAGTGAACTGAAGAATCCGTGAAAATCTTAGCCAGGCAATAAATAATGGAAGTTGATATAAGTTATCATTATTAGTGAGCGAGGATCGATGCGATGATAGTTCCAGCTACATGTGTTTACAGCGTTTGAAGATTTACTCAAAACTCATGAGACATGAGCCCTTGAAATAAACATCATTACTTCCGGTTTTAAAAATTGGGCGTTTTCAAAGTAATGAATAGACTCATTCTACCTTGTACACCGTTAACAACGGTTCCGTGTACAATTTTCAGGTATTTTGTCTCAATCACGAGGCCCGTTTTGAGGAGATTCTTGATAAACAGAAAAATTGGTTTGGAAGGGGTTAAGAAGAATGAGGGATGAGCCCGGGAGAGCAAAAACCACAGTCACCCCACCGAAGGGCTTTAAAACTGTGCGCAAATGCCTCACCCTAGGGACAATTCCAGATTTTTGTTTCCTTGAAAAAGCTTAAAATCGCTAGACAATGCATGGACAACTCAAGACAGGCCTAATTCAAAATAAAGTAAACAGCAAAGAAAATTCAGTTAGAGACCAGAGTGTTTATCCGATATCGCGAACAGTAAGGAGTGATTGAAGATGTGTCTGCAGTTTAAGGTAAAATCATTTACCATGCTCACGGACCTTTCGACAACATAAGTGTACCGATTGACGTAATATCCGTGGTAAAAAACGAACGCTTTTTACTGTAGGACGATGACGTCATCATAGAAAAGGCAACTTCACTCTGGCATCCAGAATTTCAAACAGTCAAAACCTAGTTTTCTCTGCTCGTCAAATGAAAAACGCCTCTGAGGACAAGTAGTGGTAATGTGCTTGTTAGTAAGACGTCCAACATAAGGAGACATTCATTATCAACTCGGTTAATGTATTGATAAAGGGAAACTTTCTCCTTTACCCTTAGGGACAGAGTTCAAAGGCGCAAAAGATTTTTAGTTCAGCTCTAGCATGTGTTGTCTAGCGATTTGCCTTGAGCTTCTTTAAATTTTCCAGATCAAACAAGCTGTGCCCATTGTACATAATCTTGTCTGGGCTCCCTTGAAAAATTGCAATTCATCAGATGCCTTCAAGTTCATCCTCGGCCGCGACAACTTCGTGATCTATTTTAATGGGTGGTTTTCAGGAACTATCCTATGGCTTGTCCTTTCTGGTCGTCACTATATTAGCGAACATGTTTCAATTTCTCTCCAGCAAAAATCTCTATAAGGAGCGTTGCCAGGACTTTCCAGGTGTGCGGAAAATTTCCAAAACTTACCCTAACATCTTACTCAGTTCTCTCGCAACGTTTCCCCACTACATTTGCTAATTCAGTTAACTAGGTGAGGTTATGCGTGGATGAAATGGCACTTGCAATCGGTGAGAAAAGTAGGTTAGACACTTTACCCTCAAGGACAACTCTCACGTTTTGCGGACACTTTCTACCTTAGAAGAGATAAGTGAAGCTTTGCCTTCCCCACTCCGTGTAAAAGAATGTCGTTCGGCTGTTCAAACTACTTTGACAAAACAACAAACTTCCCAACTTTCATTTTTAGTAAAGGTATAAGGGTAGGAATCCAAATTGTTTTGGAGTATTTCACTGATTTTAACACGATGATTGTAAAGTAGTGTCTAGTGAGTACGGGGGCTAATGCTCCATCGTAAAAATCTGAAATTAAAAACAAAAATCTTGTATAACCGAGTAGTACACAATTTTAGTTATTTTATTGAGTTGTGAAAAATCACAAATTTGTTTCTTCTTGAATGTGTTATACTCTCATCCATTCAGTCTTTCCGATATGCCCGTCGGATAGCGGAAGTTAACGTAAATGATCGATTAACTTTCCACCTTGGGGTCTTTTCCCTAGCCATAATTTTTTTCCCTCAAGGAATTTTTCTCTGTTTTACATAATAATTGGTCTTGCATTCAGCTTATCGATTTTGAGAGCCTAGTCCTATGCCGTATTCTGATGCGATCTACTTTATGTAGCTTTCCCCCCATCTAACAGCTCCTTACTGAACAAAAACGGCTTTAATTGAGTCTATTCAAAGAACTAGCCAATATTTTTCCAGCGGTAAGCACAATGTTCCTAATTCCCCCTAGTCCCCTTCTAAGACGCTTTCATGTGCATCAGGTGTTAAGTTTTCTTTTCATAAGCTACAATGCTCATAATCGCGCATTCTGATGTCATTTATGCTTAAAAAATTAAAAATTAGTTTATCGAAGAAAGAGTGAATTAAAGGTGTCATGAGGCGTTTGTGATTTCATGAACTATTTGACGCGGTCCTTTTCTTACGGCTTATGTCCGTTGGTGAAATCGCTACTTGGGTTTTCTTGGATTGAAAAGGGCGGCTCTTTCTAAACGTGGCGTTGTTTATGGGACCTTAGTATTCAGAACAGAATCAGTCGATGGCAAACAACGAAAAGGCTTTTATGTGGTAAGTTACAGTGATGAACCTTGCCTCGAGATGGTCATATTTTTGTACATACCTTCATGCAATCCAGTGTTGGTCTGAAAATTTTTTGTTATGGATGGGGGAAGGGGGGGGAGATCAGAACATGTATCTCTTGTTGTTTACGAGACATTAAAGTAATGAAAACTGTTAAACAGTCTTCTACAAATCAAAATAGTTGCAAATGCTTACGGGAGGCCTTAACTATATGATGATAAGAAGGGCTATATTTGGAAAGGTGCATGGTCGTGGAGTTAAGGAGATTTGACTAATCAACCAATTTCCCGCTAAACATAAGGGCGTGGCCAGTGGCCCCAAAATTGTGTTCGCTCGCCCCGGGCTGGCTCGACTTTTGGGATACGGTTATGGGGTTATAAACAATGAGTTCATCATCTACATAGCCTACTCGCCCCAAGTGACTGCATTTCGCTTTTCAGAGACCCATCAGTTACTGTATAACCCTCTCCGATCAGATTTTATGTCCGTGGTACTGGTGGTGAGGTCAGTCTACAAGCAGAGTCGTGAAAAACACCGCTACTTGAGCCTTTACGTTCAAAACATTCCTGGCTATCGGGAAAAAAAGAAGGAGCTTTTAAAAATACTAAATAAAATGTCATTTCAAATATCACTTTGTCACCGTTCGAAAATTATTGTGCAGGCCCGTAACCAGGATTTTATATGGGGGGAGGGGGGGGGGGTGGTAACGAGGCCAAAGTGCACCAAACTACCGAAATGTATTTTTTATTGTCTCATCCGTTTATTTAGGGAAGTAGCAATACATGAGAAATTGTAACAGCAAAGTACATGGTAGGAACTGAATAGTACATTTGTCGAATACAACTATTTGAATAAAGTTATACAGGAGTAATTTTACGATGTAAAATGATACATCAAAATACTGTGGAACTAATCGCTCAGAATAGTCCCGAGCTCCAGCCTCCGTGGGTGTTTGGTGGCAAACAGATTTACCACTTCATCCAAAACAATTTTAGCTTGATAATGTATGCCTTTCCTGGCCCATACATGCCCTGTTATATGTATGCAGCCGCCTTAAAGAACTCGCACTTCTTTCACATTCACAGCTCACTGCAGGGATTGAGGCGCATATCTTGAGGAGCGCATATATATTTGGAAAGAGATCATCATCGCACTCCTTAAGCGTAGGCACGTTAATTTCATTATTCATTTAGATAAGCTCGGACATCTGTGCGCTCATTGAAATGTTGTGAATGACTCGGGCTACTAGAGTGCAGCTGGTTTTATTTTCCCAGTGAATACACTACTACTTTTTCCATTCTTTGATTTTGTTTAAATATCGCTGTTAAGTTTGAAACTTCAGTTTAACCGACTGCACTCCTTAACTTGGATATTGAGTATCAAAATGCGGACCTTTGGGGCCTGTGGGGAGGGTGCGAACGCACCTCGTGCATCCCCACCACCCGCTGGTTACGGGCCTGTTGTGAATCAGACCGAATGAAAGTTCACTCAAAGAGGGGGAGGGGGGAGGGGGGTTGGTAGTTCTTAACAGTTCCAGTTAGCTAGAAAATTAAAAGTTACGAAAAAAATAGTGGGCGAACTGCAGAATACATGCAAGAATGAGAAAGAAAATAGAAAACAACTTCCTCTTCAAATTCGGGTGAAACGTTTAATAGCGTCAAGAAGACTGAACTTGACTGAGGTTGTTCATTTCAGTTCCGTTCCAGCGTGCAATTCCTTGTCCTCCTAAAAATAGCTTCGTCTGCCACCGATCATTCCATGTCATATTTTGCGGACTTATTATTCAGTAATGACGGTACGATCAGGTAATTTGACTTGATGAGTTCTTTAATTTCATTTCATGTACTAGTTTTATATCTTACGCTGGAAAGATCTGCCAAACAGTGTACACTAGCAAAGGTAGGTTCCTGTTTACACGTGTAATTATCGAATACCATACAATTTGCATAAAGCTACAGTGCACGGTTGGTTTTTCTAGCCTTTTGATTAAAATTGACAACGTTTGCGTTATCTTTGCCTAAGAAAATATGTAATTTGTAGCTGTATACAGCGAAATACTACAGAGAAAATTGTAACTGTGCAGTACACGAGCGGCTCCCGATTGGTCTGGGAAATCGAAGAGCGAACTTGAGCTAGTACCGTGTGTAACAAAATTTATAATTTTCATTTTAGCGCATATTTCAAGCTCTTCGCAAGATCAGAATCAAAATATCATTTGTTTACATTACAAGGGAGGGTTTTTTAAGCGATAGATAGGGTTTAAGAGGCACGATTAATTTTTAAAGAATTTTCTTTTCAAATATTCACCGAATTTTGTTTTGAAGTTTTAACGGCCAAGTGGCTGAACCACTGCGCATTCATGCAATCATATTTCTGTTCCGTTGCATTTGCCCAATTATTTTATTCAACAATCTAACTTAGCTATAAACAAACTATGTTTAGTTAAAATGGCTTAGTGTAAATCGATGTGGCATGGGTGATATTGGCCTTCCAATTTCTACCAAATTTGTGTACCGTTTAAGTACCGAAAAAGTGCTGTGAGAAGTTATAGCCGTTCGTAGCTCAGGCTTAACCATTTTCAGATAAGAGTAGGTAAATGAAAGGAGGAAGGATAGTTCTTTGCAACTGTATGAGTCACGATTAAGTTATTTTAATGATAAGGCTAGAATTAATTACTGTAAATCTCCTTCAGTTCACCAACATGGCGGCCGCTCGAGGCCTCGTCAAAACTGTCATTCCTGTATCTTTGAAACCAACGAGAATTCGAACCTTAGAATATGCATTCAGTATTTAGGACACCATTCTAAGACTAGATGCCAAAAATCAGCCAAATCGATGAGGTACCGTGTCAGGCCGAAGTTCGAATTTTACAGAAAATCACTCTTAAATGAGAGATTTGCAAAGGAAGTATTGTCAAAACTGAAAGGAACGGGATTAGAATTTGATTTTGAGAAAAAAAAGGGGCAATGACTGAAACAATAAAATTGCTTGTAGAGCTGTGGGTAAAAAACAAAAACAAACAAACAAACAGCTACACTTCAAGAATTGTCCTTTTGTATCCAAACGACTGACTTGTCAGTGTCATGAGCTGGTGCTTTTAGAATGAAAGAAACTGAGACACAATGAAATAAATCTTCATTATAATCACTCTTGTTATAATTTAATTAAATGAAACGATTACCCAAGAACGTAGTCCCCAATTTTCGTTGAGGAAAATTACTTCAAGATTAACTATTCGTCCGGAATGTTCTCGATTTGGCTTATCTTGATAACTAGCCGCCGTCAGCTGCCTTGTACGAGAAAAATTCACAAGTTATCCTTCATTTCCTTTTGAGGCCTTTCCTCGCTCCAAAAATTGAAATAAGTTTCTGTCGTTTGTGGTTGGTTGAACTTTTAAAAAGGCAAAAAATGTCACCTTTTGGCTTTCGTGCCCGCAAATGGCTGCGTCTTCTTTGACCATTTCAGTCCTGCTTCACGTTGTGGAGGGTATTATTTGTCAAACTTTAAATTTATTGCCTAATTTCAAACCGAGGGGGCCTGGTTACGAATTCGTTTATTATGGAGAGACCCACAAAGTAAGAAAGAGGAAACTGAGATTTACAAAATCCTCAACCTTGGTGTTTGTCGGACCTCGTATATTGAACGAGATATAGCCATTTAAATAGTCCAAATTTTACTGAGAAATATATAGACGTCCGGACAGTGTGTCTGGCAATCCATAGTCCACGTGTAGCCACACCTTCCCGCCTCACAAAGGGAAAACTGGGAGAAGGAGTTCCGTTTTTCGGTCACGTTGAAACGCAGACCATGCAGACTGCAGACGGTGCAGACTATGCAGACTGTGCAGACTGTACAGACTGATCTGAGTGTTATTTCTTTACTTGTTCCTTAATTTTCTAGTAAAATTTTGCTATAGTTCCCTGCTTCCTCTTAATATGTGCACTGATGTGTACCTGCAAGGGTCATGGGTAGGAAATGACAAAGTCACGGGCTCATGTTTACCGGCAGATGTAAAAGCAGTTTCGCGTGCTTTTAGCTGCGCCGCTTTCACGCAGGAGCGAGCACGATGGAGGAAGGTAAGCTGTTTCTTTCTGTAACTGTTTTATATTGTCACGATTATTTATTTTTTTAGTAGAAGTAGCTTTTTCAGGTTAAGTAACTAAGCGACGTCTCAAGGACAGATTTAACAAACACAGACGTGCAGTCGACAAAACTAACATTACATCTAAACCCACTGTTTCTGAACACTTTCTCTCTCACTCTAACCATTCTCATACTGACATGCAGTTAATCCCACTGGAGAAAATCCATTCTTCACATGACTCAGGTCGTAAGGCCAGGGAGTTGCATTTGATAGATAAGGCCATGACTCTTGAACCTCATGGCCTAAACCGCCATGACGAATTATTGTAATCCATATCCTTAGTATTTTTCCTTTCCAGTTTTTATGTTGTACGTCATTTCCGCCTCTCCCTTTTATTCCGACATTCTCCATCTATATAATATTATGATTGCTACATAAGTTCAGTAACATCTGTAAACCTGAAGAAGGCTGGTATGGCCAGCCGAAATATTGTTATAAAAAACAATACACGTTGCTTTAAATCAGCTTTGCAGTAGTCTTTGGACTTCTCGTTCTTGCAGGTTCTTTATATTTTGGCTGATTTGATCCCTTTTCTAGAGATCCAACGTTTACAACTAGCAGGATCTTCGTCCACGGTTTTTGCAGTTAATTTAATCCTTTAAAATAAAACCCTTTTCGGCTTCCTACAACGGCTACGAGAGAGACATTTCCTCAATTTCCTTGATTGTTGATGATCGTCTTTGGTTTCACTCTGTCATTCAAACCAGTGACTTGCCGTCATTTCTTTAGTCAGCTACACAGCCGTTTTTAGTGTCGTCACGCAATGCTCCTCCCCACAAGAGGAGCGTGGCATGACGACTCTACAAACGGCTGTGTAGCAGACTATCATTTGTTCAAATCTTACAGATACCGATGTCATCGTTGTTAGCTCGGGATATCAAACCGAGACGTTCGAGAGATGGGCCTTGCTTTAAAATGTGTAAATAAATCAAAGGTATATCTACCTAAAAATAAATATGCTGATTTCCAAGACAAAATATACCTAAAATACACGGCGGGGGATCTAGGTCAATGCGCATTAAAACCCCCTCCACATCTTCGAGTTGTACAAATAATACGTTTGTTACTAATGAACTATTTAGTTTTGGAGCTGCATAAACAAGAACCATGATACTCGAACAAGATTGTCGGTTTCAAACCACTACCACTTATTGGCGTGAATGCATGGAACAAATACGATTGTCAATCCCCGATTGAAAACCCGCCCAGAAGGACACTCTTGAGAATCGAATAAAAAAACATACATAAACAAAAGTCTCACCCGAATCTTCCAAGCTAACAACGATGACATCGGTATCTGTAAGATTTGAAGAAATGACGGCAAGTCACCGGTTTGAATTACAGAGTGAAACCAAAGACGATCATCAACAATCAAGGAGATTGAGGAAATGTCACTCTCGTAGCCATTGTACGAAGCCGAAAAGGGTTTTATTTTAAGTCACTTAACCTGAAAAAGCTTCTTCTACTAAAAAAATAAATAATCGTGACAATATAAAACAGTTACAGAAAGAAGCAGCTTACCTTCCTCCATCATGCTCGCTCCTTCGGGACACTATAGAAAAAATTTTACTAGAAAATTAAGGTACAAAAAAAAAATTACACTCAGTCTGCACAGTCCGCACGGTCTGCCCAGTCTGCATGGTCTGCATTTCAACATGACCGTCCCTTTTTCCTTTGCCAGAGGTGAGGGGGGGGGGGAGGGTGCGGCTACACGCAGTCTAGCAATCCATACATCTACCACATTTTCAAGTTTTTAAGTAGCTGTATCTTATGTAATATTTTCTTGATTGACACCAAACTTGAGAATTTTCCTAAGCCCACTGTTCTCTTTAATTAGGCCGATAACTGAGGCTACTGCTGTAAGCCAAAGTAATTATCTAGTATAATTATTGACCCCTCTAAAACTCTATTGTTCTCTTTTTGCAGGAATTACATCGACAATTTCAGTCGCTTCCAAATTGACATTGATATTTTGGTATATGAACAATATAATTAGCATATATTGGGCAGCAGTGCTTGAAATTGCGTAATGCTAGCGCTTTGCACTCTCCAATTCAGTCATGAATGGTAATAATGTGACTTTCCACACCTGTCAGTTTAATTTCCCTATCTCATGTATTTGTGTAAATGGTGTTATTGATCATGAATTTCATACACATGAAGAAAGAGCCATTTGCCTACTATGTAACACTATGCATAATTATGGCCATTTAAGTATGAAATTACGCAATTGATAAAATCCTACAATCTGATAACTATTCAAATGGAACGTAATCGGGCAGTACTCTTGGCATGTTACTTCAGTATCAAAATGTTTTTCACTAGTTTACAAACCGTGATTTGGAATTTTCGGCGCATTTTGACTTTAATCACTACTCAGTAGGTGTGAATATTGGTTAATCATACACAGTTGCCCTCATTATGCCAATGCAGTCGCCAGGCCAGCGGGCACCAGAGGGTATCGCGTGACCTGTCTTATTTGTTACAAAGCAACAATTTAACATCATGGCAAGTTTTCCTATGATTCAAGTAACAGAAGGCGAACAGAGATCACTAAGACTTTGGGATGTTTTGGGCGTAAAAATTCCAGAATATTTCACCAAACATCCAGCGTTGCTCGCCGACTATATCTCCAATTTTGAGACACGACCAGACGACGTTTTTGTGGTTTCTTATCCTAAGTCAGGTTCGTGCATCTTCATTGTAATTTTGTCGCAATCAGATAACTGAATAATGTTTAGTAATGTTTGTTTTAATAAGACCTCCTTTCTCGACAAGTTGAGTCTCTGAGCTCACTTATACATAGGCGTCCCAAATTCTCTATGTGAGCGCCGGTTAAATATTAAGACGTACAACTGATAATATTGCATAACAAAGCGATTTATAGGGTTCGTATCTACATGGGAACAGTTTAATTCGAAAAATATCGCTTTATCTTAGGTAACGGTCATTTATTTGAAGGCGGTGGGCTGGTATCATTTCTAAGGGGAAATGTGTTATTGTACATTCCATTTTAGTTTCTACCTCTTTTTTTCTGTGATTGAGGATGGGTCATGTCATTTCATGTGTACACTCTTAGGAGGCCACATTACTTTATGCAGTGACAAGAACGTACTGGGCCACTGAAAGTTATGTAGTGGAAAATGAAAATGCACCAGCCCCCCCCCCCCCCTCCCCCCTCCCCCTCTTGTAATAGGGAGGGTAATAGCCGTCGTCGATGCTAAAACTCCCTATTAAATGACCGGTCCCTTGGCTAATTGTGAAGAATAAGAAAACACAGTTACTTTTGCTGTATTTGTGTTTCTCTCCGCATTTTGAAGTAATTGGTTTTGTGATCCTGTTTAAGTGTAGACTACGAGCAGTCTCTCTTTTTTCTTGGACGGTCGAGGAAAACGCGCGAGATACGCAAATGACAACGCGCGTGACTGAAGACGCAAGACGTGCCGGAGGCTGCCGCCCTCGTCACTCGGCTCGACGCTAGCGCGCGCGTGCCCTCCCCCGACTAAATCTTAAGAAAAAGAGAGACTGCTCGCAGTCTAGTCTAAGTAAGTCCATTCCCTGGGGAGGAGGGGGGGGACACTCAAGGAAAGTTTGGGTAGAAGTTTGCCTCCTAGACCTTCAAAGGTTGACCCCGTTTAAAACAAATATCTTTCATTTCGTCTCTCTGTTTAAGACAAGAGACCTGTTTTCGCGACCCTGATTCATTTTGTTTTGCGTACAAATTTCACTAAAGTCATGAAGTTATATTTTTTTGGCAAAAATTGAAAGTACCACACACGTAGACCGCTCAGTATTCCGGTCTAAAAAGACACCCTGTTCAAGACACCAATTGGTGAATCGAAATTGCATAATCTACCCGTAAACCATACCCTGTTCAGGGGCGCCCTTTCACATATTATAGTTTTTATCACACACATGTATGGATTGTAAAGAAATTATCAATCTTCATTCAGGGACGACTTGGGTGCAGGAAATCGTCTGGCAAATCTACAATAAAGGAGCTGTAAGCAGTGTTAAGCAAGCATTTCGAGTCCCATTTCTTGAAATGACTGCCACTCACGAAAAGCTTGTAGAGCTCACTGATCTTAAAACTCTGCCAAGCCCTCGTCTGATAAAGTCCCACCTTACCCACAGTACTACTCCAAGAAGTGCAAATAAAGATGATCAGTGTAAATACATTTACATTGCCCGCAACCCAGAGGATGTAGCAGCGTCATATTTTCATTTTACGGAGTATTTGAACATGTTTGGCACTGATTACAATGGACCATGGGGATTTTTCGCTAAGTTATTCATAGAGGGAAATGGTAAGTTTTATTATATGTATGCAGTAATTATCTATATATTCTGCAGGAGGAGAAAGGATATTTTTTAATGTGCATTATTTTTCATATTCCTGATTACAGAATTTTAAGACATCTCCCACTTGACTAAAACGAAAAATAACAACCCGCCTTCTTGATTAGGAAAGTGAAGTAACGTAACGCAGGAGCCCATAACGCGGGGCGTCTAACTTCCATACTGCGCCTATGCAACGGCGTTTTCACAAGTAGGTCTATTTTTAGATAAGCCTTTCCCGCGAATTGCTTTCGAAAAGCCAATCACTAGCAATTGCGTCATCAATGATAAACTTTTAATACGTAACTAGGACAACTCCTTCACATTGAAAAAAACATGGCGGAAACATGTGAGGAATCTTCAGAGGAGTCTTCTGACAGTTCTTCAAGCGACAATTTCAGTATTTACACAGAAACTAGCAGTTCAGAGCAAGATTTGCAAAACCTAGCGAGGACGTCTACTTCATCGGCGACAACGCATAATTCACGCAAAGGGAATTAAATCGAAATCATCTTCGAAATAGCCGACTGTGAAAAGGTCCAAGCGAGCTACTAACAGTCTAAACGACGATCAAATGGGGGAATTGACCTCGTGGAACAGTTATTTTTCGCGGGAAAAGCTTAACTAAAAATAAACTCACTTGTAAAAACGCCGTTGCACGAATTTATGGCAGTTGAACGCTCCGGGTTATGGGCTCCTGCGTAACGGCAATATAACATGGTCAAGAGATACGTTTAATATAGAGGAATGAAAAAAATGGAAATAGGTCATACGTGTTAGTATTCTTATCGTAAAAGAAGTTTTGAAGCCGAGTTACCAGTAACTCATTCTGCATAAGTCTTTACGCATGAATTCACCTGCCAAAATGTTGACCAATCTGAAACTAGATTGGTCTTGAAGAGTTATTAAGCTAAAGGCTAAGCGTTAGAATTTCTTTTTAACGTTTTTTGTTCGTAAGCTAAACACAAAAACTTAAAGAGTTTTACTGAAGCAATTAGTTGGTAGCCTCCAAACTAGTTAATTTTACGCCAAGATCAACGAAAGGTGCATGTCTGGGACTCTCTTCCCCTCCCTTGCAAAGCCTCATCTCCCCCATCCCGAGAGTCTGTGTGGACGGGCGTACCCTGACTTCATAACCAAATTTTTGCGCATCGATAGGTTTCCAGTTTCTATGAGAATGGACCGGAAGCTCCGGCACTAACACGTCCATATAAGACACACCGTAATAGATCTTATTCACGATACCCGGGATCTTTGCACGAGCTTTGGGATTATTGATAAAACATGTCACGTGCTATTTCAGGGGGGGACAAGTGTTGGAATTTGTCAATATGACTAACTGTGGTCGAGTTTGTTTATTTTCTTGAAACGATACTACAAATTTTAGACGTGCAAAATGTACAGTCGAGTTTCGACAAGTTTTGCTCTCTGTAAAAACATTTATAGTCGCTACTGCATTAAAAAAATAACAACGATCAATCCCACCCATAATTTGCCATTATCGCCTTTTAAGATGAAAAGTTCTGTTTTTTCTGTTGTCCTGAATAAACAAATTTGACCACGATTTCTTGTATTTGCAGATTTATCACTTTTTTACCCCCGAAAAAACCACGTTGCATTGTTTTTATCCCATCAGTCCTTTAAAAGTGCGAGAAAAGATAGCGGGTATCGTGAACAAGGTCTGTTGCTTACTATTTTGTTTTGAGTAGTTGGCTATAACGTTTGGACTGACCATGTTCTTGACTGGTGGAAACACAGAGGTGATCCCAAAGTCTTGTTCCTCAAATATGAAGACTTACACAAGGTAAACTAAAGGCAAAGATTGATCTGGGTTATTCAGCGTAAAACAGAGTGAGATCTGGGTACAAGATTAAACGATGCTTAGGCCGTGTTCAGAAGCCGAACTCTTTATGAGCCGAACCTAATACATTGAGTTAAGTTCATGAAAAGTTCGGCGTCTGAGTCAATTAGGAACGCCTGTTTCAATTTGGAACGGCTCAGTGATTCTTCCCGCCTAGCCTGGCCGGGAAGTTCGACTTTGGAACGACTTTGGAAAGCTTTGATTCAGACGCCGAACTTTTCTTGTACCTAACCTAACCTAATGCAAGCAGTTTGACCAAAATGAGCATTTTTCTCCTTTTGAATTTAGTTCCAGGGCCCCCCCCCCCCCCCCCCACCCCCCCCCCCCCAAAAAATTGCAGGTAAGGAAATTCCGCGAGAAATGAATACTGTTGAAAACTGAACCCAAAATTTGCCATTTTGTCATTTTAAATTCATGTTTCTCTTAAATGAGTCAATAAAATGCTGGATTACGTTCATGGACTGCTTTTATTGATAAAATAGTACTAAATTAAATGTAATATAATAACTCACTAGGTATATCTAGAAAAGAACCATTTGTATAAAAGAAATGCAAGTTTTGAAAAACATAGCTGTAAAACCTCGGTTGGCATGGTAACGTCAATGTTGACGAACACTTACCAAGACTTTGAAAAAATGCTCCCAGATAAATTTCAGGAAAAGTCGGTCACATCTTTAAAGGTTTTGAAGTGATTCACTTTAAAGTTTTGGGGGCCTAGGGTTAACGTCGTCTGAGTTTACCTTTACACACAGCTGTCGATGGTTTTAGTGTACTCAAGAAGTCATGAGTTTGAGTTTTTTTTCTTTTTTGCGTGGGGGTTGGGGGTAGGGAGCACTTTTGGGGTTACCCATACGTTCTGCCAAGAGAGAATGAGCTAGATCATTCTCTCTTGGTTCTGCCGAAGATCTCAAACTGTAAAATGCGTATTCAAAATGTATTCCCCCAGGAGAATGGTTATAAAAGCCGGCAAACACCAAAGTTGAAACCAACGGTTCTGTAGTTTATGTTGAAAACTCCTTGACCGTGCACAATCCTTTGTTTTTTGTTCACCAATTGTGACTGCATAAATTAACGCGATGTTTCTCTTACTCAGTAAAATCAAAATGATAGGAATGCTATTGAACATTGTGCACGGTCAGGTCCAAAAAAGCTATCAACTACAAGATATAACAAAGGAGTCTAACGGGTTTCATAACCATTCCACTTTAATAACTATATGACCTAGGGAAAAACTAATTTGGTGCACTGAGGACTTTTTTGATAAATAGGTACTTAAATCTACAACGGTACGGTACTGAATTAATATTAATTTCTCCTAGGATCTACCTTCTCATGTTCAAATTATTGCTGATTTCTTGAACAAGCCCTTGTCAGATGAACTCTTCAGTCGCATCGCCAAGCAGTGCATCCTCAAGGGCATGCAGGAAAATATGACAAGTTACACAGTCGACGACAAAGAAACTACTTCAGCTTTGTTACGAAAGGGCGTGGTCGGAGATTGGAAGAACTACTTCACTCCAGAGCTGAATGAGAGATTTGATAATGAGGTGTTGTCAAAACTGAAAGGAACCGGATTAGAGTTTGACTTCCAGATGTAAACGACCAAACAGTACATACGAGGGTTAAAACCAACTACAGTTACGTGTTTTCTATCCTTTTATTTTGTTACATTCAAACAACAGACCAGTTGTATAATTTAAAAAAAAACTATGAATAATAAATAAAGTTCATAGATAATAATGTACTTTCTTGTGATACATATTTTTTTATCCAAAGTCAAACTTCTTGGCTGAAATGTTTATCATAATGCGACTGTAACCCATTATAATAATTAACCTGCTTGATCTTGTTTAGCTGACAGGTTTTTTTATTTTTGAGGATAAAAAAGGCAAATTTCTGCCAGCAGGATTTTTAAATCACTAGGTGCTTCTTTACTATATCTGAACTCCTGGAGCGGACTGACAGTCCAGTCTAAACGTCAAGTCCGCGATAATGATAGGAGTACCTCAAAGTTCTTAACGTTATGATGCTATATAGGTCCATAAAACATTCAGAGTCAGTACATTATAAGATCACAATGAGAAGGAAAACATGGGCTATTAAAAAAATTAATTGGTTTATAAGTTAATATATAACCTCCCTGGTAAAAAAAAACGACACGCAAGCGTAAAGAAACCCAAATGAACAATTCCTGTTTATCTCTCTCCCACGACGTACGATATCCTACAACCACTTCGTGTGCGACAATCCTAGTGAATTAAATGCTACACGGGGACAATAGCTTTCCGGAAGATCAACATGCAACATATGATCTTGATAGTTTCGTGTTGTTTACACAAAACGGGCTAGAGACACACACAGAACACTGTCAACCCTTTCCAATATACATTAAGATTTTCACTTGACCAAAGACTTTCGTTTCCGGTTTTCTGCTGGTTAGGTTATCGCTTTCACTAGCTCGCGAGCGTCCCTCGCGACTTCGGCGCTCACCTAACCTGCCATCAGGCGGTCCTAATCTTCCCTGACTTTTCTCCTTTCCCCGAAAGAAAAAAAACGCCTGACCGCAGGTTAGCGCTAATATCATCAGGTCATCTCAGGGGAGCGGGGGGTGCGCACCCCCTGCACCCTCCCCCTAGATCTGCCTCTGAGCCCATCTCTAGCTAAATATGTTACACACCTTCTTTTTGTAAATTTTCTAACAAAAGCAGGAAGTACCGGAAAGTACTTGAAACTGGTGTCCAAAGCCATTGAAAAGGCTGTGGCAGTACAGTTAACAGCTTTAATATGTTTCTTAACTCACCCCCTACACTAATGATTCCAGTAAGCTTACAAGCTCTATCACTCTACTGAGACTTTTGTTGTCAGAGTGGAGAATGAAATTCTTTGTGCCATTGACAGTAACCATTCAGTGATTCTTTTATTGTTAGATCTTTCTGCGGCTTTCGATACTGAAGATCATTCTATTCTGTTATCTGTACAAAAAAACACAGTGCTTTTAATCCTGACAAGTTCACGATAGGCAGTTACATTTTGTCATTTTTTCCTCTTGAGATAGTGTCTATAATGCCCACTTAACGGTTGCGTGGGTTTGGTTTAAATAGCCTGCTGCGCCGGATTTATAACTTTTCCTTATTTCATTTTTGTTTAGTTTTTGCGTATTTATGATGATATTTTAAACTTCAAAACTTTTGCCGTTCAAGTCAATAACAAAGTAATTTAGTTTATTATTTTTAATTATTAATCCAGGTAACCCTTTTGCTAGTTATGTCGGTTGTTATGAAGCAACGGTTATTGGGGTAAATGACTTTTCCTTAAGATTATTATATATTAAGCATATATTTCATTCAAATGATCATTATTTCTTTACAACGCAACTCGCGGATGCTTTTTATTGTAACATAACTTTCAACTCGCTTGGCTAGCGGGAAAGGAGCTCGTCACTATTCCAAGGTACTGGGATCTGCTACAACTGGAAACAGGACAGGACTCAAACTTGGACTTCAACAGTTTAATCTTCAGCTCGTGAACGTAAATCGTACAGTCAAGTAAATCCGCAATGTAAATCGTACAAGCATATAACTCCGCAATGTAAATCGTACAAGCATATAACTCCGCAATGTAAATCGAAAAACAGGAATAACAATGCTCTATTTATACTGACCGATCAACTTATTACAACATCACAAAACAAATGGAAAGAAGGCTGAATAAAATCAGCTGGTAAGCGAAAACAAATCTGGATAAGTTCAGTTTTTAAAGTTCATATGTTAAACTAAATAACTCAAAATTAAATGTCAGTTAATCAGGTGAATTTAGGAAATTTACCATTACACAGAAAGCTGTGTAAAAGAATTCTAGTTTCCTTTGCTCAGGATTCCCTAAAATGTCAAAACTAAAAACTACGAAATGTCGGTATTAAAACAGGCGAAAGGTCTAGTTATTCAGTGACTAAGCTGTATATCTATTCAGAAACAGATTATCCTTTTAAAAGTAAAAATTGAAGTAAAATGTGTATAACTTAAGGGAACTAAAACAACTCAATGCAAATTCAATGTTAATTACGGCTAACACAACTTCAAAGGAAATATTTAAAAGCTAGATATAAAATTCGAATCAAATAAAGAATACATGGGAAATCTCTCCTTACACTTCTTCCTAATGTTTTTCCAATTATATATCAACAACAATGACAAAAAAAAAAAAAGAAAAAACAAGTAAAACCTGAACACTCACATACAATATCAAAATGAGATGGTTTTGTTAGCGCGTACTAACTTTGAGAAGCAACTGAGAGAAACACAGACAACGATTTTTATCTTGGTTTCCCAGTGTATCCTTTATTTCTAACAGAAAGGTTTATATGCTTCAGTTTAATGTATAATGGTCACTTATTTTCTTTTGTTTATCCTCAAAAAAATAGCAGGATCTAGAGTTTAGTTATGTTAGCTTTTGTTTGACGCCAAGGTAAATTAACCCAAATAAGTTTCTTTTTACTGCACCAAAATATATCCCATTGTCTTAATATGCTTTTCGGCATTATCTGGAAAATGTTTAGCCTCGTTTCCACACGAGCTGCTATTATCAGGATATCCTCCAGTACCAAATCCAATTCTAGAGTCACAAGTTCTACAATCGTTTTCGTAGTTACCAATGATATCGATTCTGGCTTTGGAATTATCAGGACTATCACTAACAGCTGCATTAAATCCTTCCTTGTTACAGTTGAGCTGCAAGGAGGCCTCAGAACCAATCAGTGACTTCCACGTGTCACGACCCAATGAGGTGTACCGGTATTGCCCATCAGCGATCAGAGAGTACAAGGAGTTCGCCTGCTTGTTGATGACAATAAACCTGATCTGGTTGTTGATCTTCATACCGAGGCAGATCTTGGAGAAGGAAGTGTTCCAGTAGGAGGGTAGTTTAGTCTCTTATGAGTCAAACCCAGTCTTCCCTCCGTCAAGGTTAAATGTTTCTTTGTTGCTCCAAAAGGCTGTTTCGTAATGAAATGTTTGCTATGGTAGAAAGGAGGAAGAAATAGGAAAGATGTCTTTTAAAAAGAAAAGTTAAAATTAAAGTTTCTTTTTCCTTCTTAAGACAACATCCTTACCGGAGAAGAAGAAAAAAGGATTTTGCAATGAAAGGTCCATTACAATGAAAAGAATATCTGCAACGTCCTCGCTTCTTCAGCTTTATAAAATGAAATTAACCACAGCTGGCGAAATGGCGTTAATGGTCACCGATAGAATACAAAGTGAACAAATACTGTACTCTTGAATCATTGACGCGATTGAAAAATGCCGAATTGAATATAATTATCTTTAACTCTCGCGTATTCGCAAGTACAGAGACCAGGCTTCCGTGTTTTGATGGAAACCTTCACATCGTCTGACAGGAAGGGCAGATGACCTCTGTTACTGACCGAGATATTTCGGAAGCTTAAGGGTGTACTTAATACTTAAATCTTTTAGATCCAGGGACTTAGCATGTACGCACAAGAAGAAAAGTTAGAGCGCCGAAGGCACTTCAAACTTGGAGGGCTGGGGTTATGCTCCTCCAGAAAATTTTGTAATTTTACGTCATTAGTATGGAATCTCTGTCGCTGAAGTGCAGACGTTCCTCCTGATGAAACGTTCCTAGCGACGAGGAGCAGGGAGAAACGGCTGTATTCGCAGGCTAGGATAATTGAAAATTTCCACCGACAGAGGCAGACCTGTATTTAATTATTAAAAACACATTTTTTTCCGCTCTCGTCGCCAAACTAAGGGAAAACGTTCTCAAATGTCTTACTTTGTTGCCGTCCATCTTCATGACCGGCGTCCATCCTCCATCGCCGCATCCGAAATTTCCAAAGTGACAGAGAACTGAAACTAGTTTGGAGTCAAGGAGGAGCGTTACCAATTGAGTCACGTTCAACCTGAACAAAATGAAATCTCATTTTAATTTTTCCAGCTTTTACAAAAATAAATGAATTGAATTCAGTAGAGTCTCAGTCAAATCTAAATTCTTCAGGTTCCCCATATGTTAGTGGGAGTTAGTACACGATAATGTACTTTAGACTGATATAATTTCATCTCCAGCACAGGTTGATATTCATTTTTGCTTTATGATGATACCAAGCTGCGCTGCTCTTCAACTAACTTTAATAAAGTGTATTTGAATAAAGTGTTCAGTAGGAATTAAATTCGGACATCGAAGATGGCTAAACAGCGTAGCAGATGTTCACAAGGAAGGGGAAAGGGGCGACCGAAAAACCGCGAAAATGGTGCGCATGATGTTTTTCTCATCTGAAGTCAAAGGACCCCTATTTTACCCGCGAACTACCTATAAAACTTGGATTAGTTGTTTTTGACAACTACTCAGAACATGTTACACAGATATTCAGTAGTTTTGCATGTTTATTGATGCTCACGTATTTTCTCCAACCCGTTTAATACGGACAACGGTTAATACGGAAAACGGACACTTTTGGGTGTTCCCAAGTCAGAAAATCTCATGTTGTCAATAACGCTTTATGGACACTGGTGACCACTGGCTATACCTTGCTGCGCACTTCCTATTTCCTTGTCACAATCATTTACTAACCGCATACAATGAACCCTATTCAAATAATTACAGATTTCTGTGGGTCAATACGATTTTATTTACGATTTTACGATTTTATTTTACGATTTTTTAAATTTTATTTACGATTTTTAGCGTGACAAGTTTGATCTTGATAACGCAGTCTTTCTTCCCATTGACCCTTGTATGGTCTGAGCTCATTTTAAAATGCCTACAACAAGCCTCTACACCCGTCAACCGCAAAGAGGGATGGTTTGGTATACGACCGGAGAACCTTTTCTGGCAAAAATGGTATGTGGAAAGGTAAGGAAATGGAAATCGGGGCAGGGCCTCCCCGTAAAAAACTTCGTTGAGTACCGTCTGGGAATAAAATGCCTGCAACAAGCCACTCGAACCCTCAACTATTAGAGATGAATGGAATCGTATACGAAAGGAGTACCTTTTGTGCAAAAATGATACGCTATACGTAAAAGTTAAGGAGTTAGACCTCAGGGCTGAGTTTCCCCGTATAAAGCTTCTCCTGGGGGAGTTTTACGATAATTATTATATGACAGTTTGTGACTCGGGACAGAAAAGTATTCGTTTTCCATATTAACCAGGTTAACTTATGAGCGCTAAAATATCTGAACTTTTTGTCTGTACAAACGAACCATTCGTTTTATACGGGTGTTCGTATCAAGCGAAATGGCGGGGTTCCACTGCATTTCATCAACAACTTTTTTTGCTGGAGGGCCTTCAGTGGATGATGGTGTTCACAGTTTATAGTTTCTGTTATCCGAACAACACCAATCATTTGTTTAAAAAATGCAACAGTTTTCACGAGTTAGGTCTCTAATAACCTTAAGTTTCCGGAGTGGAGAACAAGGCTGAAATAGAGTCCATCGGCCACGATACGAGATTCTAACAATTAAGCGATATCGACACTCTCTGCAACACAAATTGTATTCCGTTTTTGAGGCTTGACGACTGATTTTTTGGCTTTTTTTGTGGCTCATAAACACAGTACTGACGTACCCCGAATGATCCCCTGGACTTTAACTGATCTATCCTCATTAATTAAATTACTATGCATAGGTTTACTCACTTTTCTGTGAGCCGATTATAAACGTCTTGGCATGACTTGGCAACTGAAAAAAAAGAAGTAGATAACGTAATAATTTAATCAATAAAAAAAAAAGAAATAAAACCTATTTTATTAGAGAAAATACAAATTTTGGAAAACATGCCTGTCTAAACTCGGTTGCCATGGTGACATCAATGTTGACGCACACGTTCCCAGATAATCTTTAGGTAAAGCCGCTAAGTTTAGTGGTCCTAACTTGAACGGGGGCCCCTGTCTGAATATCAATTACCTTTTTCGCAAAATTCACCATAAAAACCTTCTTTGCAACGGCACTCAAACGAGTGATACTTGTAGTTCGCTACGCAGGTGCCTCCGTCCTGACATGGCGATGACATACATGGAGTCTGAAATAATTAAAAAAAGGGTAGATGTCAAATGCCACATAAAGGTAATTTTGTTTTGCGTAAAAGTGTTGATTGCGGAAGTACGAAAAAAGGAGAAAGTGACATTCGACTGAATAACCCCGACGTGTTATCGTGCAGTAGTCACTTTTACGCCGACTCGTGTTCGCGACAGGTTATTAAAAATTAAAATCGCATAGACTGGGATATAAAAATATCTTACTTTAATAAACTCTATGCAAAGAATTTACCCCACCTTGACGGAAAAGTGATGAAAACTCTCGTTCCTTTTATATTCCTCAGGATTGCTGTACTTTTCTGAGGATAACAACTCACACCGCGACTTTCCATCTGCTCCTTTGTAAGCTGCCAGGTTGAAGGACAAACAGGAAGGATTGCCGAGGCATTCAAAGGTGCAGTCAAGGCTGTCATACACTGTGAATGTTCCAACTTTAGGAACGTTTAAATAATGGCACTCTTCCTTTATAAAAACATCTTGACGAAGGCTGTGATGATACATGGTGGTGAATTCTGAAGAATCATTGATCAAAGAAAGAATGGTTTTGAAATTTACCCTTTTAGAATGCATGCAGGGTCGTGCGTATGAGATATCTCTTCGTTTAGGGAGTTCCTGACTTTATGAATGGCTTTTAAAATTGAACGCGTTAAGTGAACTGGAATTCCAACAACTTAGCTGAAAGTAAAGTCTATAAAGGTCAGGAGAAGAAAAACGGGGAATTATCATCTTCGTGAAATTGGAGATTTTTCTGACAATTCACTACAGGTATTTAATCATGACTTTTAATGTCATGCCAAAACTGGGACCATTATGGCTCTTGGTCCCTAAGAATTCAACTCCAGGAAAATTTACAGGGTACATCAGAGTTTAACAAATTGACCGAAACTAAATAAAGTATCGTGATAAAAACTTTACTTTATAAACGCGATAGAGTTTAAAAGAGCGCAAAACTAGTATTCGTTTTTGTCCTAGTTGTTTAAACTCTCTCCCCAACACAACTTTAGGAGCTGTCATACATTTCTCTAACATGCCGGCCACAATTTTCAGCGATTTTTAAAGTAATTAACCAAGCGAAACCGAAAAGAGCCATGTTAGTTAGTGACAAAATGCTATCCGCGGGCGTTGTTTAACATGCATATCGTTATGATGAGGAAAACATGTTTGCCTCCATCTTCCCTGAACTGGCCTCTTCATAGATTCCCCTCTAATTCATACGAAGTAAAATAGGTTATTTCCATGAAATTTCACCCCACTGTCAATAAAGCAAAGAAAAACCAACCTTCCATTTGAGCAAAGACTGCATTGGGTATCGCAGGAAACAACGGAAGGAGCTTGAAGAGAGGTAAAGAGAACATCTCAGATTGGTGAACCGTTCACGGTTGGCAAACTTCGTAAAATCAGTGTATAAACTTGACAAACACTGCCAGAAACAGCGTTTTGCAAAGTGATAGCCGTTCTAAAAACCATAAGTTTTTTTATGCAATATTAAATTTTTGTTATTTATGACTTTCTTTGTCCGGCATGTCGATGCTCAAGTCTGGCTGGGCCAATCAATGACAAGACGCGTGGTTTGGGTTAGTTCAAATTTCAAACTTAAGTTTGTTAGCAAACGTTCTAAAAATGATTCAAAGAAAAATGTTGGAGAGTTTTTTTGAGACCTGAAAATAGCACTGTGTTCAAATAGATTTTTTTTCCAGAGATTCTCGTAGTTATATGTTTTTTCAGTTGAAAAAATTGTTTTTTTTGGTTATGAGCACTTTGTGGATTAAGAAATGTTTGTTTTTTAGGTACCAGCTGGCGTAACAAGCTTGCCTAGTAAGGGAGGGGGGGGGGGGGGGCTAGTTGTGTAGGTGAATCAGAGAAACTCCCGTTTAGTTCCTGTGTCAACAAAAGGAATCATTGACAATAAACAATGCTCATATTTAATTCATAGAGGATATTACATGGCCGCGCGGAGACAGGAAATTTCTCTTCGAGTGTTGAACAATATTTCACGAGTGAGCGCAGCTCACTCGTGAAATATTTTTTCAACACGAGAAGAGAAATTTCGTATCTCCAAGCGGCCATGTAATCTTCTATTTATTATATAAACACCAATGAAATACCAAACTACTTCACTTTAACAGTTTTTTGGTGTGAAAGGCGCCAGTAATTATGTAGCCATAGCAACGGTGATCTTTTCACAAGTGAAGATAACATGTTATTTTCACGTGTGAAGATATCATGTTTTCGCGCGAAAGATCACCTGGTATTTCATTGGTGTTTATATAATAAAACGGTTTTATTCACGGTTGCTGAGGTACAATTAGCCTTCGAATGGTGAGGAGCGAAGAGAGAATGCTGTGTTCGCAGGCAAGAATAGAATGAAACAGTAACGTGTGACAAAAATTGAGGAAGCAGTTAGTGTTTTTCAATAAAGCCTTAATGCAGTTCAATAAAGAAACCATAGTTCGCGGGTAACTACACGAGCTCAGGCAAAACAACATAAGAATAAGTGTTCATTTTTATTAGGTTTAGGTATCAGGGGAGTGGATATTGGAGATTCCCGGCAGTTTTCATTTTTTACTGTAGATGCTGTTCTGTGATCACTTCCCAGTACGTCTAGTTCAGTGAAGTCACATTCAAACAGTTCACTGATGACCCCACAGTGTTCCTCAACCATAGCAATAGTTTAAAAAAAAGGCGCACATTTGCCTTACAATGTAGGCGATTATTTGCTCGGGGGATTTCTTGAGGGGGGGGGGGGGGCGTCTGCCCAAGTCTTCATATTTCATTTTTTTTTTTTTTTTCATTTTATCTGTTTCTCCAAACCTAAGCAAAAGATGATATAAAATTAGATTTCTCTGCAGGATTGACCAAAAATTTTATTGCATTTATTTGAGGAAGACACCTTGCTCTTTCTATCAGTAGGTAAGTTATGGCTTAAAGCCATATACCAAGCAGTGATTTTTGTGTCTGAAATTTGCCAATTTTATGTCTGTCAAAAATCGGTAAAATAAGTAAAATTATTAAAAAATCCGAAAAATATTAGATTTGCTGTCGAATAGGAAAATTTTACTTCCAGAAACTTCTTAGATACACGTTTTTTTCGTTCACTTTTTTTTTCATTGCCGCTCATTTTCACCTTGCATTGGTGGCGGCTAGCATTTCTCATTTTGTCACCGCCGTTACAAAATTTTCATGTTGTTCTTCCAACGAAAAAATGTCTCCTTTATTTTTTATCTTTCGCTCTAAATCTCTGTCTGCCTTTTTCTCGTTGAACTTCGCTGGCCTGCCGTCTCTTTCTCCTTTTCTCTGTAATTCTCTTGCTCTATATTCCAAATTTGTGGACACGACAATTAATCGAAGCTTAATACTTTAGAACACACGGATACAGAGACAATTTCCGCTTTCCATTTTCCTCTTCATTGTTTCTTTAGTTGTTTCTGCTTTACAAGACGCAGGTGGCTATGCGATTTCCCGTCAAAATAACCTCGAGTTGCATTTGGGTTGCCATACCTGTTGATTGAGTTATTTTACATTGCTATGCCTGTGGTTCGGAGGGACGGTCGGGCGGTCGGTCGGTGTACGGTCACGTGATTACCAAATTTTCTCGGATGGGTAGTTTACCACATTTTCTTTCCCATGGTGCTCCACTTCGCGCGCGAGAGCTCCGCTAAAACTTATTTTTCTAGAAATAGTTTACCTAGAGCTATATTCTGACAAAGTTTGGAGATTTTCGATTTTTTCATTTTGCACACCCCCAGGCGATATTTACGGACGGCCGCTCTTCAAGACTCCCCTTTTTAAAGATTCCCTATTTTAAAGATTCCCCTGCGTTCCCCGTTCCCCGTTCCTCATTCTCCGTTTCTCCGACTCCCCCATTCTCCGATTCCCCGATTCCACGATTCCACGATTCACTCGTTCCTTATTTTAAAGATAGCCATCGGCGGGGCTCTCAATCTGAATATTTCAAGCTCAATTTCTTCAGCCATGAGGGCTGAGAAATCGTGTTAAGGTGCGTTCGCCGTGAGACACTGACTCTAACATTTTGACCTCCTCTGCTTTCAAAAAGATCTTTAGGCATTTTTGTTTTGGCCCTTTTACCTTAAACTCATACCCTTCCATCGTGAACCCGTTTTAAAAAATTGAAGAGTTGTTCTCACCGAACTCTCTGCTCTCATTCACATAACCTCACGTGTTGACACCGATTAAAGAAAGTAGGTGTCGCTGTCAAACAAAGTGGGCGGGGTAGCAATATGAAAATTTATGCCCATTTCCACAGTTCGGTGATTTTCGTAGTAACTGCAGGCAATAATCTACGCTACCTGAACGACCCTAAACGCTATCATGGCAGGTTCGTCTGTAATTCAAACAAGAGAAGGAGAATGGACATCATTCAAATACTGGGATGTTCTGGGCTTATTCATTCCATATGTTTTCACCAACGATCCAGCATTGTTAGCTGACTACATTACTAATTTTGAGACGCGACCAGATGATGTTTTCGTAGTTTCATATCCTAAGTCAGGTTTGTGCAGTCTTTATTATAATTTTACAGACTGATAGTTTATCATTTCTCCTGCCACGACAATTTGTGTTGTTAGAATGACCTTTTCCGGAGCATAATCTTAAATTTAAGTCAGGTTCACTCATTTCCATCCCTGACAACCAGGTTGACCGCTACTGAATTGGATGAATGACTCAGTGTTTTAACCTGTGTCGGGTCACAGAGCTAGAGGCGTTTAACCATGGGAATTTGAATTTTGATGTTAGGGTTTTTAACTCATTGTCTTCGGAACGTATTTTAAGTATTTTTGACCATGCAACTTTAAAAAATTATAACTCTGCTATTATTTACAGTTCCATACCAAGCCATACCTCGTTGGAAAGGGCAAAAATTAAACTTTTAGAAAAAAAAATATTTCGGTCTCAGGGAACCCATAATATTCTGCACAAAAAAAATAAACAAGGCATATTTTTAGACAATTATTTGTAAAAAAATTAAAGAGTGTAATTTTGCCAGAAAAGTTGTATATTTTATGTAATACAGTACAACTAATTTTTTTTCTTCAATATCTAAGTAAAACAGCCCGAATATCGGTCGAAAATATAGAGCGACTAACAATTTTTTACAAATTTATTTTGTGACCCTATCGGATTATGCAAATGAGGTCAGAGCTAATTAGCATAGCGAAACTAGATACTTTTAATAGCGTCACTTTGTGGCCCGATATTTGTGTAGGTAATAGCATGATTTGTAGTGATATTTGGCATAAATACCACGAGTGATATTTCGAAATTGTCATACGTAATTTCACGAGCCGTTAGGCGAGTGAAATTTCAGACGATTTTGAAATATCACGAGTGGTATTTATGCCAAATATCACGTTAAAAATCATGCTATTATTTGTTTATGCTACTACCCGCAAAAGGTTTGTAATTTTCACATGTAGGTATTTCAAATTAAGCTGAAATACCACTGCTGTAAGCTAATCAGATTGCAGAAATTTCTCATATAGTAGTATAAACCTTCGAATAGCAGGGGCACCCAACGAGATTATAGTACAAAACCTCTTAAACATAGCATTGTTAAACGTATTTTAGTATTTAAACGGTAGATAAAGGCATATTTTTATCCCCTAAAAATTTTTCATCTGTTCGGATTTCCTTGCTGAAAGTCTACTGATCCGAAAATTATAGGGATCAAAACTTACCTTTTCGAAAATTTCAGCCAGAAAAAAGGCTCCCGAAAATTCTAGGTGACCTTTTTAGGGTAAAAATCCATTAAAAATAGGCAGTTATACCATTTTTTAGATGTTCGAAAATCCTAGGAGAGGCAGGCAAGCAAGAAATTTTACAACAAATGTTCCGAAAATTCTAGATCTCAAATCGTCTTCCGAACAGATATTTCTCCGAAAATTGTCGTTGGGTGCCCCTGGAATAGGAAGATCGAAGGGCCTCTGCTCGCGTGGTAAGACCACAGGTGGCCCAAGTTAATCATTTTAAATAGTCATGTAGTTTCATATTGCGTAATTTAAAATTGCCGTGAATATAAAGGATTTGTATGGGGAGTTCAGGTAAAAGATTCAAGTAGATAGGTACTCGCTAAAATATTCAAGAAAATACAGCTTACCGTATTTACTTTTCTTGTTTTTGCTTGCTGTGCCTTATTTTCCCGATCCTCTGAGCTTGGGCCGCCTGTGCTAAGACCCGCAAAAATAAGACTCGAACACTGCAATATTCCCTAACAACATTAACTCCTGCTACCACAGTTCGAGGTCCGCAGTTCACTGAAGCCAAACAAAAACACGTAATTAGTAATTTTCCTTCATCGTTCAGATCGTTAATCCATGTAAAGCGAAACAAGCACACTGTACACTTAATCTTAAAATTCCAACTACGCCAGTGAAAGCAGCTGGTGATTTCAACACTTGTCTAAATCCATTGGCAACGACTTTGGGACTGCGGACCTAGCGATTTTAAAAAACCGTAGCTGACTTGTTTTGCTAAACATTGGCGAGATAATGCTCTCGGCACATTTGTTTCTTTGACAGTTTAATGTAAGACCTTGTTTTGTTATGAAATAATGCCCTTTCAGCTAGTGGTCTATTATAAATGCTGCGTTCTGATTGGTTGAGCTACTACTAGGCTATATGTTATAGCCTACCAGTAGCGAAAAGCGTGCACTTTTTGGCGGCAAAAAAGGATTAAAGTCTAGCTTTAACTAGCTAAAATTTTTTTATTCTCGATATTTCTGACCAACTAGTTGGATTTTACTAAAAAAATTATTCCTCTCGCCCTCATGGCCTCCGAGTCATTAGCCCATTCGGCCTTCGGCCTCATGGGCTCTCAGAGCCCTTTCGGGCTCGAGGAATAATTGTTAAATATTTGGTTGTTATATATGATTGTTCTTCTTGTGATCTTTGCTTTCTGATCAGTACGAACAAGTGCTAGCCTGCGAAAACATCCGTTTCTCCTCGCTCTTCGTCGCTGAGGACGTTTCGCGCGGAGGAACGTCTGTGACTCAGTGACAGAAATTCCATACTGATGACGCAAATCAATGTTTACATAATAAATCCGGTAGCCATGGGGTTCCAAATATAAATTTGTCTAATTTTGCGTGTCTTCTGGTCGATTTTGGTAAAGTGTTGTGTTGATCTGCCCACGAGCTCCAGCAAAACTCAAATGCTTCTTCTAAAGAAGACTATATTGCACAAATATTGACTGTTTTGTTAGAGATTCTTCGTTTTTACATTTGACCTTTTTGGCCTTTTGTCTTTTGTCTGTCATTTGTAAACAATAGCTAAAACAATGTAACTGCTCCGTCGACCAATCAGCGCTTCTGACCGTATTCTGGACAGATTTTACGTCATCAGTATGGAATTTCTGTCGCTGAGACGCAGACGTTCCTCCGCGCGAAACGTCCTCAGCGACGAAGAGCGAAGAGAAACAGATGTTTTCGCAGGCTAAAAAAGTGCGTAATGAAGTGAAGCGAAAATGTGACGTGGTTTGGCATCAAACGCGACTGTAATTGGTTAGATCTCGATAACGTGTCACACAAACAAGGTTCAAAGAACTTGGTGCGCTCCATCCTCGGAGACCCAGGGGCAGTCAGTCGGGTCGAGAGAAAAGGCAGGACGAAAGTTTTCAAGTACGGGCGAAAGAGCCCCTGGTTACTGACTCCCACCGAACTATTTCAAAAAATTGAAGCGGATGCCGCCTCCTGATTGAGCGCAAAAAATGCTTTGTATTATTGTGCCCAATCGGCGAACAGTTTCTCCTGAGTTCTTTTCATAGGTTCGTACACGACGGCTATTGTCTCGCCACACTTTGCCGGTTCGTTCACCAAGCTTGTGCGTGCAAGGAAAACTTTTATTTTCTACTTTCCTAACCAGAAACGAAGGAACTACCGATGAGTCGAAAAAACGTTTGGGATGCCATCAGCAGGAGCAATTCAATTTGCCCCGAGAATATTTTTACGGATCACAATGTATCGTAAATAATAGGAAGTTTAAGATGCGGCGGAGACGAGAAAGTCAAATTAGCAATACCTTCACATGGCAAAACAAGCTCAAGCTTGTATTTTTGGAAAAGCGCCTTTAGTTTTCCGGCAGACAATATTTTGAAATCAGATGGGGGTTTTATATCAAACTGAAAGTTTCCTGACTGCTTTCATTTCTTTGGTGCATGAGCCAGACAAGCCGTGATCGAGATAGCCGTCGTATAAGAACTCACGAAAAGAACTCAGGAGGAACTGTTCGCCGATTAGGCATAATATAAATACAGAGTATTTTTTGTGCCCAATCAGGAGCCGGCATCTGCTTGCATTTTTGGAAATAGTTCTGTGAGAGTCGGTACCCAAGGGTTCTTTTGCCCGTACTTGAAAACTTTCGTCCCGCCTTTTCTCCTGACCCGACTGACTGCCCTTGGGTCTCCGAGGATGGGTGCGCTCTAAATTAAAACCCCGTTTTAAAATATTTTCTGTTTTATTTTTTAAAAAGGGATTTCCATATGGATTACTGCAAGCGGAAAATATGAGAAGTGCTCGCTGCTCGCGAGTTGTAATCTCTAAATTGCTAGCTGCTCGCAAAGCAAAGACCAGCGTTCTCAACATGACCGGTGCAAAAATCTCAACCAAAGGCATTTGAGGTATGCGCGTCGATTCAAATCCACCAATCAGCGTATCACGACCGTTGGCAGTTCAAAACCACAAAACCCTGTCCCGCACAGGGATGTTTGTTTGGTCGCGATACGTTTGCACGCGCTATCACACTTTTTTGCACATTCCTTTGCCGTTGCTGCACGACTACGACGTGAAAATAGTGAATAATTTTACGTTTTCTGAAGGACGCAAACAAGCGACGACAAAATTGTCGTTCTCTTTCTAAACTTGAGTGTGGTCCCCAAGAAATCAACTCCAGGGAGATTTGCCTACATAAGACATTTTCAGCGAATTGGAATAAATGCGATAAAGTTTGAAAAATCCTAAAAAATTCATTTTAAAGGTGACGAAAAGAGAAAATAAAAGTGCCCTCAATTAAGTTTCATCCCTTGTCTCTTTACTCTTCTTGTGGTCGTTAGTGTAAAGCTAATAGTTAACAATTAAAAAAAAAATAACAAAATAACAAAAGAGAAGAAACGTGAGACGAAATTAAATTCGAGCATCTTATGCTAAAACGAGGGTAAGGGTAACACCAAGGGTAAGGGTGGGGGTAAGGATAAGGGTAATATAATATGCCAGATGATGATTAATGACAGGGAATTAATGACAATATGCCTTCTTAACAGTCACCCTTACCCTTACCCTTACCCTCACCCTCACCCTCACCCTCCCCCCCCCCCCCCCCCCCCCCCCCCACCCAATATGATGACAATATGCCTTCTTAACAGTCACCCTTACCCTTACCCTTACCCTCACCCTCACCCTCGACCCCCGCCCCCACCCCCACCCCCACCCTTACCCTTACCCTTACCCTTGGTGTTACCCTTACCCTCGTTTTAGCAACGCCGTCTTTTTTACGACGCGCCAGACAAGCAGAAGCATTTGATAGCCAGCAATGTTAACCGTCTTTGATCGGATTCAAATCCCTTCCAAAACGACTCATAAAAACACAGGAACAAAGGAAAATGCATCTTATTATTTTATTAGCTAATACAGCGTATTTGTATATTGCCCTGTTGCCCTGGGCAATATACAAATAAATCCCTTCCATTTATAATTAGCAATTAAAGTAAATCATACACGTCCTTTGACCCCGCCAAACATTCTGAGAAAATTTCTCCCTTTAACACAAATATAGAAATTTATTCTGCAACTATAGAAAATACAGTAGTATCCCATATATCGTACAGGCTATGTATTCACTCTAAGAAAATTTTAAGTCTGATAACTCGGTGGCCCGTACGCTCCATAATCAACTTATCTGAGATTCCTTTTTCCAGTCCACGTGTTGCTGTTGTGGCCCTCAGACTGTGACTGCTGAATTGGCCCTGTAGGTCTGAGTCTTTACACATCTTGCTAACAACGTTTCCAAGCTTGTTATGTCCAACAGGAGTCGATGTAAACCAAACTGCAAAAATTAACAGTGAAAATAAAAATATGAAACAAAACTGAAACTTCTAATTACCGTCTCCGGCTTGCGACCATTAAAACTGACTGACATTTTTATCCTCTTGCACCCGAATTGTAAATGATCTATATTTATAGGTATCATACCTTCATCCGTAGACTTGTATTTCTGTCGTGGAGTGAGGTAGAATAGATTGTTTTCTAAAGTCTCCCACTAACTCTTTCAAATTCAACTCAGGGGAAAAAGGTTCCTGGGAGAAAGTATTTTGCGTTAGGAAAATTTCGTCGTCACTATCCATTGCCGCTCTCACAAGTGTACTGGCCCCCCAAAAAATACCAAGACAAAAATAAAAAAACACAAAAGGTTTGAAATTTGATTGTTGTCGGCTTAGCAAACAAACAATGCGCTATTGTTCTCCGTTTCTCACCTAAGTGAGAACAAGTGGTTTGAACAAATTATGACCCGTGAAACGCCCTTTCTCGATGCTGTGTGGAAACCTTTACAATACTTACAATGAAATACGTCATTGTCTGCGATCGGATCAAAAAATGACAAACAAACAGATGTCAAAAACAAGAGGCCAATTATTGCCCTGTGAAAGACGACCTTTATGTAACCTATACCTCATGAATAATATCATGAAATAAGTTAGATAAACCCCTCGAACGTCGGTATTAATCCATATACATCCCTCGGGCCTAAGGCCCTCTCGGGCTTTATCTCTTACTTAATAGAGGGTGTCCGTTTAATTGGGGGTCTGCTTAATAGAGGTTTCATTGTATTTTACATGAGGTGAGATTGAGGCAGGATCGTTTGACAACTCTCTCGATTATTTACTTCTTCGTTACTCGATCATTGTTTGTAGGTACAACTTGGGTACAGGAAATTGTCTGGCAAATCTACAACGAGGGAGCAATCAGCAGTGAAAAGCAAATGTTTCGTTTCCCATTCTTTGAAGCTTCCGCGTGCAATGCTAACAAGCAGTTTCTTGTTGATTTTAAAACTCTACCAAGTCCTCGCTTGATAAAGACCCACCTCACCCACAACACTACTCCAAGAAGTGCAAATAAAGATGCTCAATGTAAATACATTTACGTCGCTCGGAACCCAAAGGATGTGGCAGTGTCATCTTTTCATTTCGCGGAGCACTTTAAAAAGATTGGAATGAGTGATTTCAATGGCCCATGGGAATTTTGGTGCAAGTTGTTTATAGAAGGAAATGCAGGTAAGTCAGTCAAATATATCTGAACAAAAACTTTTGTCGCATTTTTAGGAAGAAGCACTTCTTAATCCCGGTTTCCATAGCGATTATATTGAAACCACTCTTCAGGGATCGATCGTTTTCTATCTCATATGATGTCTATAAAGCTATAATTTTTCAAAACCCTCCCGGTCTCTTATTCGAAATATCTCCAGTAAAATAACTCAGGTAACTTAGTCTCGGGGATTATTCAAAAATATCATCTTCGCATTAAGCGAATAATCGTCAAATATAGGCATTATATAAAACGTAACGAACCAAAGACGACAAGTCCAAAGACTACTGCAAAGCAGATTCATAACAACGTGTATTGTTTTTTTATAACAATATTTCGGCAGGCCATACCAGCCTTCTTCAGGTTTACAGAAGGCTGGTATGGCCAGCCGAAATATTCCCTCTGACTCTTCCAGTGAAGTCGAAGCTGTATCAGCCATGCAGAAGTGCATCTGCGATGTCCCAGCATGGATGAGGAAGGATCAGCTGATGCTCAATGATGACAAGACTGAGTTCCTGATTGTAGGTACTCGTCAGCAGCTCTCAAAAGTTTCAATCCAAAGCATCAAGATTGGGCAGGCTGAAGTCTCTCCTGTAGCCTCTGCGCGCAATTTAGGCACATGGTTCGATACGCAACAAATAACAAATAGCTAATTATATAAAAATCACTTTTCTGTTTATAGATTATGATCTCAACATTTTTTGATGACGTCAACTCTAGGAAATTCTGACGGCACTTGCTCCTTACCAGCTACAAATAAACTATGACATCATCCTACCTATATGACATGCATGACGTCAGCCAGCTAAAAATAAACTATCACATCATCCTATCTTAATGGCATGCGTGACGTCATCGGTATTATTTAAAGTATGACATCATCCTATCTAAATAAGATGCATGACGTCATCTGCGTTAATTTATACCACTCAAAAAGTTAATTAAATCCACAAAGAAAAGGTTAAATCGGTGCCTTATCCACTACTCGCATCTAGATATGGGAACTCACATTACAAAGACTAGTTCATGCTTTTATCAGTAGTAGATTGGATTATTGTAATAGCCTTCTGTATGGAATCCCGGAATATCAGACTATGAAATTGCAACGTGTTATGAATGCGAGTGCAAGACTTATATATCGTGCGCACAAGTTCTGTCATATAACACCTCTACTCGCAGGATTACATTGGTTACCAGTGCGCTCCAGGATACATTATAAGATACTCTTGATAACTTTTAAAAGTTTGCATGGCCTATCACCTAAGTACCTTTCAGATTTTATTAGTATTCAACAGCCTTCGTCCTACCATTTGAGGCCCAACGACAATGGTCGTTTGTTGGAAAGACCAAATGTGAAAACCAAGAAAACATTGGGAGACAGAGCTTTCAAGGTAGCTGCTCCTTTTCTATGGAATAAGCTGCCAAGGTCCGCGCGCGAAGCAACGAACTTATAATCTTTTAAGACTTTCATTAAGACATTTTTATTTAAGGAATCATTTCTGTCAGTTATCTTATTATATCTATATCTTTATTTGTAATTATCTTTTACTCATTTAATGTAAATATTTTTTATGATTTTGATAGAAAGATTTGTAAAATTTAGTTATTAATTACTGTTGGGATGCGCTTTTGAATATTTTATAGAAAAGGCGCAATACAAATAATAAATGTTATTGTTATTGTTAAATATTGTTATGAAAAAACAATACACGTTGTTATGAATCAGCTTTGCAGTAGTCTTTGGACTTGTCGTCTTTGGTTCTTTATATTTTGGCTGATTAGATCTCTTTTCTAGAGATCCAACGTTTTTAACTAGCAGGATCTTCGTCCACGGTTTTTGCATTTAATTTAATCCTTTATAATATAAAACATAGCCTGCGTAGCAGGCGTCGAAAGGGGTTGGGGATAGCGAGGAAGGGAAATAGGGAGGGTCCACGCAGGCTATATATTCACACCATAATGCCAATTTTGTTTTGTGAAGTTAACGCCTGGAATGATCATGTTCTTGGTTGGTGGAAACATAAGGATGATCCTAATGTCTTGTTTCTCAAATATGAAGATTTGCACAAGGTAATGTTCTCTTACAATAATAACTCGATAACTCTTCGCTCGGTGGCTATTTTGATATCTTATACGCCTGCCGGAGATTGAATCCTGAGTATGTAAGCGGGTGGAGGGAAGTCAAGACATAGAGGATATTAAACGGTGGCGCGAAGATATGAATTTTATTTTCGATTGGCAAAACAGTATTTTACGAACGAGCGCAGTGAGTGAGTAAAATATTGTTTTTGCCACGAGAAAATAAAATTCATATCTCCAAGCCGCCGTGTAATGTTCTTTTTATTATACAGACAAAAAGACATCGATAAAATAATAGATTTTTAATCGCCAAAAAGTAATGTAACGGCTCAAATTTACAGTACAGCGATATAAGGCATTGTTTACAATAATATTGAGAAATAACACTGAGATGAATAGGACTCTACATTGACAAAATATAAGCAGCTTTGAAAAATGTGTACGTAAAATTCAAAAAAATGATATAAAAGATAATTTCTGAGGGAAATTACCGAAATTACGTCATCAATAAACTCAGGTGTGAGATTGTGGAAAATAAACCACTCGGGGTCCGGATGTAGTTTTTTGTAAATGTTACGAGTGGTATATTTTCCAGTAAAACACTCGTGTCTATATAATAAAAGACAATATTTAATATTTATATTTCTTTCAGTTTCTCAGGATCAACTCGGGAAGAGTTTGGTCGGGGCATTCCACTTTGGGCTAGGCTCGATTTCCCGGGGGGTACTCCCTATAATTGCCTGTACGGGGAGGCTCCACCCGAAAGGGGTGCCTTTTTTACGCGTCAGGTATATAAAAGGGTAGGGATTTCACTGGTAAGTTCGCAAGCAATCAAGAGGGTTGGACCTCGGGGCGGAGCCTCCCCGTATAAAACTTTGTTATCCCCCCGTGCTCAATTACCAGCCGCTGTTTGAGAAATGTGAGAGCGGCGGAAATGGAGCCTAACTTTGGTTACAATTTTAGAAGGCCTTGCAATGGAATGATTCGCTTTTGTAGGAAAAGGCCAATATTTAATGAAGAAACTCTTTGAGGATTTTGAAACGCTCGAATAGTCAAGATAATATAATGAATCGAAGTAAAATTCTCGACTAAACACGTCCTGCGAGAAAAGTAGTGTTTGCTTCTCTCAAATTTATTCTTTTAGAATCTTAGGGAGATAGTTGATAATAAACGTTTTTAATCTTTAAGTTATCTAAGTCATCCATAATGAACACCCCAGCCGAAAATATCGATACCGCGACCTTAAACTACGACCGCGTTAAAAAGAAATAACTATATATGTCTATGGAGGAGTTTCTAGGGAATTACATCCCTGTCCGGGACTCAGATCGTTTTTCTTTGTCCCCTACGTAACATCGCAAATTTTCTGTTTCATTTGAACTAAAATTAATTAAATAACTTAAAAAAACTAATCAACTTCCTCTGAACCTCAATGAAAATTAAATCTAAACAATACAACTGTCATTCCTCCTAGGATCTACCGTCCCATGTACGAATAATTGCGAATTTCCTGAACAAGCCGCTCTCAGATGAACTCATCAATCGTATTGCAGAGCAGTGCACTTTCAAGGGAATGAAAGAAAATGAGAAGAGCTACAAGGCAAGGGACGACGTTCAGAGTTCGCCGTTGTTACGGAAAGGCGTGGTCGGAGGTTGGAAGAGTTACTTCACTCCAGAACTGAATGAGAGATTTGAAAAGGAAGTGTTGGGAAAAATAAAAGGAACTGGATTAGAGTTTGATTTTGAGATATAGCGGACAATCATTTGATAAAGGAAACAATATATTTGCTTGAATAGAACTCTTATATTCACTTATAGACTCGAATTTTGGAAATCGTTTGTTTAAAATTGAGCGGTTTCCATGTACATGCGACAAGTAATGGATTGATGACAATCTCATTAATAGATTGCGCTGTTTTGAGTTCGTGGTTTACCTGCAGTTTTGAGACGATAGAGATAATATCAGTTTCATAATTCATTCATCATTAAAAATTTTAATTTTCTGTCTCTGATTGGCTCTAATTTCTTGGCTAGTTCCTTATAACCAGCTGGCGCTGACAATTAAAAAGTTTAAAAGATGTTTGCTTTTATACCCTCGTTGACGTCAATGAGGGGATAATGCAAAATTATGGATGACTGATGTCACTCAACAACGCAAATTTTTTAATTGTAACGGTTTACTTTTATTCCTAAGTATTTTTTTCCTTATACAATGACTTTGATATGACTTTGAATCATTGCCTTTTTCTGGTACATATAGATATTTCAATTATTTCAGTGTCTTTGCATTTGAGGATAAAACAGGCACAGCCGACAACTATTTTACGTTCTGATTTATGCGTTATATCCAAGCTACAACTCAACAAGAACGATCTTAAGCGGCGAGTAAAAAGGGAGACGGATCGTCCCAAAAGACTTTATAAAATTCTGCTGGAAAACCGTTCGTCCCATGCTATTTACCCGATTCCATTGTTTTCAGACTCTCTAAGCACTCCGTTGCTGGCAGTAGGCCTTCGCAAGATTCTTTTTGATTATTGCCTAGCTTTGTTTCAGTAACCTCAGGGAAAAAAGATTATCATAATCATTGACATCAACACTTGTAGTCCTGTAAAGATGCTCATAGTTTTCCTTCGCCTAGAATCTCTACGTCCGCGGCCGTCGAAAACTTCTTCCCATTTTCGCTTTGGAGGTTACTTTTGGTTTTACTATTAAAGTGCCGCTTCTCCAGATTATGGAAATATTTTGTATTCTTTTCTCCTTCATTATACCCTTTCACTTTTGATCTAAGAATAGCCCCTTGAGTTTTGTAGGCGATTATTCCTTCTATTTGATGTTTCTTAATATTGAGTTCAGTCCGTATGTTTTCTTTCACTTTATCTGATACATTACGTTCGTCAAGCTTATTCTCGAGTGCTAAAACTCAAGTTCTTCTTCTAACCGATTTTATCTATTTTCCAGACGCCGTTTCCTGGCTGCGACTTAATTTAAAGAGGCTTCTATAATTTTCATGTTGATGACGTCCCATAATAAAATCTCGTCAACTTCACTCTGGCCTTCTTATTCCTTACACAGCGATAGTTTTTCGTATCAACTCAACGTATTGCGTTTCAGTTAAGAGGTGTGTGACTGTGTTTAATTTCCAATAACCTGGTCCTCTGGGTTTTCGGGCTGTGTTGATGCGAAATGTAATCATTGAGTGGTCTGTTCGGTAATCAGGCACTATGTCGGCTTCCGTGATCTCTGGGCAAAGAGAAAGACTAATGAGGAAGAAATCTAAGCGGCATTGGATCTCAAGGTTTTCCCTTGTCCACGTAAAACGCGTGGCCTCAGGGTTTAGTACGCGCCAAATATCAGCCAGTTCGAAATCTTCTCTGATAGCCTCTACTTCATCTTTAGATTTCAAGTGTGTTGTGGCAACAACCTCTTTTTTGTCTTTAGAAACATCACAAGCTAAAATGAAGTCGCCACCAAAGACTACAAAAGCGCATTCAAAGGAGCACAGCTTGCCATGCACGTTTCTAAAGAAGGCTGGGTTGTCCTCGTTAGGCGCGTAGACAAAGTACTAGTGTCATAATTTTGTCCCCAGTATCTGTCTGTAATAATATAACTCCCTTCGGGGTCGGCAAAATGTTTCAGAATTTGAAATTGAAAATAGTTGTTGAACAGTATAGCAACGCCTGCCCTATAGAGCTTGAGAAGGTTGTAAAAAAAGTCGAATCTGATCCCCATTCAGAATGCGAATAAGGTTCTGTCTCATTTGTGCAATGCACCTCTTGCAAAAAATAAATAGCGAACTTTTTTCTTTAACCATAAAAACGTTTCTCTCCGTTTAGTATTGTTTGACAAACCTCTGTCGTTTAGGGAGCAAATTACCATATCATCAGGTTGTATGGTGACTAGGTGAGGAAGGAAATCCTTTGTTGAGAGTGTCAGGAGAGCAGCTATGTAATTTAGCATTATAACTAGGCCTAGATATTTGCAAATTTTCAAGGTACACAAAAAGGACGGATAATAACACACAGAAGAACATAAACACAGATACAGACACAATACCGTAATAAATCCTTTTGTGTTCCGTCGCTTTTGGTAATAGCCCGATCGATGTTCCTATATAGAACTCCCTGACATCGTTATGCATAAAAGTTGAAAAAAAAACATTAAATAAGGGGAAAAGTAGTTGCAAATAGATTATTTGGCAAACTTTCTTTCTCTTGGCTCGTTGGATTGAAATTTTCGAACTTCCCCTCCAATTCTCTTTTTTTCTGCTTTTGCAAATTGCGGCGATCGACGCAAATAGGACACGGGTTCGAAAAATGCCGTGCGTAGTAGGGCTGTATTTTTAATTCGTTGCCCACACTCAGTCATTTTTAGCACAGGGTACAGGGGGGTTATTTGTTGCCTTGATTGAAGTTAAAATTCAATGGTAGATAGCCCCAATCGCCTTTTTCTGTAGAATAGAATATGAACTAAACTTAACCGGTCGAGATATACAAAAAAGCACTAAAAGTCAAAATTTAGAAGAAAGTTGCACTTAAACAGATGGCGAGTAAACATGGTAGTTTTCACGAGCACAATAAATCAATAAAGAAAATACACCAAAATTTCCATCCATCGAAATATGATATAAAGCAGGCAGCTTTCTGATGTTACTTAAGATTAATTTGAGTTAATTAAGAACTTTTTAATTGAACAATTAATCACTGCTATTGAAAATATAAGGTTTGAAATATTATATATTTGTATATATTTTAATAGTTCGGTTTAGTTTAAAATTACTTTACCACATTATTTTGAATTACTAAGAACACGTCTCCTACCTTTGTCAAGATGGAAATGAAGAAGGGTTGAAAATATTGGGCCATTTTTCTGTCCCACCAACCTCATGCCATGCGAAAACAATAAACAAAAACACAACCTCTTTACTCTTGTTCGATATAGAGTACTGTCTCCACACTAACGTGAGGCGGAAATCGATAGTATATCTAAGGCAGTACATTAATTCATTAATTCTAGGATCTCCCGTACCATGTTCGAGTGATAGCTGATCATGACTTCTTACACAAGCCACTGTCGGATGAAAGTATCAGTCGTATTGCAGAGCAGTGCACTTTCAGGGGAATGAAGGAAAATGAAATCAGCTTGAAGAGAAGGGACGAACAAGAGAGTTCTCCGTTTTTACGGAAGGGAGTGGTCGGAGGTTGGAAAAGCTACTTCACTCCAGAGCTGAATGAGAGATTTGAAAAGGAAGTGTTAGGAAAACTGAAAACTACCCCTTCGGAATTAGTTTTTGATTCTGAGATGTAGAGGGGTATATACCAATAGCCGTTTGTACATTATGCTAGCATTTTTTTTTCGAGCATTTTAGTCAGGCAAAAGCAGTAAGCATTATTTGAGCATTTTTGCATTTTCTTGGAAAATTATCATTTTTTTCATTTAAAAAAGAAATTGACGACTTAAACTCGAAATTGACGTTGAGAATAATATGAAATCAAGAGAAAATACTAGTAAATATATTCATTCACTGTACATTGCTGTCAAACCATTAGTACATTTTTTGTCAGCCTCAAAGCGTTTAGAATTTATAATAAACCTCTCTGGTGGTGAGCACTATCCAAGCATTTTAATGACTATTTTGGAGGGCGACTGTCTATGACCATTAATTTTAGTGGAGAAAAAAGAGCATTATGTACGAAAGCCCACCAAACTGTAACAATATAACCTAAATTGGCAAAGAAGAGACTTACATTAAACGTAATTACTTACACCAAGTTTTGTAATTTAGATTTAAAATCACTTAGACCAATTAGCTGCTGCGGTAACCAAAATTAAATTTAAACTCATGAGAGCAGGAGCCGATAGCTGGTGAAGACTGGGCGTGATCTTGGGTTAAACAACACAAACTGGCAATAACTTATCATGGCCAGACGTTTTCCTGTAATTCATATAACAGAAGGCGAATGGACATCACTAAAATTCTGGAGGCTTTTGGGCGTGAACATTCCATGTTTTTTCATCAAAGATCCAGCATTTTTAGCCGACTACATTGCCAATTTCGAGACGCGGCTAGATGATGTTTTTGTGGTTTCATATCCTAAGTCAGGTTTGTGCATCGTTATCATCAATCCATACACCGGGGCAGTTTGGGGTGTTCGATCGAACTAGTGTTGTTACGGTAGCCTGCTTAGGCCATCCTGTTTTATTTTTTTTGCCATTTTCAAAAAAAAGAAAGAGTAGCGACGTCGTTAAAACATTTTTCTCTTGAAATAATTATTTTAATCTAAAAAAATGAGCATATTAACAACAGAGAGAAAAACAGGAACATTAATCCAAGAATGTTAATGTTAAGCAAATAACCTCCCTGAGAAGTAAAACATTCTCACGACTGTATGTTTAATTCGAATTCAAACATAACGTAAATGTATTTCAAACCTTATGTATTATCAATAGCCGTGATAAATTGTCAATAAAAGAGTTCTAAATGACTCAAATTAATCTTAAGTAGCGTCAGAAGGCTGCTTAATATCAGTATTCGATGCACTGCACGGACGTTTTGGTGTATTTTCTTTCTTGCGATCCTGAAAACTAATCTGTTTTCTCACCACCTGTCTCAGTGCAACTTTATTCTAAATTTTGACTTTTAGCGCTTTTCTGTATATCTCCGAAACGGCTCAACAGAATTCTTTTTAAACCTCATCAAACAATGTCCATGATGTATGCATCAATGTCTGAAACTTGCAATGAAATTGATTCGCTGCAACACCTTGAAATTTCAAGGCGAACCTAGCCTACGAACCCACCAAAAATCTGCGCTACATTGCATTCACTGTTTTGACGTTATGCTAATTTTTCCAAATTAATGTTCGCCATACATACCTCCTTGGCTAGTACATTTTAGTATGACTTTCATTGCATATTTTGAAATGTAAAACATTGATAGTGTTCAAGTCGAAATGTATTTGCAATGGAGATATGTGTGGTGGGCATTAATTTGGAGAAATTAGCATAACGCCGTCAAGACAGCTTATATAGTAGCGCGGACTATTGGTCGGTTCGTAGGCTAGGTTCGTCTTGAAATTTCAAGGTGTTTCAGTGAATCAGTCTTAATGAAAGTTTCAGAGTATTAAATACATCATGAAGTCTATGTGATAAGGTTTAAAAAGGACTCTGTCGAGCCGTTTTAGAGATATACAAAAAAGCGCTAGCAGTCCAAATTTAGAAGAAAGTTGCACTTAGACATGTGGCGAGTAAACATGGTAGTTTTCATGATCACAATAAATCAATAAAGAAAATACAACAAAATTTCCATGGCATCGAAATATGATATTAAGCAGGCAGCCTTCTGATGCTACTTAAGATTAATTTGAGTTAATTAAGAACTTTTTTATTGAACAATTAATCACTGCAGCTATTGAAAATATAAGGTCTGAAATATAATTATATATATTTTAATTCAAACATACAGAATTTTTTACTTCTTACAGAGGTTATTTCCTAAACACCACAGTTTAAATTGCTGGTGTCGGATTTTCAGTAACAAATCTAGATCGCGCGAAATTCGGATTAAATAGGTTTCAAGGTTTTTTGTTTATTGTTATCATAGTGAAATCCGATTTTACTAAAAACTGCATTTTGACAAACTTCAATTCATAGTCAATCACAGGTTAAAATCTTGTGGTGATCAGACAAGGATAAAATCACTTTTAAGGCGATTGAAAAACAAGGGTATGGTCGCCGAGAAACTGTATCGAAACACCTGAATTGTCCTTGACCAAAATCTGAACTTGTAAGAATCACATGAAGCCGGTTTGGACAGCTGCAGCTGAACTCTGTCGAGCCGTTTAAGAATCACATGAAGCCGGTTTGGACAGGGATGAATTCAAGAGGATGAAAATTTCGAGCTGGGGAGCTAGACTTGTGTTGGGCATGAGATGGAATGATGATCGCAGCTGCAGGTTTCCCACAAACATTGGTTCGGTTTCGTTTGAAATTACTTTACCACATTATTTTGAATTACTAAGAGCACGTCTCCTACCTTTGATAGTCAAGATGGAAATGAAGAAGGGATGAAAATACAGTGAAAATATTGGGCCATTTTTCTGTCCCACCAACCTCATGTCATACCAAAACAATAAACAAAAACACAGCCTCTTTAATCTTGTTCGATATAGAGTACTGTCTCCACCCTAATGTGAGTCGGAAATCGATAGTACATCTAAAATTAGTTCAGTATTCATTAATTCTAGGATCTCCCGTACCATGTTCGAGTGATAGCTGATTTCTTACACAAGCCACTGTCGGATGAAAGTATCAGTCGTATTGCAGAGCAATGCACTTTCAAGGGAATAAAGGAAAATGAAATCAGCTTGAGGATAAGGGACGAACAAGAGAGTTCTCCGTTGTTACGGAAGGGAGTGGTGGGAGGTTGGAAAAGCTATTTCACTCCAGAGCTGAATGAGAGATTTGAAAAGGAAGTGTTAGCAAAACTGAAGACTACCGGCCCGGGATTAGGTTTTGATTTTGAGGTATAGGGGGCTATATACCAATAGGCGATTGTACGTACATTATGCTAGCATTTTTTCTAGCATTTTAGTCAGGCAAAAGCATTAAGCATTATTTGAGCATTTTTGCATTTTCTTGGAAAATTATCATTTTTTTCTTAGAGAAAATAATATTTGAAAGCTCACTTTTGAAAAAAAATTTAAATTGACGACTTAAACGCGAAATTGACGTTGAGAATAATATGAAATCAAGAGAAAATACTAGTAAATATATTCATTCACTGTACATTGCTGTCAAACCATTTGTACATTTTTGTCAGCCTTTATAACTTAAAGGTTCTCAAAGCGTTTAGAATTTCTAAGAAACCTCTCTTGTGGTGAGCACTATCCCGGCATTTTAAAGCTGTGTCAATCGAGCTGAAACTGTGCATGGTACCTTGCGTTTCCAGTATTTATCTCACCTATTGTATGGAATATGTGTGAAAATCTTCATTATGAATCGGTATATTTCAAAGAGCTACACAACCAGCAAGAATACTATTCAGTATTGACCGACAATATACAGAACGGGGGCAGCTGTAGTGTCAACGAAAAACAGGAACATTTTTTACACTATATTGTTCATTTCGTTAATCCAAGAATGTTCATGTTAACTTTTAACGTCATCCTGGGGTACCAGGGCCTCCTATTCCGATATACTCCTTGTGATTTTTTTAAGTTTTTTTTTTTCTTTTTTTTTTCAATACGACCGACCGACCAACATCAGGAAACGCATTCGACGCTAAACGAAAGAAAAAGAGGATTTCTTACCTAGGGGTTTCTTGGGTGTGATTTTCGTTTTTGGCGGACGCGTGCGAGGCCAAATGAAAACCTTCGCCCCCTCCTCTTCAACCTCGGTTCAGGAGCACGCTTCTAGAAAGTCCCCGGTATCTTTTCGGGTTCGAAATCAAATATTCAATTTAAAATCTAAAGAATAAAAGCGTGGGTTCTAGTTAACAAGACAACAATAGGTTTCCGGGCCAGTTAATTGTCGGGACTTTGAAGAAAGGGACTTCAGCTCTCGATCGAGCGGCCGCACCTCTTACTTTATGAACAACAAAAGGGAAAACCTAAAAAAACACCGTCAGCTAGGCAGGCTGTTGTTACGGACACCCGCCTTACATGGAAACCGTGTTAATTACGGTCAGTTTTCTGACAGTTTTCTTTGTCGCTAAGAAACCCGGGGGAAGTACTCCGGTCCTGGGAATTCTTGGTGGGGCTGTGCCGCTCGGTTCTCCAAATCCTGACCCTATTGTCAACGGTCTCACTGTAACGTATATATCTGGTTAATTGTTCTCCTAAAACCGATTTTTACACACTGTGCCGTAAGGTTCTTCGCCTTATGGCTCACGCTCAGCAACCTGCCATTCAGAGGCCGAGAGCTGACCAAGATGCCATGCTACTCAAGCAGTTGTCCGGCAAGTTGAGCCGCCACCGATGGCATACCGTAAATCCTCTATTAAGCCTGCTGGGGGGCTTATTTTTTTCAAGCACTTTAGAGGGGGGCTTAATAGAGAGCAGGGGCACCCAACGACAATTTTCGGAAAATATCTGTTCGGAAGACGATTTGAGACCAAGAATTTTCGGAACATTTGTTGTACAATTTCTTGCTTGCCTGCCTCTCCAAGGATTTTCGAACATCTAAAAAATGGTATAATTGCCTATTTTTAACGGATTTTTACCCTAAAAAGGTCCCCTAGAATTTTCGGAAGCCTTTTTTCTGGCTGAAATTTTCGAAAAGGTAAGTTTTGATCCCCATAATTTTCGGATCACTAGACTCTTAGCTAGGAAATCCGAACAGATGAAAAATTGTTAGGGGATAAAGATATGCCTTTATCTACCGTTTAAATACTAAAATACGTTTAACAATGCTATGTTTAAGTGGTTTTGAACTATATTCTCGTTGGGTGCCCCTGGAACCTGCTCCATTACCGGAGGAGAATTCAAATCCTCCACCCGAACAACTTTATCTTGCCTTACTGTGTTCCGTGTTTGGATTTTTCCCGTTTTGTTCGCTTGCATCATTAAGATTCCAGTTTTTTATTTAGTTTATACGCGTTTGTTCTGGGTTTTGCCTTTTTCTTTCCCAGCTTCGTTTATTATGCCATTACAGTTTGTTTTCTGACTTGTTGTTAGCACGCCTTGCTGGTTGTATTCATTTCGGCATCTGATAGTGCGTTATTTTCACGTGCATTTTGCACATTGTAGCCTTTTTTTCCGCTTGCCCTTCGATTTTCTGTCGGTTATAGTTTATTTTATTAATCTTGTCTCATCGCCGTTTTACTCTCGGGTTTTTATATAATTTTCTGGTTACCACTTGGTCCCGTTTTTTGCTTATAAAGCTTTAATTTTTCGCTGGTTAACAGAAAGTCCCACTCTCGAATAATTGTGTGGCAGATTGTCAACAACGTTCAGTGGCAGAAGGTTTCGTAAAATAAGCATAGGTGTCGCAGCTCGTGAAGAAGGGAGATCGCGTCCAAACTGCTTGAATAACATGCTATGTGTCTTTCTAACGGCTATGGCATTCATGCCATCACTTGTTACCGAGTGCGCGGTTGTAATAAGCGGAGAGGTGGAGGTTGTCATTGAGGTAAGCTGCCCCCTTCCCGCCACAAGGAAGGTTGTGGTTGCCATCTTCTATCTTCGGCCATCTCAAAGGGTAGGTTCATAGTATATCGAAAATAAAATCCAGTAGCATGTATAAGGTTCGTGGTGTTAGAAGCACTATGATGAGCTTTGGTTTTCGTATTTTTATCACTGGTTTAATATGTATAGGGACTACATGGGTACAAGAAATTGTTTGGCAAATCTACTGCTAACTCAAAAGTTAGCTCAACTATGTAGTGGTGGGAATGTCATTATTTTCATTCAGAAGCACTCTATTGAGCCTCAGTTTAACGTCATTTCATTTTTATTACCGGCTTAATATCTAGGGACCACATGGGTACAAGAAATTGTTTGGCAAATTTGCAACAAAGGAGCAATCAGCAGTGAGAAGCTAACCCATCGATCTCCATTTCTGGAAGCTTCCGCCAGCAACACTGGCCAACCGCTCCTAGAAACACTTTCAAGTCCTCGCCTGATTAAGTCCCACCTACCTTACAGTACCATTCCGAGACGTGCAAATAAAGATGCTCAATGTAAATACATTTACGTTGCTCGGAACCCAAAGGATGTGGCAGTGTCACATTTTCATTTTGAGGAGAAAATGAAAGAGTCTGGCAACGGTTACAACGGACCTTGGGAATTTTACAGCAAGTTGTTTATTGAGGGAAATGGTAAGACCTTTGTCTTAAAATAATAAATTTTACAAGCGTCAGTAAGTATTGCCGGATTTCTTGACACAAAAATGAAGAATTCACGTCCCTAAACCGAAGCCAGACGGTAAGATTTGCATATGCCGAATATTTAATTGCCCCAAAGGAAAATACTATAATTAAAAATAATTCAGTTCTAAAATAAATTCTCTTTTACTAGTAATAACACTAGGTACTCAAAGGAGTGCATGTGATTACAGCTGCCGTAATTGCAGACCAATAGGCCATTTGCTTAATGACGTCATTTAACCACTACGACCAGAATCCTTCAGGGTCTCGCTTTCTTCATGTGCAAATTAGGGCTTTTGTTGTTCAAACCTAGCTGGGATTAACAATGTTTTAAACACATGAAAGAAAAAACGAAAATAATTCTGGTGGTAGTAGTAAAATGACGCCATCGTGCAAATGGCCCTTTTACCTTGAGGAAACAGCTGACATTTCACGAAGTCACTGCTGGTTTCTCAGATCCAAAATCTGGGTAGTGCTTCTGATTGGTCGTGCCACAAATGAAATTTGCTTCCACCAATCAGAAACACTACTCAGATCTGGATAGTGTCTAAATCATTTCATCAATACGGAATTTTTTACAGTCGTTCCTCAGACAACATTTCGCGGGAAAACCAATGATTACGTCGCGAAATGTCAACTAAAAGTGAGTCATTTGGGTATTTTGATTAAAGAAAGAGAAAACTCTTAGTCGGAGTCAGTTCTACTTATACCTATCTCTAGTTTGCTTATTGTAGAAATTCTTGAAGAACGAGTAAAGTCCTGAGCAGTTATAGGGAGCTTAAGCAATCACGACAACGACGACGTCAAAAAACAATCGGTTTCATGAGCAAAACAACAGGTCTGCACGACCATCATGCTTTTTAGTACATTTTTCGGACGTTCACTGTACGACTACGACGTAATAGAGGACGTGAACATTACGCAACCAATTTTTCTTTCTACTTTTTAAAGCTGAATAGAGTCCTAAGTATTCAATTCCAGGAAAGATCGCCTACATTTGACAAATTGAGCGGGTCCAAATAGACGTGATACATTTTGTAAGGATGCATTTTTTTTCGGCGACGTTTTCACTCCCTCCGCCGTAGTCGTTGATAGGGAGTTTAAGAAGCGACGTTTTTGAGCATCGCACGTCAACCGGAAGTGGAATTTTTGCACTCTTGAGACGTGATTTTGAATAAATTTTTGGGCAGATCGGCTCAATAAGAGCCAAGACACTTATCAATACAAATTTAGCATCGTCAGGGCATATTAAAAGAGAAAAAGGCTCACTTCCGGCTGACGCGCACCTGCGTCGCTTAAAGCGTTGCTGCTTAGCACTCGGACGTACGTGCAAACTCAAAACCCCACCGTGGTGCAATGAGGGTGGTTGGAACCCCTTCCAAGCGTTTGCGTTAAGTTTCAAAGCTTTGAAAATGTTTTACACGTAATAGATAGCCTGTTATGTCGTCTACAAGATTATGCTAATATCCAAATGAGGCTGGTGACAACATCCAACATGGCGGACGTTTTCAGATTTATTCATTTTTGCCATTATATTTGACACTTTTACCCGAAGAGTTTTACTCGGTAAATACACTTTTTAAGAGCTTTGCATAAAAAGATGCTTTAATACATTATTACCAGCTATGCTTTTTTAAAATTGTGCAAGTTTATTTTTTGCATAATTCGTCATCATGACCATAATTTTCACCTATCTTCCGAAAAAAAAAAAAACAGCTAGCATATTTTGCACTTGTTGCTTATTTTACAGCACCAAATTCTCATTTACTGGTCATGCAACCATTTGTTTTTGGCCCGAGATCATTGTGACGGGCAAACTGATGTAACAAGGTCAATTTTTCTGTCTGCTTATATTAGCCTTGGTCCCACTGGAAGTGCATGACCAACTGTCCTAAATCTCAACAGGATTTATTTAAGAACAAACAAACTTGATGTATAAAGTCAGCCATTTGGCAAGAACACATGGTAAAGCCAAAAGACATACTGCGCATGTCCCTAGTGTTACTTAGCAACCATGAAATATTACTGCGCAATATCAAGACACAACACATGCGCATAACTAACACGCCTACCCAAAGTGGCGTCTGCGTGCAGGTTGTCAATTGTTTGTGTTTCTGTAGTTGTCAGACAATGAATTATCCTTTCTTAAGTTTCTAGAAGTAAATTTTTAGGGTAAATGTGTTTGCCATGTTTGTTGAATAGTTATTAAGGTATTTACCTAATTTAAAATTTAGAGTAACTGAAGATCGTAGATTTTTTTCCCAACCAGTTTTAAAGATTGATCCCTAAAACTCGTCGACGACACGAATACAGAGTGTACGAATCTTTTGCTCTTGTTTTCAGACTCTCAACGCTAATCGCTTTCCCAGGAGCTTCCCTGGGGTTAGGGCAAGGATTATGGTTAGGCATGAGGTTAAGGTTACATATAAGATCGAAGAGTTTTAATTTATCCTTACCAGTTTTAAAGAATACGACCCTAGAAGTCTTTGACGACACGCTTTGGTTCGCACTTTTAACGATAGTCGTTCTCCTAAGAGCTTACCCTAACCCTTACTCTAGGCCTAACGCTCGAGCTAGGGTTAGGGTAAGCTCCTGGGAAAACTACTTCTGGGTGAGAATATTGCTCCGAAAACTTGCAATATTTCATTTTCATACGTGCAAAATTTTGCATCACACCTTACTTGGTATTTACTATCTCGTATATCTATCAGCCGATTTTCACCAAATTCACAGCAAATAATCTCAAAGATAAACGAAAAGCTACTGGAATGGACAAGTAAACCTTCAACCTAAAATCTAATTGATAAATTCGAGTAGTAGAGGGTAGCATTCACACCGCTTCTCTCTTATTTGTCCAAGGGCGGCGGTAGTACTACTTATACATGTATTTAAATGAAAATGATGTAAAACTAAACTTGAACTTTACGTAAATTAACTTTCTGTCCTCACCTTTTATTCTGTGCAGTTTGTTTTGGTCATTGGAATGATCATGTTCTTAATTGGTGGAAACATAAGGATGATCCTAATGTCCTGTTTCTCAAATATGAAGATTTACACAAGGTAATGCTGCAGTTTAATTAACATGTATGTCTCTAAGTTTCCTTCGATGATCATTTTATTAATTCTCATAAACTTTTTTGATGATGTATTGATGCTGGTACGAGGAAAAAGATGTTGTTTAGGCGATTTTCCTTGACTTGCACGTTAAACTTGTTCATGCAAATGGCAAAATTTGAGAATTATTTTCTTTGACACTGGGATGAGAAGACATAAAAACATGTTAAGTTTTCCCATGTATATGAAAGATCAAGTTTTCCTTGTCAACTCAAAATTAATGGTGATGATGCGGTGAATGCAGCCGCTCTTTTTATATCCATCATTTCCCGTTTATTTGTCCAGGCGACGTTCTTCTGCTCCTTCTTTCAGTAAAATTAGTCGTATCGAGTTAAACCCCCAAAACACATTGCATCTAACTCTACATCTACATATATGAATTACAATATCCGTATGGGAACATGTCGCAAGTTTTCGAAAAATGAATAAATAAGTAATCAAAAACAGAGAGTTAAAAGCCAGCGGAGGCAGCCAGATTAAGTGAAAAACAGCATTTGCAGCAAGCTCAAAATTGTCAATCGAATCAATGTTTTAAAATATTAGGAGGCGGAGACAGAGTTTAATTGTTCTTGGCCAAAATCTGAACTTGTAAGCATCACATGGAGCCCGGTTTAATTGGACAGGTATGAATTTAAGCGGATGGGATTGAAATTTCGAATTGGCGAACTGGACTCGTGTTGGACAGGAGACGGAATGGTGATCGCAGCTGCAGATATTCCGAAAACAATGGTTCGGTATAGTTTAAAATTAATTTACTACTTTGTTTTGATTTACAAAGAGCACGTCTCCTACCTTTGATAGCCAAGTTAGTAATGAAAGGGGAGTTGAAAATATTGGGCTGTCCAACCCATGCCCTGCCAAAACAATAAAAAAAACACAGCCTCTTTAATCTTTTTCGATGTAGTGTACTGTCTCCGCCATAATGACTGTGAGGAAAGCGATGGTATATCTATATATAGCTAGTACAGTATTCATTCCTTCCAGGATCTCCCGTACCATGTTCGAGTGATAGCTGATTTCCTACACAAGCCATTGTCGGATGAACTTATCAGTCGTATTGCAGCGCAGTGCACTTTCCAGGGAATGAAGGCAAATGAAATCAGTTACAAGATAAGGGACGAACAAGAGAGTTCGCCGTGGCTACGAAAGGGTGTGGTCGGAGGTTGGAAGAACTACTTCACTACAGAGCTAAATAAGAGATTTCAAAAAGAAGTGTTGGCAAAACTGGAAGGATCTGGATTAGAGTTTGATTTTGAGATATAGGGGGTAATTATTTACTGAAACTCTCGTATATTTAAGTGGCGCTTATTAAAACATCTCTATGCGCTTTTACAATTCTAAAAGCTAAGTTACAAAGATAGAACTGAAGTATTTAGAGTCTAATTACGTTCCGTTCATGATTATTAGTTCTCATCTGGACACTTATGAAGATAACATTAAAAGTTCCACAAATGAAGCGCTAATAAAACCTTAAGGTTACACGAAAAGTCCCTTTATGGTTGCCTGCGGACGTTTTGCTCCTGTGAAAAGAGGTCCATGACAAGAAAGCGGCTATGCAGAACGCTCTGTTTCCGCATGTTTTAGTATTTGATTTACTGGAATTTGCGGTAGTGTTGATTTCAATTGCTGAAGGTGACGCGTTAATATGGCGCGACTGACAGGGAAAACGGCTTGAGATTGACGTTGACGCTTATGCACTATGTCAAATTTCCATTTTCCTTGGAGGTTCGAGAAATTGGCATTCCACTGTACAACGACAACAAAAAGAATGACCCGTAGATAGCAATGGCTAATCCTCTTGGCGGAATTATCTGCTATATCAATAGGCCTTTGAACATTGTGTGAGCATTTTTTTTTCGAGCATTTTAGTCAGGCAAAAGCATTAACCATTATTTGAGCATTTTTGCATTTTCTCGGAAAATTATCAGTTTTTTGTTTAGCGAAAATAAAATTGGAAACCTCAGTTTTAAAAAAAAGAAAATGACGACCCAATTATAAACTCCAAATTGACGTTGAGGATCATATTAAATCAAAAGAAAATAGTTAAATATATTCATTCACAATCCATTGCTGTCATACTATTTGCACATTTTTGTCAGCCTTTATAGATTAAACGCTCTTAAAGCGTTTAGAATTTATAAGAAACCTCTCCAGTGGTGATCATTATCTCAGCATTTTAATGAAAAATTTTGGGGGGCGACCGTCTGTCAGCATTAATTTTATTGGGGAAAAAGGAGCATTATCTACGAAAACCCACCAAACTGTAACTTACAATATAACCTAAGAAAAAACTCCTCAGAAACAACCCTGGACGAAAATAATTCAAATTTCAAAAAACGCTTGATGGAAAGAGGCTACCCACAAAATTTGATAGAAAACCTACTACCAGAAATAAAATTCACAGAAAGAGAGTCTAAACTCCTAAAACAAAACAGCATGGAGGAAAAAGAAATATTGCCATTCGTGACACAATACCAACCCTCTGTGTCTACTAGAAAGAATGGAATCTTATACAATTCGCTTTTAAAAGAACCACCTATCATTTCCTCATGAGGACCCGCAAGACTTAGAGATCTGCGAAGTCGGTCATCTGAAATGACCGATTGCGCAATGTAAAACAAAAGACGTGTTGACAACTCATAGAATACGATCCTCTCTAAATCATCACGACTGAATGTTTCATTTTATTTACAAGTCATCGTTTGACAGCTTAACAAAATTAATTAGAAATTTGATTCATTGCATTCAATGGAAACACAGAAAAAAACTCGTGGGACCTTTCAAAGCAAACCGCGACAAACGGCGAGTAAAACGCGTGAAAAATTTTGCGTGTGAGCTGCAAATGCCGAGTTAAAATCTATTTTTCTTGTGAGTGAAATATTTGGCTAAAAGCGAGGAAAACTAAATGCACGCCGTAACAATTATTCCGAAACCAAATCTTACATAGAATTCTTTAGTCAGTTTGCGAAGGTTAACGCAAAATGTTTTAGTACAATATTTATTTTGCCAACGGAAGGCCTCGTTGCTTGAACGACTATAAACTGCGAGCAGTCTATTACTTTCCTTTACAAAGCCGCGAACTGCTAAATACGGGCGTCTCGACCTTCACTGACTTCACTGAAAAGCTTTGGCCGAAAACGGAAAGCGCGGGCATGGAAAGTCTCTGGCACCCAGGGTAAATTCTCTATTCTAAAGTTGTTGTTTACAATCTCGCTAGCTGGAATAAGAACTAAACAGATTTTAAGAGAAAAGGCGGGATGCAAACAGTCCAGAAAGACTTTCTTAAATGTTTGAAATAAACACGACTTAAAAACTCGTAATGTTGTGAGACGTGACCTTTTTTTTTAGTCACTAAAACATGGAACGACCTAAAACCACCTACAACCACCTACAACCACCTCAAAAAATTCAACAACCACCTACAACCATCTACAACCACCTCAAAAAAATCTACAACCACTCGCAAACAATCTAAAACCATCTAAAACGAGGTATAAATGTCTCAAATAAGGCGAGACGACAACATGTTACGTACATGAAATACGAGAATCGAACAAAACATCCACCTCCCCCCAAAATCTTACTCTCCCTGGTCCCTTGTATCATCAACCTTTGGCTTAAGTCACGAAATGAAATGCGAGAGATCGAGTGAGTATCACTATGGCTAAAAAAACAGTCACATTAGGTATTATATAACGTCGTGGCTTTCAATCGGGCTGGCGGAGATAAGAACTAGACGGATTTTAAGGGAAAAGGCGGAATGCAAGCCGTCTAGAAAAAGTATGAATAAGAATGGTCTGCATTAGAAATATTTTGAAGGAACTGTACGTACCTTCGGGATCCTCCTTTCGCAAGAACGCCATCGTGTTGTACGAATGGTGACACGTATGCAATGGTGACTCATGATCACGTTTTGCTCCTGCTGAGATTCTAAATGAAATCTTCCAGACATATTCCAGATTTGAATTCGCACCATATGTAATCACTGGTACTGTGACATTTGAAACATGATTTTAAAACAATTAAAAATCACAAACCATCAGTTGTTGCTTAAATTATAATCAAATTGTCGATGAGTTTCACAAGAGAGAGGAAACAAAATCAAACTTATATTCCAGCCCTCCCAACATAAGAGGACAGTGCGGTGGAAGTTTTGTGTTAAGCTTAATGGTTGATGATACAAGGGAACAGGGGACCAGGGAGAGTAAGATTTTAGGGGGAGGTGGATGTTTTGTTCGATTCTCGTATTTCATGTACGTGACATGTTGTCGTCTCGCCTTATTTGAGACATTTATACCTTGTTTTAGACGGTTTTAGATTGTTTCTGAGTGGTTGTAGATTTTTTTGAGGTGGTTGTAGATGGTTGTTGGTGGTTGTTGAATTTTTTGAGGTGGTTGTAGGTGGTTGTAGATGGTTGTAGGTGGTTTTAGGTGGTTTTAGGTCGTTCCATGTTTTAGTAACTACGCTTAGAGTTTGCTTGAACAACAGGGGTTTTCCTTCTTTCCCTCGTCGCGCGTTGGTCACCATGCCGCACATGGAGCGTTCTAAAATTGTATTTTTTCCGCCGCACTGAGACTTACATTTAGCGGTCATGAAAATGGTCTATGCAAAAAAAGGCGGCCTGCAAGCAGTCTAGAAAAACTCTCTTAATTGTTTGAAATAAACACGACTTATAAACTAGTAATAATGTGAGACGTGACCTTAGAGGTCCTTAGAGTTTGCTTGAACAACAGGGGTTTTCTTTGTCGCGCGTTAGTCACTATGCCGCGCGTGGAGCGTTCTAAACTTTTACTGAGCGAATCTTATTTTTTCCGCGACATACATTTCGAGGTGAAGAAGATGGTCCATGTATATTGGGTAATTATTTTCTAAAAATAAAGATTTTAGTTTTTTAGCATAGAGTTCATGCCATTATCAATAACAACCCTTCATGATCCAGTGTAACTGGAAACAACAATATTTTCTAAATGACCGATTGTCAGTAAGAGAAGTATCATGCCAAAAACCCATTCCCAAAACCTACTCACTTAAGATGACGATTAGATAAGTTTAAAGGTGAATTAAAAATGTGATGAATTTCTAACTCACAGAAACACGGGCGACACACTTAGTGTTCTGTTGCATTTCACAATTTGCACTTAGGAGTCGCAGATCATCATGGCATTATCAAAAACCTACTTACTCAAGATGACTATTAGATAAGTTTGCAGGTGAATTAATAATGCCATGAATTTCAAACTCACAGAAGCACGGGCGACACACCTAGTGTTCTGTGGCATTTCACAATTTGCACTTAGGAGTCGCAGAACATCATGGCATTATTGAAAACCTACTCACTCAAGATGACTATTAGATAAGTTTGCAGGTGAATTAATAATGCCATGAATTTCAAACTCACAGAAACAAGGGCGACACACCTAGTGTTCTGTGGCATTTCACAATTTGCACTTAGGAGTCGCAGAGCATCATGGCATTATTAAAAACCTACTCACTCAAGATGACTATTAGAGAAGTTTGCAGGTGGATTAATAATGCCATGAACTTCTAACTCACAGAAACACGGGCGACACACCTAGTGTTCTGTTGCATTTCACAATTTGCACTTAGGAGTCGCAGAACATCATGGCATTATCAAAAACCTACTCACTCAAGATGACTATTAGATAGGTTTGCAGGTGAATTAATAATGCCATGAATTTCTAACTCACAGAAGCACGGGCGACACACCTAGTGTTCTGTTGCATTTCACAATTTGCACTTAGGAGTCGCAGATTATCATGGCATTATCAAAAACCTACTTACTCAAGATGACTATTAGATAAGTTTGCAGGTGAATTAATAATGCCATGAATTTCTAACTCACAGAAGCACGGGCGACACACCTAGTGTTCTGTTGCATTTCACAATTTGCACTTAGGAGTTGCAGATCATCATGGCATTATCAAAAACCTACTCACTCAAGATGACTATTAGATAAGTTTGCAGGTGAATTAATAATGCCATGAATTTCTAACTCACAGAAGCACGGGCGACACACCTAGTGTTCTGTTGCATTTCACAATTTGCACTTAGGAGTTGCAGATCATCATGGCATTATCAAAAACCTACTCACTCAAGATGACTATTAGATAAGTTTGCAGGTGAATTAATAATGCCATGAATTCCTAACTCACAGAAACACGGGCGACACACCTAGTGTTCTGTTGCATTTCACAATTTGCACTTAGGAGTCGCAGATCATCATGGCATTATCAAAAACCTACTTACTCAAGATGACTATTAGATAAGTTTGCAGGTGAATTAATAATGCCATGAATTTCTAACTCACAGAAACACGGGCGACACACCTAGTGTTCTGTTGCATTTCACGATTTGCACTTAGGAGTCGCAGATCATCATGGCATTATCAAAAACCTACTTACTCAAGATGACTATTAGATAAGTTTGCAGGTGAATTAATAATGCCATGAATTTCTAACTCACAGAAACACGGGCGACACACCTAGTGTTCTGTTGCATTTCACAATTTGCACTTAGGAGTCGCAGATTATCATGGCATTATCAAAAACCTACTCACTCAAGATGACTATTAGATAAGTTTGCAGGTGAATTAATAATGCCATGAATTTCTAACTCACAGAAGCACGGGCGACACACCTAGTGTTCTGTTGCATTTCACAATTTGCACTTAGGAGTCGCAGATCATCATGGCATTATCAAAAACCTACTTACTCAAGATGACTATTAGATAAGTTTGCAGGTGAATTAATAATGCCATGAATTTCTAACTCACAGAAACACGGGCGACACACCTAGTGTTCTGTTGCATTTCACAATTTGCACTTAGGAGTCGCAGAACATCATGGCATTATCAAAAACCTACTCACTCAAGATGACTATTAGATAAGTTTGCAGGTGAATTAATAATGCCATGAATTTCTAACTCACAGAAACACGGGCGACACACCTAGTGTTCTGTTGCATTTCACAATTTGCACTTAGGAGTCGCAGAACATCATGGCAGTATCAAACACCCACTCTTGAATACATAAAGATAGATGAAAAAGTAGAATTTCTTCTTAAAGTTAAATGTCGCCCTTTAAACAAACATAATTGTAGTGTTTTCTGTCAAAAAAAATTCACTTTTCTTTAAGACCTCTGTATGCCTAATCACATTTGCAAAACAGTTTCTGAGATCAGCCTTTATGAAAAAAAAAACATTATTAGCCATTGAAAAGTGACAGGAATTAAAGTGAAAGGAGAAAAAATTGAATTTAAATAAGGGAGAAACAATGGGCTTCAAAAATTATGTCCCACAATAATTACAAGAAAATGATATTTCAACAAACAATAAACTGGTTAACTGACCTCATTTCTCACAATTTGCTTTGCAAGTTGGTATACCGACTTTGTTATTTAATAAAAGCGAGTCATACCCATTGTTACTTGGTCGTTTCCTGAGTGAAGGATGTGTACAGAGATTTTGGATTGGCGGGCTATTCTGGGGAATTGGCGGACTATTCGATTTTGGCGCCAATGGACAGAACCCTTGAATCAAAATGAACTGATCCAGTCGACCACCTCTTGAAATCCGCTTCTAGAAACAGGATTTAGCTAAAGGACTTGTGGCGAATGATATCGAGCGACAGCGGACCAAACAGCCCCCTCGATCGACGGCACGGAGAACCAACTCATACAAGCAAGAATGCCATCTTGTCAGATTGCTTAAATTCCTCGCTAAAACTCTTGACTGAATCGGAGGAGCCGAACATGCATAGCTTTCCATTACATAGGCTGGAATTCAAAGCAATGATACCAAGTCTTTTCGGTATCCAGCGAAGGAGAAAAAAACCCGGCGCAATATAATAGACGACGATCGTCACACATGTACACCGCCATCACTCGTGGCTCTCACTCTCAGGAATCTTCTGACAAAGCAGCGTGGCAGATCTAGCGCGATATACCAAAAGCATACCATATAAAGTAAAATCCAATTAATTCCATTGTAGGATGGGTTATACTTTTACTTGCACAATCCTTTTTTCCACTTGCTGATTTGTTTCTTTGTTTTGACATTACGACACATAAATAAAAACTGCAGGCAACCGCATGCCTAAAAAGCGGCTCAATAATTACACTGGACTCCGTGTCTTCGCTACAGATCGGCTATCGTGAGATAGCACCGGCCAGTCGCAATAGGCAAAATCTCGTTTAGCCTTGAAGCATTTCAGTTTGAAAGGGAAAATATATTTTTGAAAAGACAATTCGTTCTTCCGCTTTATTTCCTGATCATTGCTGTCCGCGCGTCCTGGCGCGTGGATTCCTCGTGTTGAAATCTGGCAAAAAAATATCTAGAACGCAACTTGAAGGTTTTGCAAGGCATACACTTTACTATAAGCAAAATTGTTTTAATTTTGCTTTATTTTAATTTTTATAATGGATAGCGTTGCATTTTCATCTGGTTTTTACTATCTTGAACACGTTCTGAGCTTTCAAAAGGATTACTACTGTAGTGGCATATGACAGGGTTGACACCTTATCGGATTACGTTTTTTGGCCAGAAATTAATGTACTAATTAAATTCCCACAGCAGGAAATTCTCTTGTCACCTTTTGAAAACAAAGCGTCCGTAGCAACTAAGAAATCATGCTGATTGCAAAAAAAAAGTCGCTTGCGGATCCTCATAAAAAGAAAGGAAAATCATTAAAGGACATGCTTTTTAGAGCCAAAAAAAAGGTTAACAAAGGGTTTCACGCTGGTATAGACGTGCGGCCCGTCACCCCTTGCATTTTGTCACACAACAGGTTTGAGAGTACTTTAGCAATAATTCTAGCTGGCTGTGTTTTGTATAACAAGTGTAGTCAACTGCCTCGTCAGTATCTATGTATTAAATAAAATAGGGTGACCCACCCTCTCTCTGCTCCGGCCCACCCGCCACTATACTTTTTGACCAGTCCCTGACCGAAAGGAAAAATAACAACCCTCCTTCTTGATTAGGAATATACATTAAGATTTCAGACTTGACCAAAGACTTTCGTTTCCGGTTTCTGCTGGCTAGGTGGTCAGCGGCGACTTACATCGCTCGCTTTCCCTAGCTCGCGAGCGTCCCTCGCGACGTCGCCGCTCACGTAACCTGCCATCAGGCGGTCCTAATCTTCCCTGACTTTTCTCCTTTCCCCGAAAGAAGAAAAAACGCCTGATCGCAGGTTTTAATATAACTGAACCAGAGAGAATTTCCCGCCTGGAATGTGACCTAAGTAATTCTTGGTCGACGTGAGAAATGCCTGCTAGCCCTGCTAGGATTGCAGTTGACACTGATGTTGAGCTACCAAAAAGACAGCAGCATCAAAAACAGAAATATAACAGGCAAACAAAAAAGAAACCTGATAGCAATGAAAACAAACAACAACAACAAACACGTCTTGAAGACGGTAAACCGATATCAGTAAGCGACTGAATCAGTCAAAGGCTACTCAAAAGGATACTTAACATCTAAACTACTGCAGCATTTAAAGCGAAATTTCTTTTATGACGACCGGAGCCATAGAATACCGTTCTTTCCTCTTTATTGCATGTGGTGTTACACGTCACGCATTATCGCGTGACTAATCTTTGTTTCGCCCCTGGTTTCGCGATGCACTGCACGCAATAATTTATCATGGCAAGTCCGTCTGTAATTCAAACAAGAGAAGGAGAATGGACGTCAGAAAAATACTGGAATGTTTTGGGCGTAAATATTCCTGACTTTTTCACCAACGATCCAGCATTGCTAGCTGACTACATTGCCTATTTCGACACGCGAGCGGACGATGTTTTTGTGGTTTCGTATCCTAAGTCAGGTTCGTTTATCATAATTTTATATACTGATAATTTAAGAGTTTCTGCCACGACAGTTCGCGTTGAGTTCAAATGTCCCTTTCTGGAGGTCGACCTAGTCTTAATGACTAACGAACGACCCGGTCATCAAACTCTAAGGGTGCACAGAAGCGAAATTTATAATCCTGGGGAGGTTTGACTTTGATTTCATTTGCATTTATAGCACGAGTCTCCCTTGTTTATTCATTGTAGAATCACCATAAAATGCATTAAATGCAGATAATATAATGTATAGGACGTAAATGCTAGCCACGACTCGACACGACCATTGGTCAGTTCGCCCTTTGGGCAAATTTTGAGCATGGAATCCTGAGTCCTGGATCATGGACATGGGAATTGGGAATACACCTCAAGGAATCGAGAATTCAAGCTCCACCAAGCCATAAATGGCTCATAGTTCCACTGACAAAGACTGAAATGCAGTACCTGGAATCCGGACTCCACGACGTGGAATCCAGAATCCAAGACTGTCTTGGATTCCTTTCCATGGGGCGAATTTGAAGTTTTTTTATAAAATAGTGCTTAACTGACCACCACAGAAGATACCATAACATACGATAATATGCTCTTTCTTTGTCAACGCGAAGTTTTGCATAAGCATTGTCTTCAGTTTCTCTTGGGGCCATTTAAGCTCCCAAGAGAAACTGAAAAAAATGCTTTTGCAAAATTTTGGGGTAACAAAAAAGAGCATTATGGTTTTTTATAGTATTTTCTGAAGTGTTCAATTAGAACATAGTTACTCTTATATATTTCAGGGTCACATTAAACAGGATTCTATACCAGGTTTGCAAGTCTTTTTCCTTAGAAATAAGGAGGAAGCCTACCAATAGTTATATAAAGTGTTCCATCGCTCGATCTCGACAAACCTATTTTAAAGGACTAAATGGAAAGAGGGAGGAAAGGTTTCCACGCTGGGAACGAGGTTGACCTCGTAGCTCTTCTAATTTCCATCATGTTTACTTTTATCATTCATTATCTAGGGACAACTTGGGTGCAAGAAATTGTTTGGCAAATCTACAACGAGGGAGCAATCAGCAGCGAAAAGCAAATATATCGATTCCCATTTCTAGAGGATACCGCCTGTAATATGAGCGAACACATGCAAACTGATTTCAAAGCACTGCCAAGTCCTCGCCTGATTAAGTCCCACCTAACCTACAGCACTACTCCAAGAAGTGCAAATAAAGATGATCAGTGTAAATACATTTACGTTGCTCGCAACCCAAAAGATGTGGCAGTGTCATATTTTCATTTCACGGAGCACTGGAAGAAGGAAGGCAACGGTTACAATGGACCATGGGAATTTTTCAGCAAGTTATTCATAGAGGGAAATGGTAGGTCTTTGTATTTCCCAGGCAAATAAGGATTGTTTTGACCAGCAGGTTTTGAGTGCATTTATTTGAAACGGAACCCAGACACGTTAAAAGGGGCAGCTCAGTCCGTTTTGTTTGGTATAAAAAACCAAACTAAAGTAATAACGTTAGTTGGGTCGACACTTGCCACTCGCTTCAAGAAGTGATAAACTCCTGCCCTCCAAGTGGCTACGTTAAACACCTCTCAGAACAGAGAATTAGAACCAAAGTCAAACTCTGTCCCCGTTTAGTGTCGACGCCGGGTTATTTTGGGGGAGGGGGGGAACGGGGGGGTAGGTGGAAGCTGGAGTGGAATCGACGTTTTCGTTGCACTAGCGAGGGGGGGAGGGGTTGCTGATCTTTCCTAATTAGGCATAGAAGTTGACTGCATGGTGTAAATAATGGGTTACAAGTCCTTGATATTTGTCCCAACCGAAAAGTCTACCAGATAACTGATTAAGATATAAGATAGCTTATGAAGTGATATTCCATAAAAAAGTGTCAACCTTTTTTTATCTTTTTTGTTGTGTGCAGTTGGTTGGAACTTTTGGAATGATCACGTTCTTGGATGGTGGAAACAAAAAGATGATCCCAATGTCTTGTTTCTCAAGTATGAAGATTTACACAAGGTAATTTTGCAATTTCGGGTTATAAATAATCTATGGCTTGTTCAAGGTGCCAGCATAAACTTCTTCGTACAGATGTCAGATATTTTTCTTTGTTTCATGCCGGTGACATATGTACTGTTGCACCTTCCTCACTTTTTAAGAAAGCTTTGGACGATCCAGTTTTCCTATCGCAAAAATGCATAGATCTTGAAATGATATTTGAGTCTAAAGGTGAGCTGAGTGAATTATATATGTCGGTCAATTATGGATTGAACGGTAAGCTAAAACAGTACAATTTACACTCGTCCTAGGATCTACCGTCCAATGTACGAAGGATTGCAAATTTTCTGAACAAGACGCTGTCAGATGAACTCATAAATCGTATTGCAGAGCAGTGTTCTTTCAAGGGGATGAAGAAAAATGAGATCAGTTACAAGTCTGAAAGCGAAGAAAAGACTTCGCCCTATCTACGAAAGGGCGTGGTCGGAGGCTGGAAGAGTTACTTCACTCCAGAGTTAAATGAGAGATTTGAAAAGGAAGTGTTGGAAAAAATAAAAGGAACTGGATTAGAGTTTGATTTTCAGGCATATTAAGAAAGGCAATTCTCCAGTAACAGGAACAATAAAATTGCTTATTTATCATAGGATTTAAATCAATTACGCTATATGTTATGTATTTGAAGTCAAACAACTAGTCAACATTAGAAAACAATGCGAGGAGAAGCTAAGAAAACAAGGCGAGAAGTTGTCTGTAGAAATTTATTATTTCGTTCATGTGATCTCAGCGCGCGCACAATTATTGAGCATGCGTACTTAAGGTGATGTTACAAGGACGATTTTTAACGCAACACAACGTCGCAATATTGGAACAGTGTTACAACTGTTCGACACAATGTCGCAACAATGTTGCAACGCTGTGTTGTGCTAATAATCGTCGTTGCGAATCGTCTCGTTTAACATCACCTGTACGAAGCAATGACGTGAGAGCCCTTGTTTTGTCGACTCTCATTCTGATAGCACAGTTAAGTTTCCCCGATCATGCAAAGGCAAAGACAAATTTTATAGTAAGGCAAACTTTTTGGTCTAGGGTCGTTGGAAGTTTTCGAACTTCACCTTCAATTTTCTTGTTTTCTGCCTTTGCAAATTGGCGCGATCGACGTAAATCGAACACGGGTTCGAAAAATGCTTGGCGTAGTAGGGTTGTATTTTTAATTTGTTGTCCACATTCAGCCACTTTTAGCACAGTGTGCAGAGAGACTATTTGTGGCCTTCATTGAGGTTAAAATTTACGATAGATAGCAAGAATCGTTTTTATCTGTAGAATCGAATATAATACTGAACTTGACCGGTCAAACCGTTAGCGATCGTGTTACAAACCAATAAAATTTATATCCAATGGTCCGGAAAACCACTGAAGGTAATGACTGCGGACAAATAACAGCGATAATAAGGAGACAAGGGATGAAACGTGTCTCTTTTTCTTTTCTATCCAAGACAGTCTTAGATTCTGGATCCCAAGCCATGGATTCCAGATTCCAGGTACTGGATTCCGGTTTTTTTTTTTTTTCAGTGGAACTTCGATTCTGGATTCCATCTTTAGCGGCAGGGGCGGATCTAGGGGGGGGGTGCAGGGGGTGCGCACCCCCCCTGAGATGACCTGCGGTTATCTAATACAACTGGTATTCTGCCAAAAAAAAAACTATGTGGTTTATTGGTGTTCGAGTAGAGCAAGAGATGAGTGCACCCCCTCCTAAACAAAATCCTGGATCCGCCCCTGAGCGGGATTCCGGATTCCTTGAGCTGTATTTCAGATTTCAAAGCCCAGTATTTCATATTCCACAAACAAAACTTTCCCGGAATGACCGTGTGATCTGTCAAGTTCATTTTCAATTTTTCAGTCAACAAAGACGTACCCTTGGTTCAAGAGGTTTTTTTCTCGCAGCTGAATGCTTCGGTTCTTCGGCCAACGAGCGAGCGAACTGACTTGGCCAAAACCGGAAGCTGCGCATGAAAAGTCTCTGACAAAGGCGATTTGCGCAATCAACTGTAAAATCCAACTGCTATCATGGTCACATTCTCTGCGCCAATGTGGTTGCAACCGGGTGTTATCATATTTTTCCGCGTTCGGGGACGCCAGTCACGCATTATCGCGTGACCAGCCTTTGTAACTGCACGCAATAATCTACGCTACCATGGCAAGTTCGTCGGTAATTCAAAAGAGAGAAGGAGAATGGACATCAGCTAAATACTGGGATGTTCTGGGCTTATACATCCCATGTTTTTTCACCAACGATCCAGCATTGTTAGCTGACTACATTACTAATTTTGAGACGCGACCAGATGATGTTTTCGTGGTTTCATATCCTAAGTCAGGTTTGTGCAGCTGAATTCATAGCGCGAATCGCCTTTGTTCACTGTATTATTTTAGAGGTAATGTATAGGTCCTCCTCAGTCCTGCCACGAAAGTTTGAGCCGTTCTTATAGTCTGTTAAAACCCAGAGTGTAAAATCCGATAAAAAATAAAGGCAGAATCACATCTTTTAAGCAGTTGTCTCCTTCGCGGCCGCTCAGGCCAGAGTCACGCAAAGCATGCGTCCATGAATGATATACAGTCAGTTTTTCCCAATTTTGACTCTCATTTTGGCTGTGTCTACACTACACCGGACCGGATAGTTCTTGCAACGGCACGAAAATCATATCTGATAGGGCTCTTGCTCACACATTCATAAGAACGGTGATTTCGAAGAATCGAAGCCGGCAGGGGTATCAAATCTACAGCTTTTGCAGATCGCAGAACGCTGAATGCAGAATGCAGAACGCCAAATAACTCTGAAGTTTATTGATTAGGGTTAGGAAACTGAGTGGATCAGGTTCCATTTAGAATCATTACACCGGGAAAATTGACCTGAAACTTGATTCACTCAGTTTCCTAACCCCAATCACCAAACTTCAGAGTCATTTGGCGTTTAGTCTGCTACACAGCCGTTTTTAGTGTCGTCACGCAACGCTTCTCCCCACAAACAAGGTGGGGAGGGGCATTGCGTGACGACTCTAAAAACTTCTGTGTAGCAGACTATTTGGCGTTCTGCATTCAGCGTTCTGCGAAATACCCCTGCCGAATCGAAGCTGCACCGCCGGATCGTGACATATCGATCACAGGGCTCCCAGACTCACAACAACCTCCTTGAAGCCAATAATACTGAAAGGATGTGTATGGTAATTTATCATGAGTTCGATAAAACGGTAAAAATGCACATAGACAGCCATTAAAGTGTACATTTTGTGGTTCAATTTTTATCTTTTGTTTCAATTTAATTTCATGTGGGTTTTGGGTATGGTAATGTATGATAATGAGTTTGAAACAAAGAAATACGAAGTTTAAACCACGGATAAAACTGAACCACAACATACATACCTCGCAGTAAGATGTCTTTGTGTCGTTTCTTACTGTTTTCCTGCCCTGCAAACGCCATTTTAGCAAGTTTCCCAGAATTAAGGCCTGGTCTCTCACCTACGAAGAAGAAGAAGGTCTTGACCCTCCTCAAAACGTCAGCCCCCAAAAATATGACCCTCCTTTGAGAGACAATTTTGCGAACTCATCATGTCAGTATTATAACAAACGCACCCAAATTTGTGACCCTCCCACAGTGGATCCAAATCTTAATCCTCTCCCTAAATTTATCGGTCCCTCCCTCTCCAGTATTTAATGACCACTTCCTAACAAGCCGGGAAGGTACATTTTCACTCAGGGTCAGGCAATAAAATCCGAAACAAAGAGCGTACGAAGTCAGAAAATTAATAAATACGTTGTAGAAGATTTTAATGGTGTTGAACCTGTAAGACTTTATGTTCCTTATGCACACTAGATATAGAAAAGCGTATATTGTAAAACTTAAGTGTTATTAAAATCATAAACGTCTTCACAATAGAACCCATGAAAATAATAGCTTCAAACCCGAGAAAAGAAACACCTTTTGACCTAGTTTCTAGACCTTTTTTCTTTAGAAATAGGGAGGAAGTCTGCCCATTCAGTCTTTTGTTTTCTATCGCCCGATCCTTGACCCTTTTTGTAAGGTGCTGGATAGACGAGAGAGGAGGGGTCAGTAGCAAAAAAAACACTCCTTGTTTGGGTGTCAATGACGAAAGTACTAATTGAGGACACTTTTTATACGTTTTCTATACACTAATGGGGACGGGGCCGCCATTTTACGTAGCCTGTTTCAGGCGTTTCGGTAGCATGGGGACGGCGCAAAGGGAAGTTAGCTGGAAAAACAGCTGGGGTTCATGTTTTTAAGTGTCAATGTATTTAGCACGAAAGTACTAATTGAGGACACTTTTTTTACGTCGTCTTCTGGAGACGGGACCGCCATTTTACGTAGCCTGTTCAGTTCTGGCGTTCCGGTAGTGGTTGCCTGCTAGCAAGCTCTCCATTTATTAGCTACTAAGCGACCGGCGAGAGAACGCGCGAGCGAGCTGCGAAACTTTCTTTCTCCGCCCCTCGCACTCACGTCTCCTTTCGCGTGTTCCTGTCGCGTGACCTCTCGCGACTCCCCTAAATGGAGGGCTTGCTCGCTGGCTACGGTAGTGTAGCTTGCCTAGCATGGCGGTTTTGTCGCTCCACAATTTGTAAAGGAAAGCCTATCTGAAACTATCCATATTTAACAATTATTCCTCGAGCCCGAACGGACTGTGAGTCAATAGCCCATGAGGCCGAAGGCCGAATAGGTTATTGACTCAGAGGCCATGAGGGCGAGGGGAATAATTTTTTTTAGTAAAATCCAACTAGATGGTCAAAAATATCGAGAATAAAAAGCGTTTAGCTAGTTAAAGCTAGACTTTAATCCTTTTTGCCGCCAAAAAGTCCGCGCTTTTCGCTGCTTAGTGGGCTATAACATATAGCCTAGTAGTAGCTCAACCAATCAGAACGCAGCATTGATAATAGACCACTAGCTGGATTTTAGTAATAATCGTTAATTATACAGTTCTTAAAAATTGAAGGATAATAGCTTTGCTGACAATATCGGATTAACTAACAGCTATATAATTAGCAGAAAAAGCACTGTACTGAGCTAGACGTGTTGCGGTTAAAGCATTTCAATTATTTGTACTTTGATTACTCGCTTTATGTTTATCTATAGGGACAACTTGGGTGCAGGAAATTGTTTGGCAAATCTACAACGAAGGAGCAATCAGCAGCGAAAAGCAAATATATCGATTCCCATTTCTAGAGAGTAGTGCCTGTAATAGTAACAAGAACATGCAAATTGATTTCAAAACACTGCCAAGTCCTCGCCTGATAAAGTCCCACCTTACCTACAGCACTACTCCAAGAAGTGCAAATAAAGATGATCAGTGTAAATACATTTACGTTGCTCGCAACCCTAAAGATGTGGCAGTGTCATATTTTCATTTCACGGAGCACTGGAAGAAGGAGGGCAATGGTTACAATGGACCATGGGAATTTTACAGCAAGTTATTCATAGCGGGAAATGGTAGGTCTGTATTTTTTAGGCAACAAAGAGTATTTGTTTGATTGACAGATTAAGGGTACACCAGAACAGAGGAAAGAACAAAAACAAAAAGCAAACTCAGCCCACCTACAGGGTTGACGCCTGGCCATACATACTGGGGGGAGGCGAATGCTCTTAGCACTTTGCCATCATGCTCTCTAATGCACCTATCGATGTAAAGCTAGCAGGGGAAGGGGGGGGATGCAGGGCATAGGGTGGGGATTTGACATTATTTAAAAGTTTGCGGTCAAATTTCCTGCCCACGGGCAAATTATTTTAATCAAATGCACAAAAATGTCCCCACCCTGCTTCACATTGTTGCCTTTGACTTAAGCTATTTTCTGGTTTCTTGAAAAAGCAAAAGCTGACAACTTTTATTGACAATTTTAATGCGAAAGCAGTATCAAAACATTTTAATCACGTAAAGCATTGTAGTCATTTCAAAACTTAAGTATTAACCTTACACTGAGCCAGGCACTGAGCCGAATCTAAACTAAAGAGTAGCCAACTAATGGCCCTGTCCCATGGATAGGATATAAGAATGTGATATTAGGTTCTTTTGTGAATGCGGCACCAAGTAATGTTTACTTTTAAAAGTCTTGATTACTGACTAGGGGCACTTACTCACTGCATTATCTACAAACAAGTTCACGAAAATTCAAAATCGAAAATCGTTACTCCCCTCTGCGCGTTTTCAACCTGATGGAATACTCCGTTTCAAAAGTAGAGCTTTGGTTTAGTTTGATACCGCAATATCTTCAAATCCCCACCCAATGGCCTGCCTATGCCCCCCCAACCCCGCCGCCTTGCCATTCCCGCCGGCTTTACATTGCTACGTGCATAGTTGCCAGTTACTTTCTCTTACTTGCCAGTACGGAACTTATAATTAACGTTAGCGAAAGAAATTAGTTGTAAGTGAGATAATCACAGCTTCCTGACAAAGAACGGTATATCATTTACCACCTGCCAAAAAAATTCATTGATGTTGCATTTCATTCGTGCAGTACTACTTTTTCAATAGTGTCATGTGTAGATCGAGGGCATTTCTGTATATACCATGATGACACTGACGCACCTGATCTGTGCAGGTCGGCACCAATCTCCCTCTTTCTAACATACGTTAGGATTTTGTTAGACTCTATGACTTACGTACGGTGGCTCGTAGGGACAAAACACTTCCCAGAATCCAAAACACGTCCCAGAATCCAAAAACACTTACCAGAACCCAAAACACTTCCCAGAATCCAAACACACTTCCAAGAAACCAAACACACATCCTGCACACATCCAAGAATCCAAAATACTTTTGCCTGATTCTGGAACGTGTTTTTGAATTCTGGTACGTGTTTTGGAGTCTGGGAAGTGTTTTGGATTCTGGGACGTATTTTTGAATTCTTGCACGTGTTTTGGATTCTGGGAAGCGTTTTGTCCCTATAAGCCACGGTAGTTATGAATCTCTTGGGCCACTTTTTATCAAATTAAGGAAATCGTCATTTTGCACATTAAAAAGCTTGCGCAGTGGGTGTTAGTGTTAAAGATATAGCGGGAATGATATTTGTTATCGGCAACAAGGTACAGTACTCCAGAGTGTGGAGTGCTTGCATTGGACATTTTCTTGTAGATAAAAGATAGTTGTCGACCACTAATACAATGTCTAGTCTATGGATGCCCTAAGATATCTACGCAAGATATTATATCAATATCTCCCTTTCATTCATGTTTTTGTGATATTTAAAACGAGATTGCACGATTCGAAGTACTTTGCTTAAAGTTTTTCGGTATCTTTTAGGCGCGTCTTTTAAACCTTTCTTTTGTTGCGTGTAGAGGGTTGGAACCTTTGGAATGACCATGTTCTTGGTTGGTGGAAACACAGAGATTATCCCAATGTCTTGTTTCTGAAATATGAAGATTTGCACAAGGTAATGTTGCAGTTTCCCTTACAAACAGCTGAACTATGGCCTGTTACTGCCGGCGTAGACGTTCGTCCAGAAAGGCATGCCAGATATATATTTTTTGTCTCATACCCGTCACATTTACGTACTATTGCACCTTTTTCAGTTCTTTCATGAAAGCTTATAAAAAGATAATCCTTCTTTTAGCATAACAAAAGCTTGAATCTTTAAATTTTATTAAAGTCCAATGGTGGACTGAGTCGTTTACGGATTGTCTTCGGATCTAATCTAAAACACTCGTCCTAGGATCTACCGTCCCACGTACGAAGGATTGCAAATTTTCTGAACAAGCCACTGTCAGATGAACTCATAAATCGTATTGCAGAGCAGTGTTCATTCAAGGAAATGAAGAGGAATGAAATCAGTTACAAGTCTGAAAGCGAGGAAAAGACTTCGCCCTATCTACGAAAGGGCGTGGTCGGAAGTTGGAAGAGTTACTTCACTCCAGAGCTGAATGAGACATTTGAAAAGGAAGTGTTGGGAAAAATAAAAGGAAGTGGATTAGGGTTTGATTATGAGGTATAATTAAAAAAGGGCACTCCACCAATAATAGGAACAATAAGATTTCTTATATATCAAAGAATTTCCGGCAAATCAAATACGCTCTTAGAGTTTTCTTCCCGCAGTCAAACAACTACAGACTTATACAACGTTTTGACTTTAGGTGCGCACGTACCAAAGCGACGTACTTATATAACCTTTATTTTAAGAGGGTGACACCAATTACTATGAAAACTATTCTCTCTAGTGGCCCTCTAAAAACAAAATTGATAATAATACAACATGATAAACCTATTTACAAATAGTAATTATAATGAAAGATCCGGTAAAAATTCTAGTATTCTCCCTAGTGCCCCTCCCTAGTGGCCCTCTAAAAAAAATTGAAAATAACAAAATTACAACAATCATGATAAAAAGCCTATTTACAAATAGTGATTATAATTAAAGATCTTAAAAATTCTAGAGATTTAAAAAAAATTGAGAGATGTTAAAAACGGAAGTGAATACATTGGTAAAAAAGGGAATCCAATCTACAATGATATTAAAAAAGAAAGCACGGATTTTTTAAAAATCAGAATAACTTTTTAACTTTAAAATTGTCCACCGTATAGTTGAGGCGGCGTTATAAGTCGGTGTTGGCGTAACTCAAACATACTCGTAAACTTTCATTTTGGAAAGTGACCTAAGCCGCTAATAATGTTCAGTTGATTTTCCAGTTGCTGCAAACTGTTTATTATCCACGTGTTCAAGAATTGAGGGAAGAATTCTGGATAATTTGAACCCCTCCATAAAGAAGCCATCTGACACTGGTTGGTGGCTTGTAACAAACGCGAATTTACATGTATATGAAAAATTTAATAAACTATCAAACTATCGTTTAATACTAAGTTTGTAGTTGCGAACTCTTTCTATGCCATCCGGAGGCCCTTGATATCCTAGTGACTGTCAAAGAAAAGTTTCCTATAAAGTGACACTTGAAAAAAGTTCATTTTCTCGTTTTCAGTATTAGTCTTACGATATAATTTTGGACGGTCACGACGTTCCGGTAGGAAAACTCACAGGTCGCCGATATCTGTGAATACTGTTTCTTTCTTTCTTACTTTCTTTCTTCTTTTCAGTGCATGAGTTTGCCTTTTTGGGCTTTTTTCTTTCGAGAAGGAAAAATAATTCAGCGTAATGTTTGCTTTATTTGCCCATCTTTTGAAGCCTCCCAATGCAGTGAGATTGCAACTGACCGAGCCCACAACGAGCCATCAATCATCAATCAATTATGGCCACTAAAGCCTGACGACTCCATTTCTTGTTTGCAGTAAAAACATTTGAAAGGAGTCGAATTTATTGTTCCTTTAGCCTCTTTCGACGCCTGCCATGAGGCTCCACTTAAAAGTGATCTGAAAATGATAACACTTTGAAGTCTGGTCGATCTTGTAAAGGAGTTGCTTTAAAATCAAGAAACTCGACTTTTCAAAGTGCGGACTCACGCAAGACAGTGCGGGGAGCATCACGCTACATAGCGTGACAGGTTCTATTTCCGAGCAACTCGTTTGCAACTGTTTGCGAAGCTGCTCACTCACGCAACAATCTATCATGGCAAGTTTTCCTGTGATTCAAATAACAGAAGGCGAATGGACATCACAAAAATTCTGGGATATTTTGGGTGTGAAAGTGCCAGAGTTTTTCACCAAAGATCCAGCTTTGCTAGCCGACTATATCTCCAATTTTGAGACGCGACCAGATGATGTTTTCGTGGTTACATATCCGAAGTCAGGTTTGTTCATCGTTATCGTTTTTTTGTATAGATCATGAACGGATTTTTTGGATAATATAAGGGTCTACTACCACGAAAGTTTAGGTTGTTTTAATACACTTTGTTGGTTCATGGGTCGAAATTGGAGCTTTCTTCATTCCCTCCCCCAATTTTTTGTCGGCGCTCTGCGAAGACTGAAATCCGAACTCCCCTTTTTAAAACCCCGCCATCCTCAGGGGGCTGAGGATAAAAAGTGAAATGTCCCCTGATTTTAGCCATGGTCTTAACTTTTCACCCTGCATTTTATTTTAAATTCTTCAGTTCCCTCGCCGCTGGTCCCTGCCCGCCCCCGCACAGGGTGAGGACAAAACATGGACCAGGGGTCCATGGACCACTTTCATGGACCAGGTCCATGGACCCCCTGTCATGGACTAGGTCCATGGACAGTTTTTTTTATTTTTATAAGAAGGTCTTGCACCAGGTCCAAGGACACTCAAAAACAGAAATAGTGTCAAAAAAAGATTTGACGAGATGCTGTCGACCAATTATGCTCACAATTGATCACAAATATTTAGTTGTGCTCACATGACGTACACTCTGCTTGCACATGTGCAGTCGCAAGACTGTTATTAAAATTAAGCCATTAAATTCAAAAGTTATCACCAAGAGAGGAATTACGCACTCCAGTACAAATTAGACTCGCATCACCCTTAGAAAAACAAGCTGGAGTTAAGAATTCATCGCTTTTAGAGCAATCATGACTGAGTCACATCGCAATTCTCCATAGTTGATGTAGCTTCAGTTTAAGCTACAATCCATGCCACTTCTTCTTCTTCAAGATCTGGATCTGTAAATCACTATCCGTGAGAATTTATAATCGTCCTGCTAAAAGTGCTAAGGAGCTGGGCCCAGCCTGACAAAACATTGCAGGAAAAAGTGACATTCATGCACAAAAAGCAAGTGGCTTAATTAGAATTATTCAGATCCAGGATGCACTTTGGAGAAATTAAACAACCTAAAACCCTTTTAATCAGCCACAATGAACAGCTTTACATTTTAAAAGAGGTAGAAAATCAATATGTGTTTCACGACCTCTCAGTATGAAATAAGCGGCAAAAATTCACATTTGCTCAGTCAAAAGGTTTTCCTCCGAAGCATAATCTGCCCATCAGAGAAAACAATTCATTGGAACAAGCAGCATTTTGGCATAAGGTACCGACCCCCTCCCCCTTTTTTTACACTATATATCACAATTAAACATTACTGATCAATCGAGCATTGTTTGTTGTTATTGTTGTTTTTTAACCTTTTTTTTGCACTATTTCTATTTTTATTCATTTCTCATTACTAACAAAAACTGTCCATGGACCCGGTCCACGACAGGGGGTCCATGGACCCGGTCCATGAAAGTGGTCCATGGACCCGGTCCAAAGTGGGGGCCATGGACCCCTGGTCCATGTTTTGTCCTCACCCCCCTGCACAACCTACTCATAAAATGGGGCGGCAATGTAAACCATATGGGTTTCTGGAGGGTTACTACTTCAAATTTAGCATTAGGTAGATATCACCACAGCATATGAACGTTTCCCATTTTTATTGTGGACAGGAATTCTGATTAATTATTAATCTTCATTATTTCAGGGACGACTTGGGTACAGGAAATCGTCTGGCAAATCTACAATGAAGGAGCTGTCAGCAGTGTCAAACACGTATTCCGATTCCCATTTTTTGAACCCACTGCCACTCACGAAAAACTGGCTGAGCTCATTGATCTTAAAACACTGCCAAGTCCTCGCCTGATTAAGTCCCACCTTACCTACAGCACTACCCCGAGAAGTACAAATAAAGATGACCAGTGTAAATACATTTACGTTGCTCGCAACCCAAAGGATACAGCAGTGTCGCTTTTCCATTTCACTGAGCGATTGTCTAAAGAGACAGGCAGTGGTTACAATGGGCCATGGGAATTTTTTGCCAAGTTATTCATAGAGGGAAATGGTAAGTTAATTTTCCTATGATTTAGGAAAAGAAATGTTATCACTTTCAAGGAAGCATATGTACCCCTAGTCCCCTTCATGCTCCTCCCGGAAGGAGCGTTGCGTGACGACCCTAATAATTGCTGCGAAGGAGACTGACGTACCCCCGCGTATTATTCATCGTTCTGTTGTCACAGAAACATTTGAAGAGTACATGTTATTGAAATCAAAGCGCACAAAATAATCTAATATTAAGAAGATTTCACAGGACTAGCAGCATTGATTAATAAAAAACACACACACACTTTTAAAGCCAAGGTATATATGTTGTAGTTAATTTTTTATCCTATGTAATTTTTATTTTTCCTTTGTTTCAACTTCATTAGCATACATTACCATACCAAAAAACAAAAGAAAAACAAAAATTACCTGGAATAAAAATTTAACTACAACATATACATCTTGGAGCAGCTATAGAATAGTTTAGTGCAAGAAACCTGTCATTAAATAAAAATGTTGAGCCAGCAACGGATGTTACTAAACTAGGGGAGGGGATTCAATAATTGAGTAAAGAGAAATTACGAAAATGAAAAATGGGAAGAATCTTTTCCCCATCAGTAACCTCATAACTCAATCTCTGTTTTGTTACCATTTTTCATTTTTCCCATTCCATGCTTGTTTTCTTAGGACATCCACTGCGTCTTGGCAAAAAGATTGGTATAATAATAATAATAAATACTCTTTTATACTGCAAAAAATAGATGACTGAGTATAAAAAAACAGCTGGTATAAACCTATGTGAAGTAATAAAATACTTCCAGATTAAAAAAACAACAACAATTATATATAGTACAGCAAAAAAATAGCGCAAAGACTAATATTTACAATAAAAAAGGTGTTAAAAAAAATAAAATGAATTAAACTACAATCTACATTTATGCTGTGTTTTGCCTTGTTCTTGCAAATACTTTATAAGTGTTTTCCACTTAAAAGATCCTAAAGTAAGGTCATCAGCCCGTAATTCATTGGGTAAGTTGTTTCAATCCTTTGCTCCTGTGAATTTAAAAGTAGACTGGCCTGTTACACTACTTAAATTATGTAAATTAAGAAAGAAGGAAACCATCAAATAGGGGGCTGCTGCACTGGGGCTGGCCTTGACTAGACTTACAAATAAGAATTATTTCTTTAATCTTATTTCATCACAAGTTTGAGTTCTGAGATCTTATTAAATTTTTATTGCCAATTGTAGTTATCTATGACTTTTGGAATGATCATGTTCTTGACTGGTGGAAACATAAAGATGATCCTAATGTCTTGTTTCTCAAATATGAAGATCTACACAAGGTAATACTTAAAATACTTTAATGACATTATAATAGTTCGAATTTCCTGCACAAGTCTCTGGCAAAATTAATTCCATTTAGTTACCCCAGAACTAGAGCTATAGATTTCAGTGTTGATGTATTACTATGAACTGTTATTAACAAAGTAAATTTGGGGCACTGAAGACTTTTCGTTTATTCATTCATTAATTTATTTTGCCATTAACCACATAAAAATACATATACAATACACAAGAAATTTATAGTATATTAAACATGTTAGACACTATTCTAAAAAAGTATTTTACAAAAACGTTCAAAGTGGTAATGACAAGGAAGCCTGTAAGAAGCCAGGGAGCTTATGAACTGTAGGCTTCCTGACACTTTAGGGTTTGAATGAGTAATTCAAACTGAATGGTACTGAATGAAAAATGGATTATTTAAAAAAGCAAAGAAAAGAAAAAGTACCTGTATGTTGTTCCAAAATTGTAAAAAGAGTATATTTGACCAAGAAAGAAAGAATTTTTAAAGTCTTTTGCCAAACAAACCGATACTTCCACTGTATTGGCTTCCAACTACCGTGATGAAAGGACATTAAAATCTAAAACTTACAGTACTATTATTCTTAGGATCTACCATCCCATGTGCGAATTATTGCAAAATTCCTGAACAAGCCACTGTCAGACGAACTCATCAATCGTATCGCGGAGCAGTGTACGTTGGAAGGGATGAAGAAAAATGAGATTAGTTACAAGTGGAGGGACGAAAAAGAGAGTTCGCCATTGTTGCGGAAGGGCGTGGTGGGAGGATGGAAGAGTTACTTCACTCCAGAGCTGAATGAGAGATTTGAAAAGGAAGTGATGGCAAAACTGGAAGCAACTGGATTAGAGTTTGATTTTGAAATATAGATCTAGAGGACAATAATAGTAATTCATTCTACTTGACTGTTTGATTATATGTAATCACATGAGCCCAAGGGCAAATAAACATTAATTTCACAAACATTTTCAAAGTTACACAAAACTAACCTGAGTCACGAAGTGACGGGGGCAATTTGGAAAACTTTGAACATACAAGTGAAAGTAATCCTTAACTGCACAAGGGCACATTGCTATTACAACTGAACCCCACTTTACCGACACCCGCTATTAAGCAGGGTTCCTTTAAGTATTCTAAGATTTGGACACCTTGTTATTATGGATAGTTTTCTATGTCATTGTCCATAAGGAACGCTCTTACTTTTTCTCTAAATTCAACCCACTTACACAATTCAACCCTCTTAATACAGACAATTATTGTTTCTTGCCCAATCAACGCATTCTCATGGAAAGTCGACCTCCCTTAAATGCGATCCTTTATTTTCAAATGTGTGCTGTAAGGCATAAACCCCTCCTTTCTGTAGGTAAACAAATGTACATGTATATCAGTTGAAATGTCAGTTGACAGCATGTCAATGTACACTGGATAGGATGAATTGTGAACAATTTTGAATAAGTTATGTATTTAAATGAGCAATTTTTCTGTGGACAAAGTCAGTGGAATGATGGCTTTCTGAAGGTTAAAGATGGTAATAATTTGATTATCCTAAATAAATGTCCTTTTTTGTCTCTTTAATATTATTTTTGTCAAAATAAAAGGTGTATTTTTTACTTAATTAAGTACACACGAATTGCCTAATACAGACACCCTGTTAATGCAGATACTTTCTATGGCCTCTTCAGTGTTTTCATTAACCGTTTAAGTCCCAATAGTGACTAATGTCAATTTTCTCCTAACGATATCCATACAATGTCAAGAGATTAGGTTATGAGAATTAATAAAATGATCACCTAGAAGGGAAATGCCTTGATCTTTTATCAAATTCTTTCAACTCATTCATGAAGGAAATGTATGGAGATCAGTTTGGAGAATTTGTATGTGGATATTGGGGCTTAAAGGGGTAACAGGGTTTGACTGTACTTGTTCATCACACTCAGGGTAAAATTTTGTACAAAAGAAAACTTCCCAGGTCATGCTGTTGCATAAACTTCTAGTCCTTCATCGTCCAGCTGCTATGATGTTTGATAACATTTGTTTACTGTAAGATTTTCACCATAACATGAAGACAACACTTGAAGAAGGGAAGATTGGATGTATTCTACCTGGTATGCTGGAGTGTAATCGTCATAAGATGACCTGAACAAAAAAGGAAGAAAACAAGTTTTGAATCCTAGGCTGATCAAATCAATTATTTATTCCATGATATGTGTAAATAATCAAAGGCACGTCTTGTAGATGAATAAAGGAGCCTAGAATATTCCTCTTCTTTCATCACGTCCCAATAAAAATGTACCTCTCCATTTGAAACCTCCAAAACTTTCTTCTCCCTGTATTATGATTACATACAAGGTATGTCTGTGCCCTACCCACCCCTCCCCAGAGAAACAAAATTAACAAAAACAAAAGGAAAAGAAAACAAGACATTTGAATTTTTGAAGTTTGACTTGTTCAGGCTCCAGTTTATTCAAACATCGGATAGCGCTATCCACCGGATAAATCGCTATCCAGTGGATAAGATTATCCACCTTTTGAACAACTGGGCCCTGGTCCCTGGTCCTAACCCCCCAAGCCATTACAGTCATGGGTCCCTTCATGGTTTGGTTCATTTGTGAATTGACAGCTCGTCAAGATAGAAGCCAGTATAACAAACAGATTACTTTGTTCTCTAATAAAACATCCTCCACAAGATTACAAGAACTGTAATAAAGAAGCTTTACAATATTCAAAAGAAGGTTGAAACTCTAAGTGATTGACACAGAATTTCTTGTTTTTTATTGTTAAGATAAATTTGGGATGTTATGTGGCTTTGTCTCATCTAAACCCTTGTCAAACGCCGCAAAGAAATGATTTGTCCAGAACAATATTATTTGCTCTACCAGCTAAGAGTTTTGCAGAGCAGCTGCTCTTCAGCCAGTGTTGAAAGGTTCTCTGCAATATGCATGCCGCCAAATTTCCAATAAACAAAAATAATCTTTTTTTTCAAAGTTGGCAAATCACTTGTCCATGGAGGCTTTGGCCTTCACTAGTCTCCACTGCTCGATCTCCAATTATACTTTAAAGGGACTCAGATCTGATAAACCTTCACACAAACACGATTCAAATAAATATCAGTCCAAAGAATTTTGTAATCTGCGACTACAAATCAGATCAGACCAGATCTGCGATGCGCGTAAACAAAACATTCCTGGTTTGATTGATGTATTGATTGCTATTTAACCAACACTACCAGCACTACACCAATCAGAAGCTGCATTTGTAGGCAAACGCAGTTTTTCAAAATCATGGGGTTTGCGCATAAGTGTTTCCTTCTCTCCCCTCCCCCTTCCCCCGTCATTCCTTTTTGTTTGCTCTCGTCCCAACTTTCTCAACGAACTCATGTGGAAATGATTGCTACGCAGGCTAGAGGTTTGTTCAGGCAGGCATGTAGATGTGTGTATGTAGGCTAGAATATACTGCAGGCCTGTGGAGGGCTGCATGGAAAAGGCCCTGAATTGGATGAGTCCTGATTCAATATCCAAATTCTCTTTTTAATTTGTGAGCATTTCCAAGAGAAATTGGAAGGAGAATATTACAATTTATCAGTCAATTTGAGCTTTTCTCCAGGTACCCCTGTCACTTGCCTGAGACTAAGTTGGATGGTGATACAATAATTATCTTGAGAATCCAGAGTAACAATGTATTACCAACAGATCAAAATAACTCAACAACAAACAACTTCAAGAACATACCTAGCCGCTGTGATTAAAGTAGGTTTTGGAACAGTCTTTAGTAATGTTGCCATGGAGACCATGAGACTGTCAATCATTTCAGAAGAACTCACATGATGAGGTATTTCTGATGACATTCCTGAGAAGTGAAGCTAAGAGAGTAATGATCAGTATTTAGACTCAGATAATAATAATCATTATTAAGATAAACATTACTGCCCTGTCTTAATCTCATGGTTGTTTCCTGTTAAAGAAAAATATTTCAAGATTGTTGTGTTCTTCAAAAGATTCTTGTGTTTTGAAAAAGATTGTTGTGTTACGGAAAATTGTGTTGTGTTTTGAAAAGATTGTTGATAGTCAAAAATGTTTTATGTTACTCTGAATTACTTGCTCGTAATATTAACTGAATTAAGACCTTTCTAGACTCTGCTATTAGAAACATTAAAACTGATGCATGCTGCTTTTAGTACAGCTGGGGGCATGTAGTTCATACATTAAACTATCAGAGAACTTGCAAAGTAATTTATTAATTGACAATAATTATTATCATTCAAAAACCAAAAGCACCCTCACTAAGAATTTACCATTTCATAATCAAGCTTGCCACCCTGTTCCAGTTTTATTTTATCTGCAAGTTTCACAAGATCTTGGTTTAGGATAGAGCTATCAGACATTTTATCAGTGATACGAGATGAATGTTCTTGTAAATATTTATAAGTAGATTCAATCTGCTCCACTTGTACTTGGCGTTCTTTTATGCATCTCTCCAAATCCTAGAAAGTCAATGAATACACTATTATTTTTTTATTACACTGTTACAGAAACCAAAGAACTCCATATTACAGGTCAACTTTCGCGGCCAATGCATTTCAAACAAAATACGTCTCAGACAACAAGGATTTGAAACCATGAATCTACTTCAGAAATCATTTAATAAATTTTCCAATCACCATGGTCTTATCATCGAGAAGTATGGAGCAGCGTTGCGGGAGATGAGATTAGCAATCCAGGCTTGAATTGCACCATCATATCCTTACATCACTTATATATACTACTTATAGATTTGTACTTCAGTTGCATCTTGGTATGTAGGCGTACACAGTTTTATTTGTGTGCATGCATTATTTATTTATTTATTTATTTAATTGATGTGTACATTTAGTTCGTTCACTTTCCTCACTTATATGTGTTGTCAGTGACTGTGCTCACATTGTGGGAGGCTCCTCCTAAAATGTTCAGCAATTGGTATAGGATTTAATGGAGCTGGAACCAATTGTGGAATTGCACACATTTTAGGCATCCTACTGATGAACATGCAGTTATCACAACAAAGTCACGTTAAGATATATTTTTTGGCAGCTACTGTAATTTGCAGTCTGTCCACTTTGAATAATGATTGTACTAGTACCTCATTGCTTGTTGATGAAGGTTCCTCAAATCTGTAAATATCTCGTAAGGCCTTAAAGTCATCCTAAAAAAAAGCATTATAGCTGTAACATGTTTACTGACAGCAAAATTGCTAATAAAGTTTCTAGTAATATTTGCCTTAGTGATATCCGCCAAATTAAAAGTGATCAATTTAACAACATTTTTAAATTTCAGAAACCTTTTAAATGTTAAACCATTATTAGTGAGTTTACACAACAGGACATATCCAAAAGAGGAGGACAGCAAAACACTACTACTTGCGTGTTTTGTTGGTAATTCACTTAACATTTGATGTTTTTTGCTCTTCTACAAAAAGATCTGTTTAAAGGAATGTGAAGTTCGGCAGAAAGGTTTTTTCAAACAAAATTATTGTCACGCTTGTCACACAAAGTTTGCCTTCATCTTTCCTCTCCTGTCCGGTTGCGTAAGTTCACTATTGTCTGTGTAATGAATTGAGTAATTTATGATTATATTACCGTTAATAATAAATAGAATAATTATAGGAATTCATAATAACATTGGTGACAAAGATGGCCAACAGACCAGAGGTTTGTTTAGAAATGAGGTTATAACTACTTTAACGTCTTTGCTGGCGGTAAGCCTCATGTAAATTAATGTAGACATCCTTTAGTCTTAAATATCTCACTTTCCTGGTAAGGATTGCTACATGAAAATCTGCAAGGACACCTGTGTAGGGAACTACTATAATAAATTTACTGCAAATCATACCTTCACTTACCTCTGTATACAATAGTTTAAACGGATTCTGTGTTGAAAAGTAGTCCATGTCTATATCCAGAATTAAACTATTTTCTTGTAAAATTATGTTTGCAAAAATGCTACAAACATCAGCCATTGTTCCTTCTGCATCCATACTTTGGCCCTTCTCTTTGCATGGATGATTTAATTCAACTCCTTTTGTATTTGCAATAAAAGAGCTGTCCTGTGCAGAGCATTCAATCTCATATTTTCCCTTTTTCGTTACACTTTCACTGTTGTATTCTTGGAATGCATTTGGCCCCTCTCCCAATGTTTTTTGTCCACAATCAACTGCTTTTGCTCCCCTCTCTCCCAAAATGGAATTAGCTGAATTTAAAGTGAACTTTGTCTTGCACCCTTCAACTTGATTAGACTGATCAGTTCCACTTTGTTTACTCTTCGTATGCAATTCTGAGGTTTCACTTTCTGAATTCGGAGCTTCTGATTGAACTCCATTGTCTTTGTTTTGCATCACTCCATGTTTTACAGTGCACACAACGAGCTCAAGAGTTTTGCAATTCTCTAATGACTCCTCGTCAGCATAAAGAAGTTCTTCCACAAAATATACCTCTGAGCATGTCACTCTAAAAGGATAGTAATTACATGCAACTCATTACTGGACTGGTACTGTTATATACATTGTACATCTGAGGATAATAAGAAACTTAGCAGCACATTGAAAATCACAGGAGGGCATCCAGCATTGGCTTTGGTTACCAGTGTTTAGGTTATAAATAAGTGTCCTTCTTGTTCAGTTTTCTTCCATCTTTTTGGTGGTTTCATTTTGCATGAAAAGACCAAGAAGATTAAAAGAAAATAAAGAGAAAGGTTTGTATAAACCTTGCGGATTTTACAAGTGTCTTATGCAACATATGGTCTGTTATACAGCTGTACACTGTAAGTATCAGTTCGTGAAGGACTGGCATCTTATCAAAACCACATTATTTTTGTTGTGGTACATAGAGAGAAGTCGTGAATAATTTTTTCACAAAAAAATGACCCTCCATAAAATGTCCCACCCAGGTGTATCATTTTACATGAAGTACCTTCTGAATAGAGAGCTATCTTTTCATGCAGTCAATCAGGTGGTAAAAATACTGATTAATATTAGCTACAAGAGTCCTGTAGCCTTTTAGTTGATGAAACTATCAATACTAGGCAAGAAGAAAAACTACTTCTCCCACCGTCCCGTAGCCTGAGAAAACAGACAACATTTTGCAAAGCCACCAACGGTTTCCCTGCGAAATGATGTCTGAGAAACAAGCGAAGAAATTCCATACTGATGACCCATCACTACCCAGATCTGGGTAATGACGCGTCATCAGTATGACAGTGGTACATACCTATATAGCCCATATATGGCAGTACCCCCCACCTCTGATTTAGGGGGCCGTCAACACGGTTTACCAGCCGTACCTTATAAAACCTGTCTTCTTGTGTTTACCAACTTTGAAGTTAAACACACCTTCCTTAATCTGATCCGCCCAGGGTGGTTTTACCCAAATAACTCGACTCACATGTCCAGCATATACAGCGGGAAGAATCCAGTCTGCAATACTGATCTCTTCATATAGCTTTTCTTGCTCGAAAACTATGTCGGCTGACATCTTTACTGGAACAGTGAGGTCCGGGTGAGAGTCAAAATGGAGAACCGTTATTCCTTCATATGCAAGATGCCGCGATCCAATAGCTCTGTGAATATAGTACAACACTTCATCGTGATTCTCGCATATCCAAATTGGCAATTTAGTGTACTCTCTGAGAGCTAATTTAGCTCTCTTTGGCTGCTGGTGAAAATCTCCACTCTCATCCGCCATTTTGAGATTAACCGGCATCAGAGGCGCGGCTACCAATTACTCAGTGTAAGACACGTTGTCCAGCATACATGACGTAGGTGTACCTTCTGTCTTTCTGAGGGGATGAGTTTGCGCTTAGGATTCCGTAAATTGGTAAATGTTGGGATTCACATCCTTCCATCAATCACTTCGAAGGAGTCACAGTTTTGCATTATTCCTCAAAGTATATTGAGCACACAAATAGCACGAAATTACAGTGACAGATTTTCTATTGCGCCGAAAAAGAAAAAGATCAGGTCAGTATGAAGCCAGTCCTAGGGTGGCGGTGGTGGGGTGGCGCAGGTACTTACATGGTATACCTGCCAACTTTTTCTGAGATGTAGGCGTGAGATTTTTATCCTGGGAGTGTTGGGATTTTTGAAAACGACACGATCATTTCCGAAGATTCCCGAAGAAGTCCGAAGTCTTCCGAAGACGTCCGAAATCTGCCGAAGGCGAAGTTATCGAGAAAACGCTTATCCACAAAATCAGAGATCGCGAGGAAGGTATTGTCATTTATTCATTTTACACATGGTTTTCGTTCCTTACATGGGTCTGAGTTAACATATTTTTGGAAATTGTGTCAAGCAAGACGGCAACAACTCACATTTTTCAATCAGGCGTGAGAAATTGGTCCGCAGGCGTGAGTGGGCGTGAGATCGAAGTTTTCAACCCGCATGCGTGAGACTCACGCCTAAGGCGTGAGAGTTGGCAGGTATAACATGGAGATGGCGGATCCCAGGTAAGGGAGGTACCCCGCTCACCTGCCTGTACATGTCCATATAATCTCTCATTTTAATTCAGTGGGGTGACCCGTCAAGGTGGGTTGCCCGATCTGCTAGACCGGGAAATGGAAATCCCCTCAGCTGTGTTCAAATTTTGCCATGTTAATACTATACACCCCCCCCCCCCCCCACACACACACACACACACACACTTAGCCACGGTCAGATTCATGTTCCATCAAATTTGTAACAAATTCAACTAACTGCCTTTGCTGACAGCGACAACAGAAAGCCACAAGCAAGATTGTAAGATTGCATTGCTTTCTTTTATCCCATGTGAGCAGGTTACTTACCCTACCTGGGATCCCTAACCTCCATGTTAACAGACCCTTTAAAAATCATAGGCGTATTGATGGGGTCACATATTTCTCACCATTTGTTCTGGATGTTTAATTGATAAGTGCGTTAACAATGCATCAGACAATTTCAGCTGTGCCCATCCTCCGACCTCTCAGGCTAACGCCCAGCCTTATGCTAAACCTCAAAAGGGCCAATTGCCAATGGGCTATTGCATTTGAATACCCCCCCCCCCCCCCAGGGTGAGGAGCAATGAAATTCCTCTGGGTTAGTTAAGGGGGGGGGGGGTGCAGATATGAAAAAATTGCCAGATTTTGAATTGGTGACTTCAGAGGATGGTATGGGGTGGCAGCTGGGTGTTTACTGTTAGGATGGAATGGCAGTTTGGGATAGGGTTAGATGGCCTGGGTGAATGATAAAATATAGATTTGTATTGTTAGTTAATAAAACGTAGATTATTATCATTCTTTTTTAAACAGGCCAAAGAACTCTTAAACTTGCTACTAATTGCAATATTTTAAATTTCAGAAAGACCACAGGCAACAGAAATAAAGTAAGTAGAGGAATACTGAATTTTTTGTAGAGGTGGGCTACAACAGCAAAAGTAACTGGTCATAAAGGCTTTTCTATGCATTTAACAGTTTGCTTTGGGCAAAGTATTGACACCCATTTTTTTTTTTTAATTTTAGGGACATTTTTATAGTAAATTTATGTCTGTGTCTGTTATATATAAGTAGCCTTTTTCGGTTATTTGTTTTGTTGCAGCGTTCACTAAGGCAGTCACAAGTCTTTCAACTAGATCCCTTGAGAGGAAAAGATGCCTCTGAGATCCTTGACAGCGGCAGACAACAAGCTATCTCCGGTGCAATTCTTTGGGGCATTACTGACATTCTTAATGGTCCTGAACTGGATTCCAGCCTGAGGGATTGGCAACTAGAAATAACACGGGTAAGTTAATTGACATACGTACCCAATTTGTTTCCAGGAAGAAAGACTCAGTCAAGCAAGACAAAAAGAGGAAATAGTCTTTTTAATGTCTTGCTAGAAACAAAGTAGACCTTTCCCTTACACCTTTGAACAATAAGCAACAACATGAGGCTCCAGTTGACAAAATACAAAACACATCGTTTTGTATGAAACTGCCCACCCAGTCCTTGACCTTATTAAGTACCGTATGTGTTCCCACTGAAGTGGAATTCAGGGACTACTTTGGTCTACAACATTAAAAATTGTCAAACATTTACAATTCTCACTGTCAAACAAGTGCACAAGGTTGTTGTCTGCAATATGGTGGGTTTTTAAGGCAAACATTTCTCTGCAAGATGGTATACAATAAAAATATTATTAGTTTCTGCCTAGATTTTGAAAGCAGAAAAAAAAACTGAAAAGAGAAGAAAGTGTGATCAATAGGATAGGCACAAGGCAAAAGGACAAAGTGGGGGATGGGTTGCGCTAGCCTGCATTGCAGCCGGCCCATGCACTCGTCTTATAAACCAAGGTTTAGAGCATCTGCAACGCAGGCAAGGGATAGGGAGGGGAAGAAAAAAACGCCAATCAATGATAAGAATACTTCCATTTGTTTTATGGCTTGTCTTCCCTGACCGCCTGCTTCCCTATCTTGTGACTCTTGAATCCTAGTGTGGCCTGTGTTCCTGCCACCGCAGGCTTTATTAAGTAGGGAGTTCTAGCATCGACGACGGCTACGACAATGAAAACATCACTTTTAAAATGAATTAGCGTTTTTCAAACTTCATCGTGTTTATTCCAAATTATTCACTGAAAATGTCTAATGTAGGCAACTTTCCCTGGAGATGATTTCTTGGGGACCACTCTCAAGTTTGGAAAGAGAAAGAAAATTTCTTCGTCACTTGTTTACATCCTCCATAAAATGTGAAATTAGGCATTTTCACATCGTAGTCATGCCGCAATGGCAAAGATATGTACAAAAAAGTGTGATGCACGTGCAAACTTGTTTTTTTGCTTAATAAACCTATTGCTGTTTTGACGCTCTTGTTGCTGTCGCTGTTGTCGTTGCTAAAACTCCCTAGAGAGAGTGCTATTTTGTTGACTAAATTCTTTCCTTTTCAAGGTGAGAGTGACCCCAGATCTTGGGTATGCAACAATATACTGGGCAGTTTCAGGTGAATCAAAAGGTGATGTTGAAACTGTTCAAAGCCTTTTGGATGAAAACACAAATTACATAAGGTATGTATTTTTACCCCGAAGCTTTGAAAATTGAGGGATTTTAATGAAATTTGCATTCATCTCATTACCCTCCTAGCTTCATAGCAATACCTCAAGTTGGAGAAATCCATGTGTTGAGCAAAGCTTCATGTTTATAAGAAAACATCATCATAAAGCTCTATGGTTATTTTGAGCCTTCAAATTTTCACCTTGTTCCCACACTGTCATAGAAAAACTTTGGTCTCACTTTTCTCTCACTACTGGTCAGTCTGAGTGCAAAATACACTAGCCTTTATTTTATTAATAATTTTTATTATATAGACACGAGTGTTTTACCACTCGTAAAATTCATAAAAACTACATCTGGGACCCGAGTGGTCTATTTTCCATAATCTCACACGTGAGTTTATCGATGACCTAATTTCGGTCATTTCCCTCTATTATTTTATGTCTTTTTGTCTATATTATATAATAAAAGAACATTACACGGTGGCTTGAAGATATGAATTTTATTTTCACGCGGCAAAAACAATATTTTACTCACTTGCTGCACTCGTTCATAAAATATTGTTTTGCCACTCGAAAATAAAATTCATATCTTCGTGCCACGGTGTAATATCCTCTATATACAACTGGCTGGAACATTGCACACAGTAATGTTTGTGGGGCTTGGTAAAATCAGTGTCATGTTTCCACCTTGCGGCTTGTGAGGTGAACTTTAACGTAGCCTGGATAACAGGCATGGAGATAGTGGGGATGGCGCAAAGATAAGCGCTGCACTCCACTTAAGGTCTCGGTAAACGAAAATTTTAGTACATTGCTCGATTTTGTTTTTTTGGGATTTTTGGCATGAGTGGGTCCTAAATTTTATTTTGGCAGAAAAAGAAAATCGGAAAGTGCTTTTTAACCCTTCTAAAATGAGCCTCTTCTGAGCTAACCAGCCAAGCGTGGACCTCGCGCTAAATCTTTAGAGCTGATTTTCTCTCACTCTATTTTAGACGCAAAAATCAAAATTCTCCGACCTCCAGTCGGGACAGGTTTTAAGCTATCGCTTTGAAACTTTCAAATATGATGGATAATGATATAGACTCAAAAAGGGTGTGAGGAATTTTCCGATTTCCCTTTGTAACTCATGTTATGCCAGTTTCTTTGCGTAAATCGCGCTCGAGATTCGACTTTTTAGTTTGAAATGCAATAATTCCGCTAATACGAGACATATGCAAATTTCCTCACACCCTTTTTTAGGTCTTTTATCTGTCAATCAGATGCAAAAAAAAGGAAGTGAATATTTAACAACACGAAAGGGCTGGAGCTTCAGCAGTAAACTCGATACCTCTGAATTCGAGAACAAAAAACTTAAGCACCTTTTGAAATTCGATAAAATAAAATTTTTTAGAAGGTAATTTAGTCTGTTAGCTTTAATTTGATATAAATTATAACTTGCCTTTGTAGCAAAAATACTCGCGCGACTAGAATTTTTTTCTGTGGGCACCTCGTTTTCCTTTACCGAGACCTTAACTCCTAGAACAGGCTAGAACAGGCATTATTTCTGCCTTCCTCAGGCAAGCAAAGGCAAGGGTGAAGAGAGCAATGAGCACTTTGTTTTGAGTGTTGTTCGCCCAAAAAAAGCAAGGAATACCACCTGTTCTGCAGACTTACTCTATGTCACAAGGCAGACAATTCATTGTCTTTTTGAACAAAAGATAACCTCAATTTGTACAACTATGTTTGTTTTTAGGAGGCTTCTTCCTGCTTACTCTTCCTTAGCCCGCTTTCCCCAGCTCATTTTCACTAAAGACAACAGTGCAGAGTATAAAGCAGAAATGGAGCATCTCCTTAATAAGGCCAAGCTGAATGATACAGGTTTTGGTGGAGAATGAGGATGAAACCAAGAAAAGCTGATGAGTCAAGATTGATGTCATTCAAGAATTCTGGTTGTCTACCATCAACAGTTTTTAAGGAACTTTGATCTTAAGACATGTATCAGCATGGAAAGGAATCAGTGCAGTTTATATTCAATGGCCTTGATGTTTCCCTTACAAACTCGAACATGTACTTTGAGAGAGTTCTACTTGTTTTGAATACAGTCAAATACCACCTTAATAGACATCTTTCATCACCAGATAGTTGCACTGCCAGCAGGCGCTGAACCAAATCTGAAGTCTGGCCTTAGATATACGAAGGTTGATGATGGCCTATGGTTCTATTGCTGCATGATGTCTATAATTGGCCACAGAATAGACATCCCTCCCCCCACCTCCCGGGGTCATTCTGTAGGTCTTTACAACTTATACATCAATCAGCCATCTGCAAGACTTCCAATCAATCACTGTAAAATAAACTTTACTTGCAAGTTTACATAAAAGTTAAATAGGATGAAAACAAAACTTACATGAAAACTTCTAAGTAAAGCTTATTTATACAGTTACTAATTTACCTCAACAGAGCAATATACTAAAAATATATACTTTTAATAATCCAGATTTTTTAAAACTTAAACTACAACATTAAGCTACTATCAGTATGTATTTTTTTAATTTTGTTTCTTTGTCTTTTGCTATGGAATGCACTCTTTTAACATTAATAACCAATAAGTAATAATTATTACTTCTACATGTACATGTGTAGGCAAGTTTATAAAACCTGCTTATAGCTAATGGTTCCTGAGTAATGTGATATCTGCTACATTAAGTACCAAAGGAAAAATAAAAATTGGATTGTTGAGTGCGAGCTCAGGGCATGCCACGACAGGAGGTACCAGGGTGCAAAGAAAATCATTTTTACAGCTTGCCATTCGGGAAAGCTGAAGCTAGCATTTACTTGCCCAGACGTCATTTCAACTAGCCCCAAAAGCTTTTTGATGAGCAGAATTGATTTCACAGTTCTTCTGTTATTCAAATTCTTCAAAAAACATCACTTGCCCATCGGGCAAGTTAAAAACAGAATTCACTAGTCTGATAGCAAAATCCACTAGCCCCAGGCTATTGGACACGACTTTCTTTGCACGCTGGGTACTTGTAGGACACTTGTGCAACAGCAGTTCTTACATTGTGTTGAGAAAAGTAAAGCTGCCATTCACCACTTTAGAGGGCCGAGTTAACTTTTGCAAAGACTTCTGGGACTGTTAAGTAACTTAACCCTTTAAGTGCCAATAGTGATCAAAAAGAATTTTCTCCTAATAATATCCATACATTGTCAAGAGTTAAAGTTATGAGAATTAATAAAATGATCACCAAAGGGAAAATGCTATGATCCTTTATGAAATTCTCTCAAGTAATTCTTAAGAAAATCTATGGAGATCAGTTTGGAGAATTTGTATGTGGATATTGGGGCTTAAAGGGTTAACCTCCCCCAGATTTAACTCAACCCAGACTGTTTCCTTCTTGTTTTTAAAGTGGCGAATGTGTCAAGTAAAAGTGGTACCCAAACATGACAAAATTATTTCCGGTATATGAAAAGTGTTCACAGTACAGGTGGAGAGGCATTCAGCAACAGGTGTCACCTGTCAATCAAGAGAGCGGCAGATGTCCTTCTAGAATCTGTTTATTATGGTTTTATGGTTTTTACTCAAACTTTTTTGGTAACAAGGAGGATCTTCCATATGGACTGTCTTGTTTATGTGATAACAAAATGTCTTTTCAGCTGGGCGCTGGGTGTAAATTTTTTTGCGTACTACCTTAGAATTTACGATAGAATAGATTTTCTGTATGGACTGTCTTGGTCGTGAGAGAGCCACAGATGTCTTTTGAGTTGGATGTTGGTTATAAACTTTTTTCCGCATTCTTTACAGATAAACTTTTCATCACCCACATGCTGGCGGATGTGGCGTCTCAGTCCTTCCAGCTGTTCGTATGTCTTAGGGCACCACTGACACCTGGAGAGAAATGAAAATGGCACTGAATTTGTGTCAAATCCTGATCAAATACCAGATTGTTTTAAAGCTCAGCTTCTCTTGGGTTATGTTCACCACTGCCAAAAGCCATCAGCAGCATATTATGAACACCTATCTAATAAATGGCTCTCCCTTTTCGAGATCAGTGCAGTGCAGCTTCGCTTCGTTACAGAAATTGCGCCAAAATAGCTTTGCTTATGTGTGAACAGAAGACCTATCTGGCATGGTTTTTTTGCCAACACAAAAGTAACATGGTAAAGCATAGAGCCTTAAATTTAAGGCAAAGAGACAAATCATAAAACTGTTGCAATCACCTTTTGCAGAATACAAATCAATATTATGCAAATTGAGAATGGTGTGAAGAACTTCATAAATAAGAATAAAGAATCTTACTTATCAAGGGGACAAAAATAAAGTATGAGCACAAAATAACATCTCTTTTAACATTTAATTTGTACATCGAAATGAAATTCAGGTTGAAATGGTTTTAACTTAGGTTAACTCTAAAATATCCTTTCCCTCCTAGCCCTACACCTATCATCATGATTAATAATATTAATGCTAGAAAGGAAATTGAGAGTCATAAGTTAAAACCACTTTAACCTAAATTTCATTTTGGCTAACAACATTTCTATACACATGATCATTATTTTTAACAATTGAGAGGAGAGCTGAAAATACGAAGCACAGCAGAGTATCTTTGACGAACTTCGAGGTGTTTCATCTGGTGATGAAACACTGTGTCGAATGCTTGATATTACTTCTCAAATAAAATGATTTTAGAAGGAGAAATTAAGGCACTTTTTCATCTGATTTCCAAATACCATTAAACTTTAATTTTCTTTGTATTTTCTTTGTGAATTGTTAATGAGTTTGAGAAAAGCAAGGAAAGTGGCTACTTGATATGCCCCTCTTTGCACACTGACATGTATGTGGTCAACACATTAATCTGCTATATCTTTTAAGTTTTTTAGACACTCAGACAAACAAGTACATGTATTTATCAACAACTTACTCATAAGGCTTCTTCTTGGCTTGTTTGTGTATGTGCATGTGTCGCTTTAGGTAAACTGCATTGATAAACTCCTTGGAACACAAATCACAAGTAACAACTGATTCCCGAGAATGCAACAGTCTGTGTGCTTTCAAGTTATCTCGTCGCGTGAAAGCAGAACCACAGTCTTCACACTCAAAGTTCTTTTCATTCTTGTGACCTGCCATATGGCGCTTGAGATCTGCACTTTTGACAAATGCTCGGTCACACTCTGTACATTTATGCCGTTTGTCCCCTAGATAACAACAAGAGACCAATGTTGATTAGATATTACAGAAATTGACAAAGAACCCTGAACTGAACCATAACATCTTCATAAACTAGTAGTAATCGCAGATAAGGAAGTGTGTTGAGCTTTTTTTGGTTCACTGTCAAATGTGGCATTATTTCCTAATAAATTGATGCTGGAAAATGCTTCCTATATGTTTTTTTTAAAAAAGAAACCAAAACAAAACAAAATAACAACGAAAAAAAGAAAAAAGTCTCACCCGGCAGGAGTCAAACCTGAGACCTTCGACATGTAAGGGCAATGCATTATCTATTGCACCACGCAACCAGAGCGTATGTCAATTATTGTATTTACATTTTTGTGCCCACGAGATAAATTATTCAAGTGAAGATGGCGCAGAAAATGCAGATGTACAACGAAATGAGTACCACAAAAGGTCACCCTTGAGTACCACAGGAATCTCAACTGAGTACCAAAGGAATCCCAAGATTATCTGTTGTGTTTTCCTATTTACATCAAATGCAACAAACCAAAGTCAAAATTAAACTGTCCCCGCTTGACTTTCAAGTTCACTACTAACCAATATGGTACTTGATGTGAGATTTGATGCAGCCCTTAGTGCGGAACTCTTTGCCACAGTATTCACACTTGTACTGTTTGACCTGCACATGAATAGCCTTATGGATGTTGAGTTCCCCAGCAGTTCTAAAACCTTTTTGACATTCCTACATCAACAGTAATAAAAATAAGAATAAGAAATAAATAATGATAATGATACAAATAATGATTATAAAAACTAAAATTATCTTTGAGGGATAAAGAAAGAAAATTACATTGTTAGTAATGATTCAAATGGGAAATAATGAGGTTAAGAATCCCAACTGGAAGGAAATGGACTAGTTGCATGGTTCAAATACAATTTCGGGGGAAAAAAATCAAGGACGAAAAACATTACTTTTTTTCAAGGATGTCTTTTCCCTGTAATTTAACATAGAATGACATTGACATTTAACACAGAATGATTTTGGTACTGTTCTGCAGACCAACTTAACCAGAAGTTAATTTCCATCTGTTCACAGGCTAGGAAAGCTGTTGTTATTTACATTCAGTTTTGCACTAACAATGAAAAATTCATTTTAAGGTGGGGCAGACCTTGAGTCGGGTCCTTAGCCACATCCACCACTGGCAGAGTAAAACAGACTTGACAAAAAACTGCCTCTAGAGTTTAATGACCATAATAAAGGATTACCTGGCAGATAAATGGCCTGGAATCTTGATGGCTTGTTTGGTGACGTCTTAGATCATTGTTGGTAAAGAACTTTTTATTACATTTGTCACATCCATAGCGTCTGACCTTTGCAGCCTCTTTAAAAAGAACATTATTTTGATGTTAAAATTATTAAAATTATTATTTTGATCAAGCTAATTAAAAATGTTGCATGAACATCATCCAACATGGGTGACCAAATGGTCAAACAATGTTTGATGAAACACTGAACAACTTCACTCTGACAACAGTCTGGCCAGGGATGAAATACAGTGTACGAGTGTTAAAGAAGAAGAGCACAAGGACAAACACTCTGTAAAATTGAAACAGCCGTGCAGTAGCTGTCCGAAAAAAGCTTACTTTTTGGTAAATTGAGGGGTACATGTAGTGTTTCCTAACAACAGTGCCTTGGTGTGCACTTTAGTGGCTAGACAAGAGTTTAAAACATGAAGATGGGTGAAACAAACAATATTGTATAAGATTTTTGTGATATAGAGAATAATCAAAATGAGGTAGTATACACTTTGTACTGAAATTATTACTCTGGTTATTCTGGACCTCACAAAAACCAAACATAGAATTGTTTTATTACACATTGTTTCAAAGAAAATAATGACAAACACCACGTGGAACAGAACACAGTTTGACATTGCTCTTGGAAATCATACATAAACATTGTGCATGAACCTACGGAAAAGTCAGTTACTGTTAGTACAATCTAGATAACTAAACTAACCTCTAAATTCATTTAATCATTAACTGTAAGCTCTAGTGAGTACAATATAACATAATAATAACGGCATTTTATCGAACCAACCTGGTTTCTTTACAGTCTTTTGTGGCCAGTTGTTGACAGGCTCCTCTGGTGAACCCTCTCCAATGTCCAGCCTTCTTTCAGCTAAAATCATAATCTCAGGTTCTGCCCCGGTCTGCGTCATGACCTCTCTGATTCGTACACTCTTCTTAGTAGTATTTATTTTAGGTCGTTCCTCATAGCTGTCTGTCTGCACAGTACCGGCTACTTCTGCACTGGACATTCCGGCTGGCAATTCTCCTGCAAAGGACTGTAAGTCTGTTAAGCCTGGATTCTGCATGCCTTGTGATGTCTGTACTGTGATGGACTGAGATACATTGTCAATGGGTACATTCTCCCCTGTCACAACAGATTGTGCTATGACTATGTTCTGAGAAACTTGAGTGAGTGCACCAAATGATTGATCTGTTGGCAGCGCATCTTGTGACACACCTGGCGGCATGGTGCAAGTGTTGGTATTAGCTGGGATCAAACCACCTGTAGAAACCACCACTTGTGCTGAATTTTGTTGATATTCACTTTGTGCAGGATTTGTTTGAAAGTTTGCTAGTTCCATAGCTTTTTCAATGACTCCACTGCTGGAAGATGAAGAATCCTGAGGAACAACACTTAGAGTGACAGGCTGAGTAAAGAACAATGCATTTGCAAATGGCATTGAAGAGGCACCCGCTGTAGAAACAGCTGGAATCTCACCGGTAGCAGTCACACCAGGTGACCCTAAAAAAAACACTAGAGCAGGTTGAGTTCCACCAGATGAAACATGTGGGGGCACAAATGGTCCTTGAGTCACATTTTCAGGGGAATCAAGATTCAAAAGCATGGGCCCCTGTGTTGGAGAACTTTGTACAGGTTCAGTACCTTGTGGTCTGTCTGTACATGTAGAATTCTTCCAATCACTTGTTTCATCTTCCAGGTCTGATGACTGATCCACCACAGCGATGACTTCAACCTCTTCACTTTCCAATTCAATTGGTTCACTTTCTTTTTCTTTTGTTCTTCTGAAGAAAAAAAAAACACGTATCTCTGACATTATCTTCCCATCACCCATCGTATCAAGTTTAAGATTCTAATTCTTACTTTTTTTAAGATTCTAATTCTCATCAATTTTAAGATTCTAATAATTATTCTTATCAATTTATGGACTGGCGCCATCCTATCTTAGTGATTTGATACAAGTGAAGCACAAGAGTTCATACGCATTATGCTAGAACAAAAGCCTATTATTAAAAGTTCCACAGGAGATAATGCGCCCTATACTCGGTGGCAGGTATTTTTACTTTTGCCACACTGGCTTCATGGAACAGCCTACTGGTGAACTTTCGTAATGTCACAACACTTGCTGTTCATAAAAACAAACTTAAGATGTTTTTGTTTAGGTCTGCATTTTAAAAATTACTTCCTATTTAATAATGTTTTTAATATATATATTTTTATTTTGTTAAGTGCTATTGATCAGCATAATTATGTAAATAGCCCTATATAAGCTATTAAATTATCATTTAAGATCATTACATTTGCAACTCTTTATGGAAATATTAAGTAAAAAATATGCATTTAAAAAAATATAGTGGTATAAAATTCTGTACATCTGAAGCTATCAAAAAGTCGCAAACAAGTGCATGTGTGATTGACTCACATTGTACATGATATGAAATCAATAATTTAATGAGCATTATTTAATAAACTCAACAACCTAGACTGATTCTCAATTTCCTTTGTGTCCTGGCCTTAATTATTCATGATCAGGAAAACTTGATAATAAATTACAGTCGAACTTCCCGTAAGCGACCACCCAAAATGCAAAGACTGCGTGGTTGCTTGCAGGAGGTGGTCGTTTACAAGAATCAAATGGGTCTCTTCCGAGAAGAGGTCCAAGCACATCTACTTTATGAAAGATAATTTATTGCATGCAATGTTTAAGTTAGGATAAGTGTAGTTCTATGTTGTTACTAAAGTTCTTTGTATATTCTAAGTAACATAGTGCACACAGCGAAAATAGAGATCAGAGAATGTGTCAAGTGGTCGTTTACAAGAGTTAAAAAACAATGGACAATATTAACCATAAGGCCCAAAAGCTGGTCGTGGTCGCTTACAGGAGGTGGTCATTTACTAGAGGTTCCAACTGTAAGGCTTTGACTGGGAAAATTGTGGTGTTTTGGACTGGCGATTGCTTATGGGAGGTGGTCTTATGAGAGGTGGTCACACATGGAGGTTCAACAGTATTAGGGTTACAAAACAATGGAAACTGAGAATCAAACTCTAACATTACTTTCATTTTGACCTACAGGATATACTGATCCAAACTTACATGTTAGAATAATTGTGAAAGGTCTCTGATACTGTTACTCCTTCTGATTTATCCTATAAAAAAATGTTGAAGAGAAAACTGTGATTTCTTCTTGAAAAAGCTAACAGGTTGCAGCTCGTTACTGTAAATCTTAGTTCTAACTGAACAATGAGACATGCATAGCAGGCATGAAGCTAAGGGAGAAAAACAGCCAATTGAGGTATCCATTCAGCCAGCTGATTCAAGTGCCTTCAGTGTCAGTATCTGATGTCAGGGAGGCTATGGAGGTGGATGCCCCAGTTGAGGGGGGGGGGGGTCTCCTCTAAAACTTTTAAGTGGCTTTTGATGCCCACTGGTGCAATCCTAGCCTAAGAAAACAGCTGACATTTTGCAATGCCACCATTGGTTTAGCCTGAATATGATCCGATTACTTCGAGTCGTTATTACTCCCTCAGTAACGTCTGAATCGACCGGCCGTTAATGCCGTCCAGTGACGTCACCACTCCTTGACCTTTGCTTTAATTCATGCAAAAAGTAAAACACGATTTTCAAGAGGCAAACTGAGAAATATTGTTTGGAAATGTCTGCATGATACAGAATTGCTTTATTTTTTTCAATCGTAATTCATGTTTAACGTTCATACTATCAACTGCATGCAGTACAACTCTGAACCGATTGTACTAAATTCTATATTAAATCAAACTCGGTCGCAATCACGCAATGAAATAAACACACACACGGAACACTCAGTTCAAAAACACAATGATTTGCTTTAATTCAAAAGAAGCTATTTGGTCCTTAACGAAGAAAAAAAACAAGGAGACAAGAGAGAAAAGCTAACAGAATCATTACACTTGACGGTAAAAATAGCAAGAAGGTCGAATTATAACATTTGGTCTCAGAAAACTTCGCGTAAACAAAATCACTGGCCGCCGAAACCACAAAGCGGTTCTAAATGAAAAACCTACCGATTCTCCGCAATGATTCTTCATTCGCAGTTCAAATTAGCATTTCAGTTTCAAAGACAAGGGCAATGTTGCTGTTTAAGATAAAGATTAAGCTTATCGAAATGTTTGAACTAAACGAAAGAATGCCAGGGATGCGATCTGCTGAATATCAAGCAACAATCCCGCTAAAATTTTTTCATAATTATACATAATTATGCGAATGTTTAGACAATCAACCAATCAAAATCACTCCCAGGTTTTCGGGTAGTGAGTGACGTCACTGGAAAGCATCAACAGCTGGTCGATTCAGATGTTGTTGAGAGGAGAAAACGACTCGAAGCAATCGGATGAATTTCAGGCTACCACTGGTTCCCCTATGAAATGATGTATGAGTAACAAGCACAGAATCTGGGTACTGCTTCTGTTGTTTGGAGCAAATTTCCCACACGGTATGACCAATCAGCAAGTGCTACCCTGATCTGAATAGTGACATGTTATCAGTATGGAATTTCTTTGCCTGTTTCTCAGACATGATTTTGCGGGGAAACCAGTTGTGGCGTCGCAAAATGTCAACTGTTTACTCAGGCTAGTGCAATCCAAGGCCTCTCTTGTGAGGTGAGATCAAACGGATTTAATACACTAATGCTTTACCATTTAACAGTCAAGTTCTTGTTAACAAATAGTGGATAGAGCATTCAAATAGTGTAGCATGAAAACAATCTGTTCAAATGTTTTGAGATTTCTCAAATGAAATTGAAATGGTTTATAGACTTGCAAAAAAGCAGAATGTCACCAAAATTCACAATTTAAACATTTCTTCCTTGTGAAGGGTATTTGACGGTCAAGAAGCCTGTCTCAAAATAATGGTCAAATGTCACGGAGGTTGCCCGGGGGGAATTGAGCGGCGCGTATATATGTCAGACATAATATCCAAAATATCCATGTAGAATATTTCAACACACGTACAACCAACCAAATTTATTTGAAACACAATACGTCTGATTATTAATGCACTAAACTTAGCCATCAGGCAAAAAGGCAAACACTAAGTTATTTTGTAACATTACAAAGCACTCACTTTATCGTTAGATGTCGCTGTCCACGACTTTGCAAAACTGCACCCGATCTGTTTTGCGTCCACAGTTGAATTTTCGGATGATCTAAAGAAAGAAGACATGTCTTTGAAAAATTATGTTACACTACAACAAACTGTTAAAGAGAAGTCAACCATATATAAAAGCCCATAAACATATCCAAGGAACGAAGACCATGCATGAGCGATACATGCGCAAGAAACGTTGCTGCCTGTACTCCTGCAGATAAGATAAGATAAAGCGTCTGTACCTTTCAGGTTCCTCCATCATTATTTTTCCAAAAACTTCATGTAGAGCTCATGATTTCGTCCGCTCACTCTAATTTTCGCGTTTTCACAGGCTGAGGAACGAAAAAAACAAGGCGTCTTCACCGCACCAAAGAAAGATATCCCAGAATGCCTTGTTACTCACAACGTGCCACCTTCCCACAACACCTTGCACACCGCAGGATTCCGCGCAAATCTGCGGCGGCCTGCGGCTAGGCTCTTGCCGATTGTGCTAGCATAATTTTTGGCATAATCTGAGGAATTGAGCATAATTTTTGCCCTTTTTCCAAAAGTAGCACTGCTAGCATAATCCGTATATTTTCTTGTCTTAATAGCACAATTTTAGAATAATTCAAGAAAACGAAGATCTCAGCTACTAAAAACGATAGATTACTATTAACAGTTGCTTCCACTCCTATTTTTCGATTTTTTTTTACTTGTGTTGAGATACCGCGGGAGTTCGATGAAACGGAACCGGAAGTCTGTGTCTCGGTCCCAGACTCCTTAGTCTTTCTCCCAGTGCTCGTTTCAAAATGGCGGCCGCCATTTTCAAGCTATCCGCGGATAGTTATCCACCACACTATCCAGGCTTTGTGCAACCTACTTTTGTTCGCTGGATAACTATCCGCTGGATAGCAGATTTATTCGCCGTATAGGCCCAACCACCGGATAAAGTTACCCAGGTTTTGAACAACCGGGCCCAGAACGTCTGGCCAGGGTTAATAAAATACATTTTCAAACTTGTCTTGTGAGTTGTGAAGTTTGTGCACAGAATAATTTTTTAAAAAAGTAGCATAATTTTGAAAAGCGAGCATAATTTGAGCATAATTTGGGCAAAAAACGAGCACTTCCACTAGCATAATATGCCACTTTTACTAGCACAATCGGCAAATGCCTACCTGCGGCGCCAAGTCTCTCCCTGGTCTCTTGATATGTGATCATCTTGTAGTGACCTGTAGTCTTGTAAAAATATTAGGACTCCTGGTTAAGCTCATTCACGAGCAAAAAAAAATTCACTCAAAGTTAAAGAGAGCGGACGAAATCATGAACATAGGGCATCCACCATGGCTCTAATCGGCCTCTGGCTTCTGGCCAAGGCTTTTGATTCTGACATCTAATGTCAGCTCTCAAAGGTCTTTGAAATCGGTTCCTTGGCCTGCCTGGAGGATTAAATGGCCTTTTTATAGTAAGGACACATTATCCGTCTAGACGAACTTGGGCAAACCGTTTGTGGTTCATCTGGCATAACCAGACGAACCATCGCTAGCGCGTCGTTCAGGGCGTAATTCGTCCAGACGCATGCATAATGCGTCTTGTGCCCGTCACATAACCAGACGAAGGTTTGTCCAAGTTCGTCCAGACGGATAATGCGACTGTATGTAGTATAAAAACGGCCATGGACGGATAATGCGTCCTCTCATAAAAAAGGCCAATGATTCTATCGCCCCATTAATCTCGTACCCAGTTCTTGCACGGCCAAAGGAAAGGGAGATCTCACTTTTCAGCGTAAGACAGAGTGAAATCTGGGTACGATATTATCGCCCCATGTAAGGGAATCCAAGGTAAAGGGCGCGATCCATTCAACCAAAATTTCCGGAAATTTCGGTCCAAAACTCAATGGATCGGTTTGGTCCAACCGGAAAAGTTTCGAAAAAACGGGTCCACCTTTTAAGGTGGACCACTTTTCCCGGTCGGACCGGTTGGAATTTTGGTTGAAAGGATCGCGCCCTTGGATTCTGGATCCACATGGAGATTGCGCAATCCAAGTACTGTACTCAGTTCGGATTCATTTCTCAGTTGACTGGCTTAGATTGGGGATCCCAATCCTTAGTGGGATCTGGATTATTTCATTTGGGCTGTATTCCACATTCCAAAGCTCAGGATTCCTAGACTGTTCACAGTCCTCCATTTTTCCGTAAGAACGTCGAGATCGAGCGCTTTGCGTGACGGGCTGCCATCTTGCATGAGTGTCAAAACTACTCAGGGGGCGGGGGCGGTTTGGGAGGAAGCGAGAAAAATAGAGGGACTGTAATAACATCACTGCAGCTCGCGTTCAGGAGGCGTGAGAGGAATTTCACGCCTTTTACCATTCATTAATTAAGAAAGTCCGCTGGTGATGAAAAACATGCCAGACACATTTAGCATCGATTACGCGCGTGTTTTTTCGAAACAGTGATTCTATACTGTTTCTGGGCCATTCCTCGAAATAAAATCGGCAAACATGCACAAGAAAACATTTTCCTAATCAAAATACAAAAAATCCTTCGCGTGTTTGCGCAAGATGTGCCTTATGGTATGAAAGCGTACATTTTATGGAAACGTCGACCTGTCAACGACTTGTCAATGTCGGCAACTTAGATTAAACCCGTTGTCAACGCAAATTAACATCTATTGTATAATGACCAATCAAACGCATGCGTTGCTGGTACAACGCGCTCAGTGAACGCGAGCTGCAGTTATGTTATTACAGTCCCTCTATTTTTCTCGCCCCTCCCCCCCCCCCTCAGAGCTATAATCTCCGACGCCCGCCCCTTCGGTACCTTTGAAAATCAAGATACCCGTGACGGTAAGACGTGGTATATCTAAACGATCTCACGAAAAAATAGGGGACTGTGAACAGTCTAAGGATTCCAGATTCCACAAGCAAAAAAACATGGGACGAACTTATTTTACAGGTATATACGTCTTTCAGTGATATAGATCAGAATCATATCATATTCGTTATTCGCGAGGAGTGAAAAAACTTCACAATCCATTTTGAGCAGATTGGGGGCGCTTTCCATTTGACAAACACTCCGATTTGAAATTTCGGAAAATCTACATGACCATTGCAACGGTACATTCCGGTCGCACATACCCGACCCAAGCCACCGCGAGTTTGGTTATTGCTCTTGTAAGCAGGATACAAAAGAGCGGTACTGGGGACAACAATTTTGACAAATGGAAAGGGACATTTCGGTCCGACCGACAGAGGTAACCTGACCGGTCAAGGTGGACCACCTTGAACGGTAGTCCCAAATATACCGGTCGGACCGAATCGAAATAGTCTGTTCCATTTGATTTCTAACCGAAATTTCCGGAATTTTGGGCTGAGCGCCCTGGGGGTCTAGGGGCATGCACAGCTTCCCAAGGAAGAAGATCAAATTTTGGGTCCTCGGGAATGCTGTTTGAAGTGTAGCGGCGGGCAACTCAAAGTGTTTTTTTCTGAGATTCAAAAGAGGCTTTCGATCCAGTACCCTGAGAAAACAGCCGACATTTGGCGACGCTATCACTGGCTTCCCCTCAAATGACGTCTGAGAAAAGACCGCAGAAATTCCACACTGATGACGCGTCACTACCCGGATCTGGGTAGCGCTTCAGAATGGTAGTGCTTCTACCGTGCATAACTTTTAGGAATAGACTGGCTTGACAGTTCTGCTTAATAGTGAAATTCCCAGAGTGGTCTTCCCAACCATTTTTAATGAATGTTAAGCACCCTGATGGGAAAACTGATCAATGCGTGAATCCGGCCCACATAGTCTCTGTTGGAGGATAAGAGCAGTCAGACAAGTTAACCCCTTGCATTACAGCACCCTTAAGAAAACGCCACGTTTATTGATGTCCTTTAAGAAACCACTGAGGTTTCACGGGTCGCTATGCTCAACAACTAAGCTGTCAATATTGGGGGTAGGGGGGGGTATACAGTACATTTCCATGATCAAGGCTTTAAAAAATGCTGACAAACATTGAAACGCACTCTGTTAAAATCTTTGACTGTTTTATTGTTGATTTAAATGTATCTTTTAACTAACACATTGAGAGATACTGGACTTGCTAATTTAAAAAGCAATGTATAAATTCTAGACATTCTGGTTTATCCAAACAAATAAGTTTAATACCTTAAACTGTCTACTGACAATGCTTTAATGTTATAACTACAGAACACGGATCCTACAGCAAAGAAGTTGTCACAAACGAGCTAAGTCGAGAGAAATCTCATCGAGTATAATCACCGTGCGCTATACCTTTGCGAGTGCGACAAATTGTTTGACAAGTTTTTGACATCTTTGTTTACAAAACCGCCTTCCTCGTCTCTGAAATGTAATCAAATAAGGTCTTCATTCAAGTTACGAAGGACCGACAATTTTGCTCGGCACTAAACAAAAGCCCATTTTCGTATAGAAAAGTCGAGAATTACTGCTGTTTTTATTGGTATGCCGCCAAGCAGAGTCATGCTTGGACCAACCTTGCTCCAGGGTCTTGTCGTTTTCCAATATAGCGTTTCTGCCTCAGCCATAAAAACGAAAAGACCCTGAGGAAGAGGTTGAAAGAACGCCTAACGCCCGGGGGGGGGGGGTACTGCCATATATGGGCTATATGGGTATGTGCCGCTGTGAAGGGTATGGTTTTCAAGCAGTTTACTCTAGGATAGGGTATATAAATCAGAGCGTTTGGGTCTAGAATAGGGTATCATTTTTCAGAAAACTGATCAGTTGGTTGAAGATTTTATCTAGACTGGGGAAACAGCTACTCTAGGATAGGGTGATTTTGGGAGTTTACTCTAGTATAGGGTAGCAAAATTCAGCTGAACTAGCTCTGGTATAGGTCAAGGATTCCAGGGTCTCAGCGGCACATCCCCACCCAGAAATTCCTAAACTGCCCCCCCCCCCCCCGGGGTCTAACGTTGGCAAAAACCTGCCAAAAGTTTAACAATGAGTAGGAAAACTGTAACAAATGACTTTCGAGGAATGGGCTTTGTCGCTGTCTTCGCAGACTGTCGTCACAATGGAGTGCTCGAACCATACTTATATCACCTAAGAGCAAACATGCATAACACAACACTGAAAAAAAAACACGAATCCTCGTGGTTGATGGTCTTAATATCGCTTAACGTAAATCATTATCCAGGTTGTTCATACGCCTCATTCCTGCAAAACAATACCAAAAAATATTCAAACGTTTGAAAGAAAAACATAGCTTTAGCAACGTGAAAGACAGCCTTTTCATAAGTGATGTGTTTGAGATGGGCTCTCCTCAGTCCTCGTAATATTCTACGCAGCCGTTTTCTTGTGTCGTCACACAACGCTCCTCCCCATACGGTTGCGTAGGAGACTACACTCAGGCTTTATAGCCTATTCTCTCATTATTGACATCAAGTCACGCATCGTCAAGCATCAGACTATCAACCTCGTTCCCAGCATCCTCTCTTTCTAACCCTTGGGACGAGGTTGCGGAGCACTAAAATTCACCATTTTCACATAGACCATAACGCACCCTGTTTACCCTCCAAAAATTTTGCATAACCATTGTTTCCAATTTCTCCCGCATAATACAGTCGTCCCAAGAGAAATCGAAGACACTAGTTACGTATTTTTTTTTTTTGGGGGGGTAAACAAGGTGCATTATGAAAAAATGGTGAATTAGTAGTATTTTCAGCTAATAAGCACGTTTTCCAGCACATAAAACTTATGCACATTACCTTCTTATGACGTGGCAGTACACGCTAGGGAAGGCAGAGCCAAGACTGACACAAGGAATGACACAAGACAAACAAAGGTCACATTGTTTGGAGAGGAGGCGAGTGGAGGAATGTTGAAACTCCCACTTTAAATCTATTGCGCTGTTATTTAACCCATCGCGCTGTCACAGTAAGCTGTCACTAACGTAACACTAAGATAGCGTTAAGATAATTTGAGTGTGGTGCGCGCATTTGAACAGGTCAGGTCAGACACTGAGCAAGTTTGCTCATTTACGTTGCTTTCATTTTGGTGTTTGTATGTCCTCAGCACCTGTTTACGGCTAGTGGTACTTCGATTGCAATTGTCCAGAAGGATAGGGTTATATTCTACTGAATTGTCTTAAAATAAAGTTGTTGTTGTTGTTACTAAGTTTCTCACAACTTTTGCACCAAATGAGATAGCTTCGTTATCCGATTTAATCAGGACCTAACACTGGCCCGTAAAAAAGGCGTCCCTTATCACCACACCGATCGGTAGTATTAAAGCCGGATTGCGTACGGTGTAATTAATTCTAGAAGAGGTAGAAATTTAGCACCAGACAGCTCAGAAAAAATTCTGAGCTCCAAGTGAGATTCAAACGCGCAACCCTCCGAGCTCTAGTTCGGATGCACTAACCACTAACCGACTGGAGGTGTGATAGCGAGCAGAGTCGAAATTTAATCATAATTACTCGAGTCATCGGACTGTATCGGAGACTCGCTTACGTACCGTTACGTCCATCCCTTCCAACATGCTTGAACTCTCGCAGAGCAGCTCTCTTTTCAGGGTTATTACGGAACTCCTTGTCCAGCAAGTCCCCTTGATGTCTGGCCTGTCCTATTCTGTACATCATATCGTTTGCCGTTTGCGCATCCAAACTACGGACGAATAAGGACTAATGTAAATGTTTGCTTTATAGACCGGATATATATATTTATTCACGGTAAAAGTCCCGAGGAGCTAGGGTGCTCAACAGGGTTTCATACGTGGAGGCTCCGCCCCGAAGGTCCAACCCCTTATTCTTTTACATGATACCCTTTTGGACAGAAAAGGGTTCCCTTTCGTTTACCTTCTATTGACAAATGGTACGTACGTCTTTCACATACCTACTGCAGAACTTTGTATCCCTTTAAACTACTGTAAAATTTAATGCACTTTCTTTTAAACATGAATAAATCAAGAAAACGCTGGAAGTTTTCTCGACTTTTTCACAGCCATAAAATGCATGTGTTAGTCCTTTTGGGCCTTTTTTCTGACAGAAATGGCATTTCTACCCTTTCATATAGCTGAAATCTGAAAAAGGTGCCCCTTTCGGGTGAAGCCTCCCCGTATAGGCTTTTATGGGGTATCCCCTGGGGGTAAATTTAGTTTTAGCGATCAGAACTCAGTGTCAAAAACTTACGGAGGTCCTTTCTTCCTTGGCGGTAGCATCATGGGCTTTCCATTGAGAACATGAAGAACATTTTTCACATATTCATCAACGAGTCCTTTGGGGACTCCTGTCTCTTCTCGAGCAGCCACCCACATTAGTGTCCTCTGTATCATGGCACTTTTGGCACTCTCTTTAGCCTCACTTGGAGCAAACATCATCTGCGCTTCCAGGCTGACGAGTTCAGCTTCGATTACGGCTTGAACCTGGCAGAAATCAGTCAAAAACGAATTTTAGGATAAATTTGACATCAGAGGCACACTAGAAACAAGTGAACAGCCAGACCTTCACCAAGTCCATCGCCACCATTGTTTTCCCCGCGAAATGACGTTTGAGGAACGAGAGGAGAATTTTTAATACTGATGACGCCGTGCTTCTGATTGGTTGATGCAAATTTCCCTCGCGGCACTACCAATCAGAGGAACTACCCAGATCTGGGTAGTGACGCGTCATCACTATGGAATTTCTCTGCTCGTTTCTCATTTCCCGGGAAAACCAGTACTGGCATCGCGAAATGTTGGCTGCTTTCTAAGGCTACTGGTACGCGCGCTCTGATTGGCCGAGAGGAGTGTTTGCATGAGAGTATGTAAAACATGGTTGTGACGTGAGATGTTTTGCTTTTCGCGCGCTAATCACGCAAGCACGAATTTGAAAACGTTTTAGTGATCAAAACTCGATAAGATTACCGAATTACTCATTCCTTCCTCGGCTGAAACTTGGAAAATCTTTACAGACAAGATGTGTCAACTTTTTTTCGCTTAAGCTGGCATTTTAAGCGAGAAAAATCCGTATTTTGGAAAGCATCTTTTTGCAAAACAAGAACTGATTACGCGTGCAAGACTTCGTGTACAAGACTTTGCGACTGGTAAGAATTTCTCTTTTAATCAGTGCCATAACAAAGAGTTTTGCGTTTTTTCTCAGGAAAGTTATTTTATAAAAGCAATATAAAACTTTTTTTCGGTGTTTGCATAGCGTGATATAAACACTCGAGTGGTTGGCAGAGTTCTCGACAGTTATGAAAACCCTCGACTTCGTCTCGGTTTTGCATAACTGTCCCAAATTCTCCCAACCCCTCTCGTGTTTATACCAGGCTATGCAAACACGGAAAACGTTTTCTATTGCTTAAATCTATAAGGTTGTCGATCACTCACATCATGTAGGGTTCTCTTTGGTCTTTGTGAGCCCTTGTGTTTATTAAACGCAGGAAGATGATCCAATAATCCCGACTTGGGAAGAACTTTGCCGTGGCTTTGTTCTTCGAATGCTTCCAGTTCTTCTATCACGCCCATTGTGTTTTCGTAAATGCCGTAGAGCATCTGTTCGCTAGCTGAAATCAAAAGTGTACAAGTTAGCGATTAGCTACTCTATAAAATAGAGTATCTGATTTTTAAATAGAGACGCATACACCTGAGGAGCGTTTCCAGGGGGGTACTCCCATACATGGGCTACCTTATTATAGGAGATTAACGCTCCATGAAATTAAGGCATGAAAATGAACGCGACTAAAATTAACGCGAATTTAGTGGATAAAGGAAATTAACGCGAAAGAAAGGGTAACATTTTAAAATGAAGAAAAATATAGGCGATGTCCATGAAAACGTCGCAGAAAAATAGACTTCGCACCCTTTATTTCGCGAGGGGGCCGCGCCAGAATTCAGACAGAGATGGTGGAATTTACCGCCTTACCGTTCTTCTTCTCAAGCATCCTCGGAGACCCAGGGGCAGATAGTGGGGGCGAGGGAAAGTCTAAACAGGCGAAAAAATATGGCACAAAAGAACAGTAAAGAACGGCCAGAAGAGCCCCTGGGGACAATGTCTTACCAGACCAGTTCCAAACGGTCGACGCCATTCTGGCTTCTGATTGGGCAGAAAAACACAAGTTGTCTGGCACCAATCAGAAGCCAGAATGGCGTCGACCGTTTGGAACTGGTCTGGTAAGACATTGTCCCCAGGGGCTCTTCTGGCCGTTCTTTACTGTTCTTTTGTGCCATATTTTTTCGCCTGTTTAGACTTTCCCTCGCCCCCACTATCTGCCCCTGGGTCTCCGAGGATGGTTCTCAAGTAAACTTAAAATTAGGTCATTTCAAGTTAATTGCAGAATCCCACATAACTTAGTTCGAATGAAACTGCATAATTCACAGAGCATACAACGTAGCAAAAGAAGGAGAAAGCCCGGGGGGGGGGGACTTTAGGAATTTCTGGGTGGGGATGTGCCGCTGGGACCCTGGAACCCTTAACCTATACCAGAGCTAGTTCATCTGAATTTTGCTACCCTATACTAGAGAAAACTCCCCAAATCCTCCCTATCCTAGAGTAGCTGTTTTCCAGAAACTACTGAGGTCACTAGCACAGTCTAGCCAAAACAAAACTTTATACCACAATCCCTAGTCTAGATAAAATCTTCAACCAACTGATCAGTTTCCTGAAAAATGATACCCTATTTTAGACCCAAACGCTCTGATTTATACACCCTATCCTAAAGTAAACTGCTTGAAAACCATACCCTTCACAGCGGCACATACCTATATAGCCCACATATGGCAGTACCCCCCCTCCCCCGGGGGAGAAAGGCGGAGAATCACGTACGCGTGACTGGCATTTTTGCAGCATTTTTTTTTTTTTTTTTCACAAAAAAAACTTTTGACTGAGGTCAAATCATAAAATTATTTTGTGAGTTTTGGCCACAAAAGTACAGAAATGTATATTAATTGCACAATTCTTCATTATTTGGTTTACTTTGCAATGAGCGTTGCTGTTGTTGTTGTGCTAGGGCTTGTGCTCTAGGATCAGGATGATAGCTGGCGTATGGCGGATACCCAAAATGGCCACTTTGGTCCACTTCCATTCTGTGCTGTTCATCCTCATATGGATTATAACCTGTGGTAAAAGTAGAGGTTCATTCATAAATATTTACAACTTTCAAAAGACCTTAAATAACTTAAAGTTAGGTTGTGTCTACAACATACCAGATAGTTTATCCGTATGTGGTCATAAAATTTACAGAAAATACTTGTCCCTGGTGTAACGACTCTATAAACACCTGTTCACACTGCCATGAAGGATGGCACAGAAACCTATTGGCGACGATCCACTTTCAAGATCGGCGAGGCGCAGCTCCGCTTCTTAGCGAACAAAAAACCAATCAGAAATCACCACGTGAACAAAAGCCCTTTCCTACCCGATATGGTTTACGTGCTATCTGGGTTTTTCGTACAATGAAGAAGGATTATGCACCAGAAAAGTCTGCTCTAAGGCTTTTAGATGCTTTAATGCAAACAGTGCCTTGCATTGTCAGTGAGGACGTCCATTTCTGAAGTCCCTTTGAAGTTGGTCGCTGCGGACGTTCATGGACCTAATAAACGCTTCTACATAAATTACAAGATAACATTGCTTGGTACATACACTTTAACAAGGCACTTTATATTTTCGCACACTGGTAAACGATATACTGAGAAAGACATGAAAGAAAAGTAATGGTTAAATCTCGTCTTCTACCTAAAATTTGAACGTACCCCCTTGTCGATGAGAGTGTCGCGCCATCCTCCAGCTTCTCGTCCGCTTACACTGGTGTCTTGAAGTCGGTCTGAATAAAAAATATATTCGCCTCAGGATAAAGGCAATCTGTTCAGGGTTTTTTCCCTAGAGGGGATTTTTTGTCATCCAAAACCGAAACATTTACGTCACGACGGGGGAAAGACACTTCCAAGAAATGCGATCTGTTTGTTCTGCCTAGCGTGACTCGAGATAATTTTTATTCCATTTAGGGCAAATACTATACTTGAGAACCGAGTTGGGGTCCATAAATTTCTCTTATCTTCGTTTTTATGTTGTTTTCCCTTAAAAAACAAACAGAAAAAAAAAAACGATATGGAATCCATCTCGTTTTATTGACACCAATGGACATTAAACATTACCAACTGTTCCTAGAAACTGTTGTTTATCATCCAAAACCGAGAAGAAATTCTATCTGTTTGTTCAATCTAGCATTTCAATATTCGACAAAGTTTTTTCAATTTAAATTCTAAGGGTAAAACACCTACTTGAGGGCGGGTCAGGGTCTTTTTTTCGTTTTCTACTGTTTTCCTTAGCTATCCATATCGTTTCTCCAACACAAATGGACATTATACATTTTCAACTGTTCCTAGAAACTGTTGTTTATCATCCAAAACCGAAACATTTACTCCACCACAAGTGAAAACATGGATAACAGAGTCTTTCTATTATCCATGGTGAAAAATACTTCCAAGAAATGCTATGTTTGTTCAGCCTGGTTCATACGCGCGCTACATTAATTAGTCCTCGCAGTCTTCTTCGCCTTCGAATCTCAAGGTCTCTATTCAGTCATGATCATACCAAGAAGCAAGAATTGCCTTGTTCAACTCTGCACCTTAAATCGCTTTGGCTTACAGCTTTTTACTGAATAAAAACTCTAGAAAGTACACGTATTATTATTATTAATAATGAAAAAAAGCAAAATTTTTAACTTCCCAATACTTCCAGTTCCAAAATATCCTTTTTCATTCATGATTGCATTAAGATCGTCAGTACTTGTTTAGACAGCTCACTGCAGGGAATTCTCCCTTCCTCATGAACTACATTCCTGGAGCGCGAAAAAAAAAACCCTTTCAAAAATACTCCGGAAGTCTCGATTTGTTGACATTCAATTAAGGGAAGCCCCTTATTCTCGCTTGTTGATTGGAGGAAAAAACAACATCTAAAAAGAGACCAAAGTTAGCGTCGCTCAGTTATTGCAGGAGACCTAGCAAGACGGCAAGAAACTCTGCGAGGAAGAAAAACGAAGAGTTAAAATGCCGCAGTGGTTTGCGTTACAGATGGCTTGTCCCATATCGGGCTGTTCAAACTCTGCGAGAGGGTAAGTGGAGGCATCATTGAATATTTTCCAAAAGAGTTTCTGAAGGCTCGCTTCAAACTGTTTCGGTCTTCTTTACTTTGTGTAGTCGATCAGTTAATGAACTCAAAATATGCTTTTCATCAAGTCATATTTCATTAGAGTGCGGAAAAATATTTTGAGATACATAAGTTGAGAAAAAGTGATAGTAATATCGATGTCGCTATTGAGAAGACATAATCGAATGCTCGGTCGGGTCTTCAAGAAAAAGATCAACTGGATGCAAGTTATAAGCGCCAGGGGAAAAGTCAAGAGTTTAATTCGAGAAAAATGGTAAAATTTTACTCGAATGTTCATGAATCTTTAGATGAAAAAATAAATCATTTGAGGATTACAATCAAGTTTTAATAGGGGCAAAAAAAAGCAGCATAGAGTGACACTTCTTAGAAAACACCAAAATAAGTGGAAATTTTTGATAGCCCTTCTAGTGGATGAAAACCGAAAAAAAAAATACTACTGATTGGGAAAAGCTAGGTGGTAAAAGGAGGTAAAATGCTAATAGTTTATGTCGAGTATAGAAATATAAGACATAATATCCACTGGTTTTATTGATGATGTCATCTATGCTTGAAGCCGGACATCATTTCCGGGAAACAAAACTAAACAAAAAATTCGAAGCTGTTGTTTAGCTTTATGTGGCGGTATACGTGAGCATGGTTTCAACTTTGATTCTCTTTTCCATTCAGAAAAGCTCTTATTCTGGACTGGGTTTGCGCAGAAGACAAAACAACAATGTTCATATGCGAGGAAGGAAGGCTTAGGTGTGGGTCGTATCAACATGATGACAAAGTCGTCAACTGGAAGTTTGACTGTGGAGATCGTTCAGGAGTTCATAAAAACGTGCACTTTCTTTATCCTGACTTTGAAGGTTTCAACTACGCCATGTCAGCTGCAATCGCCCAGCAACACGCAGGTGGAGCTGAGTGGGCCATAAAACTGATCCGAGAATTACAAAAACAGTTTGGTAGGAGTTAAGCTGCAGTAAAGTTTTCGTTCCATTAGAACATTTTTTCCGTTTTTCAGTTTTGTAGAATCAGCTGAAGAAAAGCTAGTAGCAAAGTTTTAATTTTCACTAGAGAACAACAGCAAAAACGTCGTTTTTTCTGCAATAAAGGCACAATTCTCGGTAGTTAGACTGTGGTTAGAGCCTGTTTGTTACACAGATTATACATGCGATATTCGATAGCTTCCAAGGCACATGTTAGGATTTCTTGTTAAAACATTGTCACCGGGAATCTAGTTTCTCTTTTGTAGCCAGTTATTGAAAAAAATGATTCATGTAATTTGTTGGAAATATGAGTAGACTAATTACTTATAAAATGTGACCACAGCATTAAAAGAGGTGTAGTAACCGTTAAATGGTCTGGTTAAACTTGTGTGTGAGACAAACAATAATAAACCCTAACTATGGCATGGCAACATGTCATGTAGTTTTCAGGTTCAACACTTCACTTGATGACTCTATGGGTGCTTTCCTTTGGGATGATCCGGATCAGGTTCAGTGATCCTAGATCACTTGGATCATGGTAGATCAAATGAACCGATGAATCCACTCTAGACAAGGATTCAGTTCATTTGATCTACTATGATCCAAGTGATCTCGGATCACTAATCCTGATCCGGATCATCCCAAAGGAACACACCCTATAATTGCACCCAAACCCCTCATTTACACCAGGGGCCGATCCAGAATTTTTCTCAGCAGGGGGGGCACCACTAAGGAATGGCATAACTGACTGGTGACGTGACGTGCGAAACTACCATGTTTATGGCACTTAGCATAAATTCTTCAATCTTGTCTCATGTTTTACTTTAGCCTGTTCACAGACCCTCTATTTTCCCTTCAAAGTCTGTCAATGCGTGTGATAAAAAATAAACCGCGGGGGATTTATTGACCGCCAGCACAAGGGGGAAGGGGTGGGAGAAGACGAAAATAGACTGTTTATTTTCCTTCCTTGTACTCCACACTCACTGTCGCTTGCGTGCTCTCCGATGTTTTCAAAAAGGACGAAAAGAAAAATAAAACAACATCTGTGTACAGGCTAGTTCTACTTCAACACCTGTCCAATAAACAACATAGAATTTTTTTAAGAAAACAAGTTGTTTTAGAAAGCCAGAACTCATCGTGGGGGGGAGGGGAAGGGGTGTGCACCCTGTGCACCCTCCCCTAGATCCACCTATGTAAGCCCAAGCATTAAATTAGAAAGGGAACTCAGGAGGTCATGAAGCAACTCTCCTAATCATAAACTATTTTGTGTTATTTGTTAATTGTGACCAATGAGCAGACACCTTATGACCAGCTGCTACAGCACTGAACTCAGGGGATAGCTAGGAATTGTCCAATGAGGAGACCCCTTATGACCAGCTGCTACAGCACTGAACTCAGGGGATAGCTAGGAATTGTCCAATGAGGAGACCCCTTATGACCAGCTGCTACAGCACTGAACTCAGGAGATAGCTAGGAACTGTCCAATGAGGAGACCCCTTATGACCAGCTCCTACAGCACTGAACTCAGGGGATAGCTAGGAATTGTCCAATGAGGAGACCCCTTATGACCAGCTGCTACAGCACTGAACTCAGGAGATAGCTAGGAACTGTCCAATGAGGAGACCCCTTATGACCAGCTGCTACAGCACTGAACTCAGGGGATAGCTAGGAATTGTCCAATGAGGAGACCCCTTATGACCAGCTGCTACAGCACTGAACTCAGGAGATAGCTAGGAACTGTCCAATGAGGAGACCCCTTATGACCAGCTCCTACAGCACTGAACTCAGGGGATAGCTAGGATTTGTCCAGAGGTAAACAGTTCGGACTTAAAAGCGATGATTTTGGTGTTGCATCCACAGTAGACAGACTTAACCAGAATCCAGGCACAGGCTAACTGATTTACAATAAGAATGCTGGGAGCATCAACAGAGACAAATTTCTTTTGTATACTATGCTTCACTGTCATTCACCTCTTTTCAGCATCATTTCCAGAGTCTCTAAGCACTGCCCTCTCTGTTGTTTGAAAACAGAAACCCTAAGAGACACCCTGAGACCCTGAGAACAATATTACCCTCCTCTAAGCTAATTAATATATATAACGAAACATAGGAAATGATGTCATTTCCCACTTGACAAGTCACAAACTTGTGTTTAACTCTGAGTATTTGCATGACATTGTTAAAAGCTGAGAATTTGCCAAAGTTTTAACTCTTTGCTGAGAAATGAGGGTTTCCAATAGGTGTTTTGGGATCAGGGATATGGCTTAATCATAGTTATTAGAGGAGTCTGGTTATGAATGGCGGCAAACAACAATTATGAAAACAACGATTCTCAAAGTTTATGTTGGCAGCTTTCTGACTGTGCACAAACCTTTGTTTTCTTTTGGCAAATAGTAATGGAATAAATTAAAGCGACGTTTTTATCGGTCAATATGATCAAAATGTTAGGAATGCTATTGAACCTTGTGCACCGTCAGGTGTACAAAAACATGTAACAAAGGCTTCTGACAGGTTTCATAACCATTCCAATCAACAAACTATGGCTTAATTGAAGGCCAGGATTCATCATTTTAGAAAAAAATGGGGAGCACGATTCTGAATTGTAATTACATGTATGAATGGCATACAGGATTAAGCGGGTTCATTAGGACAGATTGAGTAAATTTGCTGCAAAGAACCGGTATTGTCGGTATATAGTACTCAAAAATATCTTCATTTTGATGATTTTAAACAAAGCTTTCCTAGAGCCTGTCAATTGCACCCTGACCGTACAACCTTTTTATCCCACTGTTTTATGCTCAGGTTCTCCGAGTGAAGCTTGAGCCAGCACAAGGCACTTTTTTGAGGGGGTGTTCGGGAACGGGACTGGCTGATTTTAAAACAGTCGAAATATACATGATCGAAGGAAAATTTTGAACGAATCGGCTATTGGAGACCCTCAGAGGCAACTGTAAGTTGAGACGGCTGGAGATAATACAAAATACAACGTTAATTACTGTAATTTTATTTGGAACTAAGCTCCTTTTACCTTTGTCGCACCAACGGGAGAGATGTTTAATGGAACCCGTGACCATCCTTAACTCTTTGTATCCCGTAAATGCCCGCTGCTCTGTTTACGTTCATGCATGTAGCAGCCACACATAGTGAGACTCTGTGCAAAAATCGATAGTGATGACAATCTTGGAGATTAAAACGACGTCGACGATCGCGTTGCATTCCTGACAACGATGACGGCAAAAGTATGATACACATTCAAAGTTCGCTGACAGAACAGTTTTGTGCAAGGCGTTCGTTGCTTGATATCCCAGGATGCCTTGCCGCGGCCCTTGCTCACTCAAGCGCATATTTTTCTACGGGTTCTCCGCACCCGTTCCAAATCAGATTGCTCTTTTAAAACCTGCTTACGGTGCCATGGCTTTACACCGCTTTGCCAGTCAGTTTTGTGTAAAATCAAACCATGCGAGGGTGTGCCTGATATCATCATCAAGATTAAGGTTTGTTTTATGTCCCCTTAGTAAAGATTGATCGTAGAATATCCAACATTACTGTTTGGAATACTATTAAAGCTTTGGTACTGGTCTCTCTGGCTTCATCTCGGTGGAAGGGGATCTTGTGGCCCTCAAGAGCAGGGGTCGAAAAAGAAACTTGAATTTCAGTTTTTTCCTTCGGAAAAGTAGCTTTCAAATTTTGCTTGCTCAGTGACATTATGCATTTATCCCTGATTTATCAGCGGCCACCCCGGGGGGTAACCCCGGGGACATTCGCGAGCATGGCACGGGATTTGTCAACTTTGGTCGTTAATTTTAAGCCTGGGATGGGGGGACTGGAATGCTTTTGCACTTTTGTAGCAGGATCCCAGGGGAACACCCTCGGGATTTGTAGTGCCGCCGCCATTTTGCAGATGGAGCTGGAAATGAGTGCCGTTCCCTTCTGCAAAAGGACTGGGTATGTTGGTGAACATGTTCTGGCAAAATGGTGACATCAAAAGATGGTAAACGACTATATTTTTCGGAAGAAACTACGATTCCTTCAATAGAACTCTTTTGAAATATTGCACCCTTTAACCTGGCAGAGCACACTTCTTTGCCCCCAGGGGAGGGGTGGAGGGGTGTTAGAAGCTTTTTGTAAACTCGGTAGGGCAAATGACCAGGGGTTCCCTTGGTCACCCTGCCCCCCCTCCCCCGATGGCCGCTAATAAGTGCATCACCAAGGTATTTGCTTGTCTTAGTTTTATAGTGATCTAGTTAGAGGACCTGCCAGACTCTCTCGCTTATAACTTCGGTAACCTTTCTACCCTGTGAGCAGAGGCCCTTCCATCTTGCTAAGAAAGGAAGATCGAAGGGTCTGCATGTAATATTGGACATCTATGAAATTGAAAGTAATAAAATTGTTTTGTCCTTTTTTTTTCATCTATACTGTGTTTGTGTGGGAACCTGTCTAATACACAGTGCATAATCCTAATGGAAGAAAGGGACATGCCTCCATTGAGAGCCTCTACATATATAATCAGGCTAATTTTAATTTTACTGCATATTGTCCTTTTAATTGACACTGAGTGCTTAGTGGGTACAATCCTGAAGAAAAAACTGAGACAAAGCCAGTCAAGAGTGAATCATTACATGATCCCTTGAATCAACAACAATGTAAAGATATTACGGACCTTAAGATCCGAGGACGGCGACGGCGAAGAAAATGTCGCTGAAAAAGTGAATTCGCGTTCTTTCAATCTTCATAGCGATTACTCCAAGTCACTAACTTTGTCAAATGTTGGGGAACCCTCCTGAAGTTGAATTCCTAAGAACCATATTCAAGTTCAGAAAGAGAGAGGAAATTTTGTCGTCGCTTGTGTACTTCCTCTGTACATCGGGAAATTAGGCATTTTCAAGTCGTAGTCGTGCATTGACGGCAAAGAAATGTACAAAAAAGCGTGATGCACGAGCAAAATAGTTGTTTTGCTAATTAAACCTATTGCTTTTGTGGCGTTGCCGTTGCCGTTGCCGTCGTCGGATCTTAAGGTCCCTAATGTGATTTGTCTAATGCTTGCATTGTTGATAGCAAACTGCTAATTATGAAAACTCATTGACAAATTTTGTTGCAGGGCAAAGTGAAGTGTTATAATTAAATACTTTTAAAGTTGTCTGCCATAAAATTTTATTTACACAATTAAGCACTTGCTTGGTAGATTAGAGTCAGTTGTTGACTTGGTTCTGTCAAAGGCAGGGGGACAGGAAACGTTCAGTTAGCAGAGACATTTTCCTCATGTTTTGACAGCCTCGACAATATTGCACATGTAGAAAAAATCCAAACTGACATGCAGAATAAACTTGTAGATTGAAATTAATGAATCCTTTTAGATCGCCTTAGCTGTGAATGACAGTTTGCTGGAATAAATTTTCTTATTTATCGATGGTCCTTTAAATAGTGCCTGGGCGCATGTGGAACTTGGTCCCCCAGATGCCATTCTTGGAATAACAGAAGCATTCAAAAAAGACACAAAGCCTGAGAAAATTAACCTTGGTGTTGGTGCCTACCGAGATGATAGTGGGAAACCTTATGTATTACCAACAGTGAAAAAGGTAGGCACAAGCTTAAAATATTTCCCCTTGATAAATGACTTTCATATAATAAAATAGTCAGGTCTTATTGAAGTTGTTGGCCGATTCATCAGCCTAAAAGTCCTGTCTTCCACACTCATAAGGAAGGTTCATGGTTGCATATCATTGTAGATGTACATGTAAAGTTGTTTTGCATAAAGGTCAGTGAAGTCAAAGGTGGCTCATTGATGTGTACAGTTTCAGCTGTGCTCTAACAACACCCTGTGGCCTCTAGTGACTTCCTGTTGACTTTGAAAAGGTGACACAAATATCTCAGTCTTTGCTTTAAGCCTAATTGCTGGGACCAATAATTGTTATGAAATTATTTTATACATACATGTATAGTGTCAGAGCTTTGGCTCCCTACAACAATATTGTCTGAAACACAATCTTGAAAATTTGTGTCAGGTGTTATGGGAAACAAAAGCAAATCTAGACAGGACTTTTGCAGTGCTTATATTGTCTAAATTTGATCTAATTCTATCCTGAATTTATCGTTTATTTTGTTTTTTTAACAGGCTGAAGAAAAACTGTTGTCCAAGAATCTAGATAAAGAGTATGCTCCTATACATGGTTTACCAGAATTTACTGGGGCTGCTGCAAAACTAGCTTTTGGAGAAGACAGTGACATAATTAAAAATAGCCTGGTAAGTATTGTTTGTCCCAAGAAACCAAGGAGTAGCAAATGCTCTTTCCAAAAAATAATAACCGTCTGGCAATTTTTTTTAATTTGAATGTATTGCTTTCTTGTTTCTTTGTTTTTTTTTTAATCTATTCTGCTGGCCTCACAGTCTTGATGTTTTGCAAAAAACCACCCTCGTGTATAGCTAAATAATAATAGAAGTCTCAGAATCTTAAATGTTTTTAAGACTACATGTAAGGTGTTCTTGACTCAATATTTAAATGGAGTTTACTGTAGTTTTTAATAATTTTCTCTGTTACTGATTTAAATTTATCTTGTGCACATTGATCGTTATTTTTTTTATTTTTTTTTAACAGAATGCATCAGCACAAGCTATCTCAGGCACTGGAGCTTTGAGGATTGGTACAGCATTTCTGGTTTGTGTTGTTAATTTCAATATTATTCATGCTCATGTGTGGGTAGACTAAACTGCAAAGAACCAGGTATTAGTTTGTGGCATCCTTGCATGTCACAACACAATAAACATTCCTGAAATATTTTAGGTCTTCACAGTTTTGTGAGTTTCACATTGTTCTCTTAACTAACCTTTTGACTTGCTATTTGGATTTGGTCACCAGTTTGGCAAATGAAATATGAAGGACAGTGGCTTCTGGAGAAAAAAGTTAAAGGTTTTGCCTTGTGCCCCCGGGGGGGGGGGGGGGGGTACTGCCATATATGGGCTATGTAGGTATGTGCCGCTGTGAAGGGTATGGTTTTCAAGCAGTTTACTCTAGGATAGGGTGTATAAATCAGAGCGTTTGGGTCTAGAATAGGGTATCATTTTTCAGGAAACTGATCAGTTGGTTGAAGATTTTGTCTAGGCAAGGTAAACAGCTACTCTAGGATAGGGGAATTTGGGGAATTTACTCTAGTATAGGGTAGCAAAATTCAGCTGAACTAGCTCTGGTATAGGTTAAGGGTTCCAGGGTCCCAGCGGCACATCCCCACCCAGAAATTCCTAAAGTACCCCCCCGGGCTTGTGCCATGGTAATTATGACAAAATGCCCTCCTCTATTGGAGACATGAAAATTTAACATTTGTGCATCCCCTCTTATATCACCTAGACATGTATAACACTGTAACATTCACTTTGTATAGGACCCTTGCTGTGTTAAGTTTGTGACATTGTCATCCACGATATCTTTTTCTTTCAGAAAAGCTTCTTTCCTGGTAGCAAGGATGTTTGGCTGCCAACACCTTCCTGGGGAAACCACACTCCAATTCTCAAGTATGTTACGTGATTTTACTGTCAATCTAACTTGTAGTCAGAGGGTGTGAAAAAGCTGCCTTGTTTATCCTTGATAACTTTTCACTCTGTCCTATGTCTTACAAAGGAATTGTGTGGTAGTCCCTCATTTTTCTGTCACATTTTGGAGATCAAACGCTTTGTGTTATGGGCAGCCATTTTAGTTTCACGTGTTCCAAGTCTAGTGTGGAAATGAGTATCAAATCTACTTAGGGGTTGGGGGTGGGGGGGTTTGGTTGGTGGTGAGAAAAATTTCTGCTGCTATAAATCCCCAAAGCCCATGGCCCCAGTACATTTGAAACTGGAGACCAGGATGGAGGGACTGTAAAAAGTCTGTTGTCTCATTGATTCGATTCTTCAGAGGCTAGTGCAATTCATGGCGTGAAAGTGATAAATATTGTTTCTTCCTTCAGACACTCTGGGCTTGGAGTCCAGCAGTACAAATATTATGACCCTCAGACGTGTGGCTTTGACTTCAAAGGCTGCATGGATGATATTTCAGTAAGTTATTATAAAAGTACCTAATGGAAATTCTATGTTGAAGATCTGTTAATCTTGGGTGCCGTCACATTATATTTAGTTTGCTGAATCACAGATGCCTTTGGAAATTCCCCTTTTCATAAAGTTTGCAAGAGTGAAATAATTTTTTTGGCTACCTCGATCTGAGATTAAAATAATGTAATGATTTATGAACTAAAATTTCCAAGTAAAGAGTTAAATTTAAAAAACTGTTGCTTGTTCTCCTTAGTAATAATGTAAGATCATTTCTTGTGTGGCTGGAAAGATTCTGTAAAATTCAAGAAAGTTATTAAAATTATTTTTAACAAGACAAGAGGGACCCCTCAAAAATCAATAATCTCCATAATTACTTGGTTTCAATTCATTCCATACTGTAAGTTTTTTGCCGTTACGCGTAATTATGCCCTAATAATTACCAGGCAAAGTCAAAATTTATCGGCTTTATTTATTCTACATTTTTACGGCTACTCTGTTTATGTATTCTACAGCCAAGTTACCAAAACTTCCACCTTCATATTTGTATGTTTCTTTTTACTGTTGTTAAATGGTTTAAAAGGATAACTTTTTGGTTCTGGAAACAAGTATTTTGTGTGTCTTTTTATTCAACAGAAAATCCCTGAGAATTCGGTGATAATGCTACATGCATGTGCTCATAACCCTACAGGAGTAGACCCTAAGGTATGTAACAATGTATTAACCCTTCCACTACCAAGAGTGGCCAAATTTCATTTTGTAAAATGCTGTAAAACATATAGCACCTTTTGGAAGTACTACTGAAGATATTTCATTTGAGTGGTAACACCATAGGGGGCCTTGATTCACAGGCTTATAACGGCAAGTCAACAGACAATTTTCTGGCCAAGATGACCATTAATATTTTGTCGGGCCAAACTTTCAGTTGGCTGGTCATTATTTTGGACCTGTCAGTTGCATGGCTTTCAAATAAATAATGGTAAAATAAATTTATTCATACAAAAAATTATATGATTCTGAAAATCACAAAAACAGATAAATCGCAAAATATTTTAGTCACTTGCAATTCTGACAATTTTTTCGCCAGCAGTGAAAAAAAAGCCAGTTAAGTGTGCATGTCCGATGTCGCGTACTGTCCAATTACACTGTCCTATTAGTGCTGAAATCAGGACCGTTGATACCCAATTAGATTTGAGAATTTTGTAATACTGTTATGATTAAACTAAAAGTAGTCATTTCCTTTCTAGAAAGAAGAGTGGAAAGAACTCTCACAACTTGTTAAGGTATGTGTACATGTATATGTTGTGGCTCAATTTTATCCTTGGTATAAACATAGTCGTTTGTTTCAGTTTCTTATCCTTTGGGAGTCTTTGACATTCTCACCCAGATATATAGTAACTTGTAGTACAAATTAAGTAGATAACATTCCAAATGAGTTATGTGAAAAAGCATCAAAACTAAGAAATTACAATGTAAGCGAGGAAGTTGATTGTTGTTTTGGAAGTTGGTAAAAATTAGGGTAATGCTATAACTTCTCATATTTTCCTAAAGCAATGATAGTGAATAAAAAAAAACACTCTGAACACCACAATTTTGCAAGGGAAAGCCAATCAGGCATGAGAAAACTAAATCGCAAGTAACAACGATAATAAATTAGTGTGTGATTTTCTGGTTTGCTCGCTCATCCTGTTCTTGTTACAACACAATAAACATTCTTGAAATATTTCAGGTGTTCACGGTTTTCTGAGCTTGACAGTAATGTGGATTTTCCTTTCAGGATCGTAAGTTGTTCCCATATTTTGACATGGCGTACCAAGGTTTTGCCAGTGGAGATACTGACAGGGATGCTTGGGCACTGAGACAGTTTATTCAAGATGGACACCAAGTGATGGTGGCGCAGTCATTTGCCAAGAACATGGGCCTCTATGGTAAGTTCTTTGGCTATCATGTTCACAAGTAAGATAGAAACACTAGAAGTGCAGTGCTCCAACCTCAAGTTATAAAATGGTCAACAGACTTAATGTTGGTGGCCAGAAAAAAGGACACTTTGTTCAATATTACCTGAAGGGATTGAGATAAAGAAGATGGCTGCCCCCTATCGCTATTTACTTTGGAAGTACACGTGACATCTCATACCAAGACAACCATGGTAAGAGATGAATTCTACAGGATATAGAACAGAAAAAAATACTTCATGCAAACATTAATTTCATGTAAGCTTTCAAAAGACCATTAACACAACTAACTGGAACACTACAACTTGGCAAATGACCAGTGAAATCAGGTCGCCAAATTTCTAGCGGTGTGAACATGTGGGATGAAAGCCAAGTTCAAGCGAGCTACTTCAAAAGACGAAGTAACGTACAGAAAGTTCTGTTTGAAATTTAGGAAAATGGCTCCTACTCTTGTGTGTGTGTGTGTTTTTTTTTCAGGCGAAAGGGCTGGAATGGTATCAGTCACATGCAATTCCAAGGAAGAAGCTGAGAGAGTCCTTTCCCAGATTAAGATTTTGATCCGGCCAATGTACTCTAACCCTCCAGTCCATGGAGCGCGCATTGCAGGCATGGTGCTGAGCGATCCTGAACTCAGACCTCAGTGGGAACAAGAAGTAAAGGGCATGGCTGATAGAATTATCTCCATGCGACAACAGCTGGTGGACAATTTGAAGAAAGAAGGTACCACATTGTTACAATAATGGTAGCTTGCGAGCAAGCTTCCCAATAATGGCCATACTGTTAATGTGGCTAAATGTAATTCAGGTGATATTAAACACGAGACAATGCTGGCCAGTGGTCTCCACCACTAATCGTATGTGGGGCGGTCCTGAGCTTTAGCAGGGCTTTAGTAATTGTACAGTGCTTTCACAAAAGTCAATCATTTTGCTCACTTTGCCTTTGCGCGCAGTAGCTTTAGCTTTTTTGCCCCCAGTCTCCCCTCCCCTTTGGATGTTTTTCTGTGCATTTCTCCAGTGAGGTTCTCAGTGTGACCCTACCTGGTGGGTGCTGCTCACAGGGTTGTCATGGTACCTTCTAGGCTCGCTTGTGGCTCCCTTCAGTTTCACCAGGCACGTTTCCCCACAGTTTAACCAGAAGACGACAATGTGCAATATCAATGAGGACAATAACTTAGTACAGTCGAAACTCTCTCGGAAATTCGAAAAAGTGGTCGTAACTAGAGCTGGTAAAACAATAGAGTGTGGTCGCTGACAAGAGCTTCAGAAACTCATTAAAAATTCCTAAATAAATTAATGTTTAATGAGTGTCTTTATACCGTAAAACTCCGAAATTAAGCCCCTCCAAATATAAGTCCCCCAAACCGGTCGTGCAAAAAAGCCTCCGTTAAATCGCCCCTCCAAACATAAGCCCCCCGGGGGCTTGTACTCGGAGAATTGCCCTCAAATACAAAGGAAAACAAAGCAAAAACGGTAAATTTACTTCCAACAATAAGGCTAACCAACTGATTTTGAAACGCAAATTTCCCTCCCTAGATAAGCCCCTCAAAAAGGGCCTTTGAAAAATATAAGCCCCGGGGTTTATTTGCGGAATTTTACGGTATCTTACATAGACACGCCTAAAACTTTACGTCCATTTTTTAGACCATTAGCGCAGGCTCGCTAAAGTTTTGATTTATATGAATAAATTCAGGGTCCGAAATTAACTTTTTAATACGGGGGCCAACTGGCGATCAAGTATAAATTTTTGGTCGCCAGAGGGCAAATTGTGGTCGCCAAAAATTTCCCCTCCCTTTATTTGAAATAGAAGTTTAAACACGAATAAAAAATGTATGGTATGGACGTTTTTATGCTCAAAAATTCCACTACTTCGGCTCCCGATACCAGAGAGCAGCCGTACGCGTACGAGTGAGGTCTTATTTTTTCCACAAATTACTTTTTGGAGGTATAAACACGAGTCCGCCATGTTGCTCGATCCAGGCCACAACCGTGGATATATGGGTATCGTGTTTCAGCTGAAAAGAACATGGCGGCTTTGAACCATTCAACTCATATTGATCGTAGCTGTTGAGGAGGTATTTTTACATGAAGATTCGTTTCACTTTTAATTAAAAAGTATCAGCAGGACAAAACGTAAGACACCTGTTGGCAAATAGCCTCGAGGTTTTAATTCTTAATCATTTTCTCCGAACCTGAAAGTTCACAATAACAGCCAGCTTTACAAGTCAGGGGCACCCAACGAGGATATAGTTCAAAACCACTTAACATAGCATTGTTGAACGTATTTTAGTATTCAAACGGTGGATATAGGCATATTTTTATCCCCTAAAAACCTTTTCATCTGTTCGGATTTCCTAGCTGAAAGTCTAGTGATCCGAAAATTATAGGGATAAAAACTTACCTTCTCGAAAATTTCAGCCAGGAAAAGGCTCCCGAAAATTCTAGGTGGCCTTTTTTTAGGGTAAAAATCCGTTAAAAATGGGTAATTATACCATTTTGTAGATGTTCGAAAATCCTAGGAGAGGCAGGCAAGTAAGAAATTTTACAACAAATACTCCGAAAATTCTAGATCTCAAATCGTCTTCCGAACAGATATTTTCCCGAAAATTGCCGTTGGGTGCCCCTGACAAGTCGCCAGTTGGCGACCAGCTATGAAATTCTGGTCGCCAGTACTGAATTTTTAGTCGCATTGGCGACCAGGAAGGCGCAATTTCGGACCCTGATAAAACTCTGAGTGGTCGCTTACGAGACCTTAAAAACAAAGGAAAATTCCAGTTGGGTAATACCAAAAGTAGTTGCGGTCGCTTACGACAGCTTCTCAGTCATTACAAAGTTTAAGTCCCACTGGTTGTTCAAACTGGGTTTCACAAAGGTGGTCGTAACTAGAGCTGATTGCTTACAAGAGTGGTGACAAGGAGAGCTTTAACTGTACTAGTTAAAACAGGTTTATAACTCGTATGGGTAGTCGATAATTCATATCTTATTTGCTAGGATCATCTCATAACTGGTCACATATCACAGAGCAGATTGGGATGTTCTGTTTCACTGGCCTGAAACCAGACCAGGTAAGGATGCTGTTTTTCTCAATTGCTATAGTCAACCCTGTAAGTACCAATATCTGGCACATACTAGACTGCGAGCAGTCTTTTATTTTTCTTTGCAAAGTTACTGCAAGAGAAACCCAAGCACGCGAGCGGTGAGCGGCGAAGCCGCGACGTAGTTTGCAATCGCGCTTGCCGAGAACTAGACGGATTTTAAGAGAAAAGGCGGACTGCAAGCAGTCTAGGCACTTTCAAATTTTCCTAACAGATTTCCACATATTTCCTTAAAGAATGAGTTGAGAGAATTTGATAAAAGATCAAAGCATTTCCTTTTGGTAAAACATTTCACGTGTATTAATTCTTACAACGTTTACCGCCCTCTTGGTTATGTATGGATCTTGTTAGGGGAAAATTGATGTTGGTCACTGTTTGGGCCTAAACGGTGTTTGATAGTGCTGTTGATGAGGATAATAACGACAGCAACGATTTATGGCGATGTTGTTTTAATTGTTTATTCCGGGTCAGCGCTAGAAAAAAAAATTGGATTACTAGATTGTCCCTTGACAATGGGACATTTTCGAGTCCGAGGAACTCTGACTCGACTTTTAAAACGAGGCCAAGTGCAAAACCTTTGTTGTGAGTTCTATTTGCATGAGAATAAAAAAAAAAATTATTTTCAGATAAATGGCTTCCTCGCTTTGAAACAGAGGCTTGGGGAAATTCGTTCCCACATTTTTCTTGCCCGGGGTCATAGAATGCATGACTTAACTTATGATTTAGTTAGATGACTTACCTGTTCCTTGCCCTTTGGCCAAGTTAAAATGAAAAGTTACTCGCCTGGAAGGAAAATCTAGTTGTCCCAGACTACTGGACAGCACTTTCTCACACCCTGATAGTACACAGTACAAAAACTTTTTGTAAAAGCAGGTATATCAAAAACGGTTGTTCAAAATTGGCTTTACAGCGAAGCTTTAAGCCAAGACACCACAGAAATTTTTATGAAATCTATTTTAGATCCAGGAGTTGCGGAAAATTAAGAATTTCAAAAAAACAAGGCATATATCAAAATTGATTCAGTGAGATGCAAACGAGGGGGGCAATCTCGGGCGGCTTGATTGTCTTTGTCAATGTAATTTCACTTCTTCTCCTTGGTAAAAGTGCAAGTCAACTTTTTTGTATAATGTATGCTAAATTACTTGTTTGACTCTTCAGGTTGAACGACTTACTAAAGAATTTTCCATCTACTTGACCAAAGATGGCCGAATTTCCATCGCTGGTGTGACGTCAGGAAATGTGGGCTACTTGGCACGTGCAATGCACGAAGTTACAAAATAAATAACTTAACCCCCTCTCCCCCACTCTATCAAGCCCACCCAACCCTCCCTTTTCCGGAAGTTAGAAATTGACAGTGTTATTCTCTGAAAAAGGATAACTTTGATGCAAAAGGGTGGCCGACAAAAAATGAAATGAAAAGGACAAAAAGAAGGAGTTATTGCTTCCATTTTTCTTATATCCTCGGTTTTATTATTTCTTTTTTGGACAGATCGCATTTTTAATTTGCGCAATAAAGAAAAATACAGCCCAGAAAATGTTACCTAGTATCGTTATCAACCTTGATAAAAGTTTGAGGCTTATTGAAATCATGGCGAGCATAACAATATAAGGTGATACGAGCAAAATCTTTCACTCTTTAAAGTAGATTTTTTTCACTTGTAAATTTGTTTTTCAAAACCTATAATACAACAAAAAACCTAATTCTTTGAACATTAATTTAACCAGTGGGTCCCGTTATAACAGGTTTGCGTTGTTCAGTGTACTAAATGATCCTCAATGAACTGTCATGATTTCAAAAGAAGACTGCGATCCGTAAAAGGCATCACTCGCGAAGAAATTTCCATGTTTTGTTAGTCGGTTATGTACCCTGTGAGCAGTGGTTTTTCCAGGCTGGACGCTACGGTAAGAAGGGAGAGAAACCACTGCGAGTGACTGTTTGCTTTTCCATCGAGCATACGCGTCAACGTGACACCTACGCCAAAACGTCAAATGACATCACTTCCTCTTGATTCGAAGGAAACATGAAGGACTTAAAGATCCAACAACGAGACGGCAACCAGAACGTCAAAAACATAAGGTTTAATAAGTAAACCAACAACTTTGCACGTGCATTTCACTTTTTTTGTACATTTCTTTGCCGTTTTTGCACAACTACGACGTGAAAATGCCTAATTTTGCGTTTAATGAAGAACGTAAACAATCAGTAGTTTCTTTCTCTTCGTAGCGTAGCGTCCGGCTTGGAGAAACAACAGCTCGTAGGGTACCTGTGCTGGCCTCCAAGATAGCACTGTGCAGAGATCGGGAAAACTGATGCGAAAAACGCACTGGGCTTTCTCTCTTTCCCAGACCATGCGCGTCCTATTTTAACTTGAACTTGTTTCCGCGACGTCCCTACTATCTGAGA